AGAGAGAGAGAGAGAGAGAGAGAGAGAGAGAGAGAGAGAGAGAGAGAGAGAGAGAGAGAGAGAGAGAGAGAGAGAGAGAGAGAGAGAGAGAGAGAGAGAGAGAGAGAGAGAGAGAGAGAGAGAGAGAGAGAGAGAGAGAGAGAGAGAGAGAGAGAGAGAGAGAGAGAGAGAGAGAGAGAGAGAGAGAGAGAGAGAGAGAGAGAGAGAGAGAGAGAGAGAGAGAGAGAGAGAGAGAGAGAGAGAGAGAGAGAGAGAGAGAGAGAGAGAGAGAGAGAGAGAGAGAGAGAGAGAGAGAGAGAGAGAGAGAGAGAGAGAGAGAGAGAGAGAGAGAGAGAGAGAGAGAGAGAGAGAGAGAGAGAGAGAGAGAGAGAGAGAGAGAGAGAGAGAGAGAGAGAGAGAGAGAGAGAGAGAGAGAGAGAGAGAGAGAGAGAGAGAGAGAGAGAGAGAGAGAGAGAGAGAGAGAGAGAGAGAGAGAGAGAGAGAGACAGAGAGAGAGAAACAATAAATTTTACAGTTTATATTAAACACATGTATGGTCTAACTTATTTTTTCACTTTGTTATGAATACATAACAATCAATTCAAGTCATTTTTAATGCTATGCATTAGTAGTTAATTATAGATACTTCAAGTAAAAATTGTTTAATGTGTATGATATAATTTATTCATTGTGTAGCATAAAATACTAATTGTGCTGTATATAAAATGTACACACTTAGCATTTATATTTATTTAGATTTTTAGATGCATGTGCATGTATATGTGTATGTATATATGTTTATATATATATATACACAATACATATTAAAAAGTATTCAATTGTTATGTATAAATGTAAAATAGAAATTATCTGTTAATAAAGTAATTTACATTTAAATATACAATCAAAAGTACTTAAAACAAATATTGCAAATAAATCAAATAAAAATAAGGAAAAACTTAATTTGCTTTATGTTTCTATATTGTAGAGATAAAAATTTATGTGTGGCAGTAATTATTAAATTATTCATGTAGTTAAATACATTTATAATACTTTATTTATTTATTATATTAATTTATTTAATTAATTATTATTGTTACATTTACTTATTAATTCGTTTATTTATTTGTATGTTATTTGTGAATAAAATTAATATGTGAAATAGAACTCAAGATTATATAACTAGTATCAAATAATAAAATCATTATTTGAGATAAATTTGGAATGTATTAGATTTATTTAAGGTGAAACAAAATATCTACTTTGCTATTAGTTATTTTGACTGGTAGTGTAATAAATGTATTGCAGTTACATTTTAACTCATTTATGAAGTTAAATGTACCTATACGATTATTACAATTTGGACAATGAAGTCTACCTTTCGTCCAAGATTCCTGTAAAAGATGCACATACCATTTTATATAGATTTTAGATAAAAGTTTTAAAATTTACCTGTACTATTTTCATTGATGTGATATTTATTTTTTATGCACTATTAAATATTCTGAAGAATATTTAATCACATATAGTAATACTAAATTGTCAATAACATAGTTTTAAAAGAAACTTTACTTGATTTATAGCATGTTCAATCCATTTAGGCAGCTTTTCCATTGAGATATATGAACAAGATTCAGAATCATTTGCTTCACATCCAACATCCATAGGATTTTTCTTGATTTCATTATGGGAAGTAAATAATAAAACAGGTTCGTTATTAGAAAGATTTTTTCTACAACGTTTGCACTTCACTTCCATAACCTGTAAAAAGAGAATATATTATATTACAAATGTTTGATGCTTTTGTCAATATTTGATTCATTAATTAATTTAAGTAATTTTACATAAGTTAATTTTACTTCAGTAAATATTATAAAAGCAGAACGTGAAAGGTTATGAATATATAAAAGAAAGACTTTATAAACAAATTATTAAAAAGAAGTCTATATACTAGAAACATATTAGTATAGGTTAAAAACTGACGTAAAAAATGATATCTACACACAGTTTAATTATATTTTTTTTACCATAATCATATATACTCAATGTAAAAAATTAATTTAAATTATTTGATAATATTCTTATTATTAAATAAATAATTTAGATAAAAAACGTATTTTTAATTTATATACTTATTAACAGATATGTATAAAAAAAAACATTTCTATATAAAGTATTTAAGCATTAAAAATCACATTATATATATATATATTTATTTTTATGCGTTGATTACATTATTATAGTTATTTACGAACATTAAATTAATAAATTTATGAATGTTATAAAATATATATATAATGAAAAATGTGCACAATGTATAACTTTACATATACCTTTAATAACAAGATTATTTAATCTTCACCTGCTGGAATAGCATCTTCTAATCTTTTAATAAATTTAACGCGTAATTCAGTTACATTATCATTTTTTAGTTGATCTTGTACAAACCAACAGGCAATCTCCATTTGTACCATTTCACAAGCTCCCCTTAATACTCCAATTAATACATTACAATATTTTAAATTTAAACAATGATCTGGTAATTCAACAAATTCTGTTAATGGGTTTGCTTCAAAACATAAAGAAAATTCATCACCAGCAGCGCTCCAATTTGTGATCGTCGGTGTTATTCCCAAAAATATTTTAAACCCAGTTTGTATTTTCTCAGCTGTATCTCGAAAGTCATAACACCGACCAGATCCAGTTCGAGCTAAGAAATCTTCTATTAAACGAATTCCCATATTGTAACCCATTCTTTCCAGCTGTTTGTTTACATCTTCTACATTTTCATAATCCTTTAGTAATTGGGCTACCAATGCTCCATATGTCAATGTAAACAATTCAGAATTCTGAAATTTATTATTATACATAAATTAGCATCATATCTTAATATATCTTTCACACAGAATGAAATTACATATAACTACACATTAAACATTATTCCTAACCTCACTTATAATTTAACATCTATTTTTTAATGATTATTTGTCAACAGAATAGAATTTAATAATATATAATCTAAATGTTTTGTAAAAATTAATAAAGCAATATAGTGATATACTCACAACTTTTTTTGAGTCAAGTTTTGTGCCTGCTCGTGACATATTTATGTATGTTGTGTACGGTTCTTCAATCGGCTATGGTTGACAGAGTCGATATTCGCCATTTAATTTTTAATTTATTATCAAATTATTTATACATTTATAATTATACTAAATAATTACAAAGATCTAAACTATTTTAAATTATTTAGCGAAATGTTTATATAATATACAATAATTTATTAGAAATTGGAATATTATTAGCTTATGTACACAAATACATCGTTTCTTCGTAAATATGTGTATCAAATAGTAAAATAATAATAATAAAAATAAATACGGTATTGGGTATTAAATGTGAATAACACATTTGTTTAAACATTTGTTTATTATAAAATGTAACAATCTTATTATATATATTATACATATTTTATCTTAATTATATATATATATATATATATATTGCAATTTAAATAATATTTTGTTCATAATATAGAGAAAATATAAATTTCATAAGTATATTAAAACTGAAAACTTAAAATAGGACGGAGTCCTCAAACTGATCTTTGGGCAATTATATAAAATATATTACTTTTTAATTGAAATTGTTGTTCAGAAATCCCCCATAGCTGCAATAATATTATATAATGCTGTTCTTGCATCATTCTTTTCAAATACACTTAAAACTTCCATTGCCCTTTGTGAATGTCTTTTCTGTAATTGTTTTGTTAATTCTACTCCAGGTCCCATCATAACAATTTTATGAATCTGCATATTAAATTGTTAAAATGATTTATGTCATAAATGGAAAACAAATTATTACACATTCAAAAATATGTTTACATTTAATATGCTTACCTTAACATAGTCTACATTATTTACAGATTCCAAACCTTTATCAATTTCTGTCAAAATTGATGGGTCATGTTCAATATGAAACATAATTGGTGCAGAACATAGATTGAATGTTACATTTTGATCTTTTGTAATAAATGGACCTAAATCTAAGCAAGCTTGCCAAGCCAACGCTAAGTGTTTTCCAAAATTGTAACCTTGTTCCTGTATTTCATTGTTGTGTCCTGCTAATTTTAATGCACCTTTACAAGATTTTCCTAATAAGGCACCAGCACTTAAAACATTTCTAAGAGTCCATTCCTTTACTGCATAATCCTTACGATCTTCAGGTGGTATAGAAGGTAAAGGATTATTTTGGTTATCTCTACGTCCTACAAATTCTGCCTCTGCTAAGTCTCTCACAGCACTTGACATTAATTCAACAATCTAAATGTGATTATAATATAAAATATAATACAAATAATTTATATAAATCAAACTATCTAATTTTTATACACACATCTTGATTGCGAAGATTTGCTAATTCAGCACAAGAATTTGCTAATAAATAATCCCCACTTAGTAGTGCAATTTTATTGCCAAAATTCATATCATTCAATTCTGATGTTTCTAGATAAACATCAGATTCTATATTTACTAAACCTTTGTGAACAAGATGACTAGTACGTATCATTTCAGTTACTTCTGCTAAAGCTCTTTGACTAAATAAAAATTCGTTTAATATTATTTTTGTTACAAATTTATGATGCTTTAAAATTTTATATTATTAAGAGCTATAATAAGTACCTGTGTAATACACCTGCAGCTTTGTCTTCCTCCATATCATCTACGCCTAAATGACCAGCAGCTTTTGAAATTAACAATACAATAAGACCCCATGCTTGCATGTTGTTACGTCCATTATAAATAACACTTCTATAATAAATTTAAATAAATGTTAATATAGAGAAGAACTAATAGTACTGTAGGTTTATAAGAAATATATTAATAAAATTCTTACTTGGCTGTTTTTAACAAAGGATGATTGGATCCTACTAGTTTTCTCAAGTGCAAAGCTACATTTGCTATTTCATCGCTTAAGAGCCACCGTAAACTTAGGAATGATGTTGGATATCCAACAATTTTCTCTGCTTCTGAAACAGCTCTGTTCCAATCTGGCTTTTGACTTCCTGTAAGCTTTGCTTCAACCTGTTTGGATTGATGTAAATGGAATCTGTTTTGTGTAGAAATGTGCATATTTCTTTGTCTTTCACAATTCACATTATGATCACTGCATAAGATTCCTCTGGTTATATTTCTGTTTCTCAATAAATTAAATGTAATTTTGTTCGTAGACATTTTTGTACTGCACACACCCGTGGAATTTGTTTTCTCTCGACATTAACATTAGTCACACATTCAACAGGTATAACGCACATGATTAACATTTCAGGCTTTCACTTTTGACCTTATTCTTAAAAGATATCATGTGATTTGTCTTCAGGTATAAAAAGTTATTCATTTTTCATCATGGAAAGTCATTAAACAAATATATATCTTATATATTTGTACATGGTTTTATAATACATTTTATTGAGATCGTTAAATTAAATAGAGCAATGTACATGAATTCTTTTATATAAGAAGGTAATGTTTTAATCATGGACCGTACTCCTATATCTATGGTTTAGTATGCAAAGAGTATGTAGAGAGAATATGTAGAGAATTAGGATGAAATTAGTGTTGCAGGAACGTTTCTATATTATGTCTATTCTCATGGTATTTAAACTTATCCACAATTATGCAGTTATATAAAATTGTTAATTTTATATTGTATAAGTTAAGAAAACAAAACAATAAGCGGAAAAGTACAAATGTAATGCAATAGAAATATGGAAATGAAACACCGAGAATATAAAGAAAAATGAAGTAACGTAGAAAGTTACTAAGGATTAAAGATTGAGAAAATTATAATATAAAGATATAGATATGGGCATAGCTCTATGGAGACCGATAACCGAGCAATAACTAACGGTGGTGATGCTGTTTCGGGGGAGCAGAGAACGTGATACGTAGGGCCGCATAGATGATTGGTTGTGATTGCGCAAGCGCAATCTTATTCTTATCAAGTAAAAATGAATTAGTATAACTAGTTAACTGATTTATTTTCCCCTTCTGATATACATCATTGAGTGAGTGACTAATGATCAATGCGGCCCCAATTATCACATAACTTTGTCTCCCGCTCCCCGGAAGCAACTAAGTTTGCACTCAATCATTATATGAATTCCTGTGTCAATGTACGTAGCAATCGTAATATGAAGCAGGGAATTGCACATTAAAGATTGTATTCATCGAAACAAAATGAGAGCAAACAACTCTCCTAAACGCCATCTTCAGATAGAATAACGTACTGTTAGGATTGAAAACGTAAGTATTCGATACATGCCGGAGAAGGAAATAAACTGAAATTGAAACTGTAAAATTGTTTTGTCAAATTATATAGGTATCAAATGTATCTTCTTAAGAAAGTTAAAAAATATTGTTACATATATATGATTTAATGTTCATTTTAATATAAAATGTAATGTAACTTTAGTCAATTTGGTTCAGAGAAGAAAAGATGTATCATAGGTATATGTATGAAGGCAATCATGTGTAAATATAAATCATATAATCTAATAAAAATACCATCTTAATCCTTAGCATTACCTTTCTAAATATTACCAGAGAGGAATTCCCTCTCTGATATTACCTACATACTACTTGTACGTATGTTGAACATATAAATGGTAGATGGATAGTATCTCTCTCTGATAGTACATATATGTATATTCAATCAGAGACTCTAAATGCATATACATATAATAGCACACTTGTATAGCCAATAGCCGATGTGGGTTATTAGATTTGTATTTTTATCATGATCTAATAATCTAATTTGTGAATTTTGCTTTTGTATTGTCATTTGTGAATAAATATTTCTAGCATAATGTTAAGTATTATTCTATGTCGTCGCATGTTACGGACTGGATATAATGAAAAAAAACTCTGGACCAGATCATTTGTAACGTGTTCAATTAAATCACGAAGACAAATTACTTATCGCGAAGAAGTTTTATCTCACATTTTGACACGTACTCTAATATACCCTGCCATTGGAATTAGGGTAATATTTTTAATTTACATATTCTACCTTCATAAAATATTATAAACATTAATCAAGGATTTATAACAATGTGTTTTTGAAATATTGGGTGTTTACTAACTCTCCAATTATTATTGTATCAAGCTAAATCATGGAAATTAGTTAAATGTTTATTAATTAATAATAAATAAATAACATATAACATGTTAAGTAATGTTAATTAAACAGGTATTTATTTCAAAGCATTTCTTTATTGCTTCTGCAGATATAACATTTACATAATGGGTAGAACTTCAAGAAAACGTCATCAAAAGAAGAAGCTAAATAAAGAAATAGCAGAAAATACAGAAGACAGTTTGATGCATTTTAGATCTTGGTTATTAACAAAGAACTGTTCATCAGTTTATGATCTTGTTCCATTTAACTTTCTTATTACAGGACGAGGATTAAAAACATTAAAAGACATTAAAGTTAATGATATATTGATCAAACTACCTTATGAAATCTTAATAACAACATGTACATTATCTCAAAGCAATGTCAGTGTTTTATTTTCAAACACTGAACATTATAGTGCTCAATGTTTATTAGCTGTATTTATTTTGTACGAATCACATTTAGAAAGTACTTCAAAATGGTATCACTATATTAATAGTTTACCACGAAATCTAACAAATCCAGATTTTTGTACACAAAAAGAAAAGAATTTGTTACCAACATTAATTACAGATTATATGAATGAGTTCCATAAAATACATAGTGATTTTCGATTATTAATTAGATCTATGAATAATTTGAAGTTAAATAGAGAATCTCATTGTCCTCATTGCAACTTACATCTTAAGAAAATAATTACATTTGCAAAATACAAATGGGCATATTATATTGTTAATACAAGAGCTGTATACATAGATGCAGCTGAAATTGAGAAAAATCGAGATATTACTATTAATATAAAACAACCAAATAATTTAGCCTTAGCACCATTTTTAGACTTATTTAATCATAATATACATACCATAACACATGCATCTGTAGTTACAAATAAAAATGGGAATAAATTTTACCAAATTGCTACCTTAAATTCATTTAATTTAGGATCACAAGTTTTTATCAATTATGGTGCACATAATAGTCTTAAATTATATGTCCATTATGGCTTTTTTATATCAGATAATCCATTAGATGAAATTTATTTTGATATTTCTGATGTAAAAGTTTGTTTTGATGTCCCAAAATTTAAATTGGATTTCATTATTTCTAATAATTTACAACAAAACATGGCATTTACAAGAGATGGTTTAAATTATAATGCACTCTGTACATTATTCATAATGAATACAAAATTACAGAAAGATCATTGGAATGCAAAATTATATGGAAATTTATTTATGTCAGAGGATATAATAGATGCATATAATATAGCAAAACCAATTTTAAATTTGAAAAAAAATGGACTACTAAATCATTTGACTACTATGAAAAAACTGAAATATTATACACAATGTTTTTCAATTGCAATAAATCTTGTAGAAGAATATATTACAATATTAAATGAATCATATAACAGTCTATGTACATTTCATTAATTTGATGAAAATATATAATTGATAACATAAAGATATAATTTGTAATATATATATAGGAGAATGTTTGTTGTAAACGAGTCATTTAGAAACTAAGTTTATAAACTATATAAATTAATAAACTAATATGTACAGAGAATTTCCTAATTTTTCCAGAATACATGATTAGATTTCTGTTTCAGGTACCAAATGATTTTGATAGAATTGATTAGTTTGAGTTTTGTATGACTCATATTCAAACAATTTATACCTTTACATTACTTTAATAAAAACAATAGCATTATTCATTACATTTTATTTGTTTTTCTACCATGTGAAATAAGATATATCTTCATTTATTTATAGTTTTGAACAAAATATTTTTGCATTTGACAAATTATTAATAGTATCTAAGGAATCTTTAAAATGTTTAATAATATTTTTTATTAATGTTCAATACAAGTTTAATTATTTTTATAGTGTTGCAGTGGAAATGTAATTGATCGTACACAGAAAAAGAAATCTATTATAAGTTCTGTTAAACTTCCATTGGTAATACCTGGATTTACTGGGGGAAAATCAGGACAACAAAAAAGAGATTGTTTTCATCCTGGTGTATCTAGTTTAAGCCATGAATGTATTGATGTTCAAGAAAGGGAGGCAATTAAATCTGCAAATATGATTAGAGCAATGCTTAGATATATTTGGCCAAAAGTAAGTTATCTTAGGGACCTAATTAATATTGTAATAATATAGCTATATCTATTCATAGGATGATCCAGATATTCGAAGAAGAGTTAAAATAGCCATGGGTTTACTTGTTGGTGCAAAAGCTCTAAATGTTGGCGTTCCTTTCATTTTTAAATGTGCAATAGATACTCTTAATACCCAACACATGGCAACTACTGGTAATGCCATTTTAAGTCTAGAAACTGGATCAGATACGGTTGCAACAGTAGCAACATCATTACTTATTGGATGTATGTACAAAAATCATATAAATTATTATTATAAAAAGAATATTCTTTCTGATTTATAAGTTGTTGAGAGTAGATATTTTCTATTAATATTATCATATTGAAAAACAGATGGAGTAGCACGTGCTGGTGCAGCTGGATTTAGTGAATTGAGAAATGCAGTATTCGCAAAAGTTGCTCATCATTCTATTCGTAAAATAGCTAAAAATGTATTCTTACATTTACATAATTTAGACATGGCTTTTCATTTAGGTAGACAAACTGGAGCATTATCTAAAGTAAGATAATTTTATTGTTCCTATTTTTATTATTTGAAATAATCATTTATTCAATACAAATTGTTGTAGACAATAGATAGAGGGAGTCGTGGTATAAATTTTGTATTAAATGCTATGGTATTTAATATTATTCCTACTGTCTTTGAATTATCATTAGTTAGTACAGTCTTATATTTAAAATGTGGAACAGAATATGCAAGTATTGCTCTTAGTTGTGTTGGAATTTATGCATTATTCACATTGGCTATTACTCAATGGCGAACGAAATTTAGAATTTTTATGAATCAAGCAGAAAATGAAGCAAGTAATAAAGCAATAGATTCACTTATCAATTATGAAACAGTAAAGGTATATTTTGTACTTTATTCATTTTTACAATTGAATAGGTTACTGTAAGAAGGAGGCAGCTCCACTTTAAGATAATTTGAGCAAATCAACAAAAATCAAGTACTGCTTCAAACATGTTATAAATTTATGGTTAATCTATATACATGTTAATGTACTCTTAGACTAAATATAAAATCTATACGTTTCTTATTGTTCAATAAATATGATTTTCAATATTGGAGCTACTTTCCTTTTGTGCCAAAAATAGAAACAAAATAGTAAATTACTAAAAGAATTAAAGAAATTTAAAAAGAGATTATATTTTATTATAATCATGACTATAATGATTAATGCATTTAAAAAGAATGATATTTGAAGTATATGGTGTAGAATCATCTTCAAATAACTTATCCTCTCAGAAGCCTATTGTCTGAAGTTTTTTGGTTTTGTTATAGAACCATATCTTATTTTCTGCAACGTACTTCTTTGTAAGTTCTAACAGGCCCTTATATTTTGAAACTTTTAATGGTAAGAAGATTTTATATGTTGATTGAAGATTATTCATTGTTATAAATGTTTGCTTTTTGATATTGAACATTTTTACTTGTTCAAATTCATTCTCAATGTATTTAGTTGTGCCTCTTTACTTAGAGCTAATTCCTTTTTCCACTAAGTCTAAGATCACATTTTTTTTAATGAAACGAAATGAAAAAAAGTAGAGCTGCCTCCTTCTTGCTACAAATCCTTCAATTACGATATCTATATTTCCATACAATTCTAATATTTGTACTGTATAAATAATTTATTTTTATATCTTTTATGTTAGTATTTTAATAACGAAAAATTTGAAGCTGAAAGATATGACGAATCGTTGAAAAAATATGAAATTGCATCACTTAAAACAAGTACAAGTCTAGCAATGCTAAATTTTGGACAAAATGCTATATTTAGCGCTGCACTTAGTTTAATAATGGTACTAGCATCCAATAATATTATAGAGGGTAATTTTTTAATGTTTACAATGTACATAATATAAAGTGTAAATTTTGAAGTAATATTTAAATGTAGGTACCATGACAGTAGGAGACTTAGTAATGGTTAATGGTCTTTTATTCCAACTATCAGTTCCCTTAGGATTTTTGGGTTCAGTATATCGTGAAGTTAGACAAGCTCTCATCGATATGCAAACTATGTTTACTTTGATGGCAATGAATACTGCTATTAAGGTACTTATACATACTTTCTAAGATTTATTGATTATAAGTAATTCATACAGTTTATGATATAATACCAGTCTAAAGAGAATGCAACGCACTTTCATATAACTTCAAAGAATTCGGATATTGAATTTAAAAACATTAGCTTTCACTATGTTGAAGGCAAGCCTATTTTTAAAGATATTAATTTTACTATTCCAAGTGGTAAAAAGATAGCTATTATTGGAGGATCTGGTTGTGGGTAAGTTTTAAATATAATATACATAATTTTTAAAAAAGTAAAGTATTGATTAATAATATATGCTTTTTAGTAAAACAACATTAGTAAGATTGTTATACCGATTTTTTGAACCACACTCTGGAGCTGTTTTTATAAATGGGCATAATATTCGAGACATTGATTTAGATATCTTAAGAAAATCAATAGCAATTGTTCCTCAGGTAATTTTATCATTTATTATCAACTTAAATCATAAATTTTAATTAAAAAAAGATTTAGTAATATACATATAATTAAAATATTAAAATCAACAAATTATTCTAGGACACTGTTCTCTTTCATGAAAGTATCTTTTACAACCTTCATTATGGTAATTTATCTAAAAGTAAGGAGGATGTTTTTGAAGCTGCCAAAATGGCAAATTTACATGATTCCATTCTTAAATGGCCAAAAGGATATGATACACCTGTTGGAGAACGTGGTTTAAAGTTAAGTGGTGGTGAAAAGCAACGAGTAGCAATTGCTAGAGCAATTTTAAAAAATAGCCCAATATTAATTTTTGATGAAGCCACATCATCTCTAGATTCTATTACAGAACATGTAAGTTCCTATTATATGTTAAATGTTATTACTATAAATATTTAACTCTGATAACATACTTTCAGAATATTCTTGAAGCATTACGTAGAGCAACTGTTGGCCGGACTTCCATTGTTATAGCCCATCGATTATCCACTGTTATGGATTCAGATGAAATTTTTGTATTAGATAATGGTAGTTTGATTGAAAGAGGAACACATGACTCTTTATTAGCTGTGCCAAATTCTTTATATTGCAAATTGTGGGAAACACAACACATAGGAATGCTCAAATCTAGTCAAGAAAAAGATAATAACTGTAGAACTCCAGGAGTTTGAAACAGAAATTGTATAATGCACAGGTAATAATGTCATACAATCTTGAACTTGAAATTAACCATTTGAACATACTGAGAAGTCTATATATATCTAAACAATAGATTCTTATTTCTATAATTTTTTTTGTTTATCGTAATCTATCAAAATGAACCAAAAATATTTCCAAAAAGTCGATTTGATTCTAATTGAACATTTCCCAGTTTTAATACAAAATTAATATTACATAAGATTAAATATTTATTATTTAATGTATTATTATAAATGTATTATTGTAAATGCAACTAGCAATGGTAAATTAGGCAAATTACTTGTAATAATAAAAATTTGTAACATAACAATATACATGTGCATTATATATAATATTTTTAATTTGTTACACAATTACAAGTCTGTGGCTAAATTTCCAAAGTATAATTATTATCACAATTAATGTTTGAAAAGTATAGTAGATAGAACGAAAATAAAAAGATAAGTACAAATTTATTATTATTACTATTCCTCTTTATTCTATGTATACAGGGTGGTTGGTAACTGGCGGTACAAGTCTGCTAGAGTTATACAGGGTGGTTGGTAACTGGTGGTATACTGGTGGTACAAGCGGAAAGGGGATGATTCTACGTGAAAAAAGAAGTCGAAAATATAGAATAAAAATTTTTCGATTGAGGCTTTGTTTTCGAGAAAATCAACTTTGAATTTTCGCTTGGTACGCGTGCACTTTACCACGTCTCGTTGGAAAAATTTTTCTAAAAAGAAAAAAAAATTTTATTCTATATTTTTGACTTCTTTTTTCGCGTAGAATCACCCCCTTTCCGCTTGTACCACCAGTTACCAACCACCCTGTATATAGATTTATCACAAAATAGTAATATACGATATATAAATATTTTTAAATAAAATCGAAATATTTCATTCCTTATATATATACATGCATTTGTCATTTACAAAAATATGTTTTTAAGTATTTTCATTTGAACAGATTTCTTTAAATACATATAACTCTAATCAACATTGATTAGAGAAATGTTGTGCATTGGTTACCTTGGAAACCGGTTAAAAACAACTATGGATGCTGATTAGTCTTGAATAAGTTTGGATAATGATGTAATAATTTGTTCTTATAAAGCTATGCTAGTTGTGATGTAGAATTTGCAAATAAAACATGCAAACTGAAGTTCCTACGTTGCCTGTAGTACACTTTAATGCCCATAAGAATCTCAATAGGTAATCATAGTAGTGCCAAGCATTTTATAAATATTTTGATGTATATTTGTGATGTAAATTGAGAACTGAATACTTTGACGATGTGTCTGTAACAAACATTTTAGTATATATGTATATTGTTTTACAGTTTAATTTTTTTTTTATTTAATTTTTTCACATATAACAAATTTGTGTCATTTATGTATTCATTATATATTTAAATTGTATTTTCTACTATAGATCTTGAGAAATCTTATGTATAATTTACAGAAAACAAAATTCTAACTTAGGAAGGTCATCAGTGGAAACAAAAATTAATTCATCTCACAAAAATATAGCATATCTCTCCTATAAGAAAAAAAACCTACATCCTCTACTTGGTTTGTATTAAAATTTCAATAAGAATTAATACATTAATTCATAAAACATTAATTAATAGGCACTTTATTCTCCTATTAAAGGATTTATAATATTTTATTTTTAATGTTTAAATTAATGAAGTAATTATCAATGTCTTTTAAACATACATGATCCACATGATCCCTGGATGTTTAAAACAATATTTTAATATTAATATTTAATATACAGTACGACCATATCAAAGTAATGTTCGACAATGTCCTTCTTTGGAACAATCAAAACCTAATAAGAGTAACATTGAACAAAGAGTTCTGTCTGCAAAAATGTTACGTATTAAAGAACTACAAAATCAGTTGGCGGATGCTCACTATCGATTAAATGTAATGATTTCAAATTGTATCACATAAATTTACATATTTCTAAAATTCATGTATATATCACAAGTATATGTTAATTACAGGCATATTGAATATAATTATATATTTCCACAGGAATTAGCAACTGAAAACAAATTATTACGAGCATTACAGAAAAGACAAGATTCTGCATTAAAACGTTATGAAGGAACAAATGCTGAACTTCCGCGGATTATTAATTCACATCATGAGGAATTGAGAGTACTTCAGATTAAATATAAAAAATTAAAAACTTTACAAAAGGAAACATGTAATTTATTAAAGGAAAAAGAAAATGAGCTTCAACAATTACAGGTAGATATTAATATATATAACGTTTTCAAACAAAAAATGAAAATATCAATAGTTATATATTACCCCTTAGTCACAAAATAAACATCTATTACAACTTAGTAAGGATCGTAATTTGGGAGAGAGAGAAAAGTTACAAATAGAAGTTTCTGATTTAAATCATAGAATACAACAACAACAAGATACCATACAGGTAATCTCATATTTGTAACTGATTTCATACATAATATTTATACATTTCATTATTTTATTAGACACTACATAAAAAACTAACTCTTGAAACTAAAAGTTTAAAACAACAATTGCATCTAGAAATTTCTAAGCGTAGAGAAACACAAAAACATTTAGATGAAACAACAGAAAAATTAAGATCTTTAGAAAATTTACTAGATAATAGAGAACGAAGATTATATTATAGTGGACAATTATTGTTTCCTGATAAGAATCGACGTTTTGGCACACAGTCTCTCACAAACCTAAGAGATATTAGGTATGTGGAAAATATAATACTAAACTAATCATTTCTTCATATTCAGTGATTTCTTCTAGCTCATCAAATCCATTAAAGATACCAAGTAAAAACAAAAAATGGCAAACAGATATCCAAAAAGACAGTTTGGTAAAGATAAATTTTATTCTATAATTGTGTATACTATTTATATCTTCTGAAAATAGATATTATGTTCATCTCATATTGATAACTTTTAGCCCATGCTTCATACATCTGAATTAAATGAAAAGAACATCAAAACAGAGGAAAGGATAATTTCAAATCAAACTTTAGACTGTATAAAATCTGAAACAATGACAAACTTGGAACAAGTACGAAGATATCGTCTTCAAAAATCGCCATACAAAAATACATTGAATAATTCAGAAGAAAAATCCAGGGAAATAGATTTAGCTATAAACGAAAATTCAGAGTTTTCAATAGGTTTAGAAAAATCAGAACAATTAGAAAAACAACATAAAGAGGAGGGGGAATATCAAATAAGCGCAGGTAAATTTAGAAAAATATATAACAACCGAAAATGTCAAAATTTTATCAGTTCATCTGGAGGTAGCGAAAGCGAAAATGAAAATGAACATGAAAATGATAAAAATAATTATACGAATGCAACTAACAATTCTAAGCAACTGCATGCAAGGTTTGTATGATTTGCATTTATTTTTATTTAAAATAATTATTTAATTGTAACATTTTATTATCTTTCAGATTAATTAGCAGTGCAGATGACACTTCAGATTCAAAAGATTCTGATTGTAAATATAGAAATAAATTGAGGGTTTTAGTAAGAGAAAGAAAAAATTCCTATGTAAGTGATTCAGAAATAGAATCTGAAATAAGAAAACAATCAATTGAACATTACTTGACAGTGAATCGTCAAAATGATACACTCAAATTAATTTCATCTGTTTATGACAATCAAGCTCATTATGACTCTGATAAAGAAACAGAAAAATTTACATCTTCAAAAAATATATTAAATGAATCACAGAATGTTTATCAATCTTTAATTGATGAAATGCATATAAAAACTAAAAATGTAGAAAATGAAAACATATATGCTCAATACGATATACACACAGAATATAAAAACTCAGGCAATATAGAAAACTATATGTGTGAACAAACTCCACCTAAAATACAAGAATTTAATAATGTAAGTATGAAAAAAGATGATTTTAAAAATGAATCATCATTACAAACATATTTTAAAGATGGACATGACGTATCATTCAAAACTAATAATATAGAGCCAGTAGATATTGAATCAAAAATATCACACACGAATGAAACTCTTTTTAATGGTACACAAAAAAGATTTTCTACACAAGATTTATTAAATTCTTCACAGAATTTAAATAAAGCAACAATAAACAAAGTAGATACAACAGAAGTAGGAATATTAAGTGAAAATATGCTGCTACAGAACTATAGTTTAGAAACAAAAAATAAATTAAATAAGAATGAGTTTCAAAATGTTGATATGATTTCACACGATGTACAATCTCATGATAATGATTCAGTTCATGATATATTAACTGATGTTAGTACTATGTCTGAAAGCAATATAAAAACAAAAATGACAGATTATAACAAAGAAAAGTTATTAGCATCAATGAAAGCTATTGATAATAATGAAAACATTGAATTTCTAAACCAAGATTATGAAAAACATAATGTAACAAGAAAAAAGCAAATGATAGAAAATGTGTTCCCTGATTTGCCATCCCACATGAAGAAAAAGCAAGAAATTATTAAAGATATATTTGATACTGATGTAATTAAAAATGAATCAACAGATAATTGTAATAAATTACACTGAAATATAAATGAAAAAAAGAAAAATACTAAAATATCTGCAAGGACAAAACATAGACTATATAAATAATTATAATATGTGTGTAACTATATTTTTTTTATAATACAGATATTACTATACATACATGTACATCTCTATTTTATGAGAGGTTAGGAACTTCTTATTTAATGTAATAAATTATTTAAGGATATGCTATTAAAAGCTTTGTACATCTTTTACCCTAATTTTAGTTCTTTAATAAATGTCTATTATATTTATAATTTAAGTGTCTATAAATTATTAGATTTATTTTATGGTTCTCAGTGTCAATATATGCGGAGTGTACATATATGTGTATTATGTAATTAATGTTACATCAATTATATTTATATTTATTTTGTATATTTGTTGGTAATAAAGAAACAATAACATCTAATAAACAAGCTATTCTAGAATACATTAAATTACATATATTAATTAAAATTATATTCAAATTCACAACGCGTAATTACAAACTTGAAAATATAACTATATCAATATGTATATATATATATTCTTTAAATTACTCATAGATGCCTACAAATTTTGAGTTTTCTACAGCAACTGAAAAGATAGTTCAATTAGTCACAATGGTGACATTATGTAGATATAATATAATATCACTTATTTGAATAAAGAAACTGATATAGATAATATTTTATTCAAAAAGATATGGTTAACAATAATATATATTAAAAACATGATTATAAAAAATAAAAGGATACTCATATTTAATATTTAGACTATATTTAATTTTACATTACATTTAATATTACCTGTAATATTGTAATATGTACTTAATTATAAATGATAACAAAATAGAAATTTTTTATTTGTAAATTGCACAATCTGTTTCCTAAATAAATAACCATCTTCGGAGATGTAACATTTTTGGTTATATAAAAATAAACTACAAACTTTTACATCAAGTTTTACATGCGTATACAGATCTTTGTTTCACAGATTGGCAATACTGAACTCAGGACTCAGGATTGACAAGAAAGGAAGCAAACAAGGAAGCAACAAAAAGGAACCTGTTGTGCACAGAAGGCAGTGGAATGAAGATACGCCGCGAATACAAATCCCATAATGAACACCAAAATAAACCATGAATATGCTTCTAATTCATATAACGGAGGTATTTGTTTATTCGTTTTATGTAACTGATATTATCATCTCCTGAATGTAGTAATATTAATAAAAAATATACATACTTTGTTAAGAACATAGTAAAGAAGAATTGAAAAACCGTCTGCTGGGCGTCCTTATGGCGTCTGCTAGAATGACGCTTGAAAAACAAATTTGATTTCCATATGTAAAAAAATAAAAATTAATTTTTTCGTAGTATTTTAATATTTTGCAATATTAAAAATGTAACAAATTTTTTATTATTTTTATAGAATAACAAAGTTAATATTTAAGAATTTTTTCGAAGACCGTCATATGTCATAATGTTAATAAAGATTTATACATTTATTGTTCAATAAATATTAACATTTGGCACGATGAATAAAATGAAGATATATCACTGAAACTCCTTAATAAAGAATCGAAAATTCATTCCATAAGTTTATGTATTCTTTCACATTGCAAAATTTGTATAGTCATATTTTAAATAATGAAAAATGTAGGCTTATTAATTATTAACTATTAATTTTTTATTATATAAACTGGTTTGTTTTATTTACGAAATAAATATATATTAATTTTTTCTAAAAACTTTTTAAAAGTATACTATAATAACAAAATCATTTCATTTTGCAATAATGACCATTTTAGGTATTATGGGAAATGATAGTCCAGGTGCATTATTAGATATGCTTGCAGAAGTTGCATCTCAGACGTTACATTCAGAGAAAAAGCGTAGTAAATTATTATTACCATCACAATGCAAGTCAAAAACAGATTATGTAAAAAGGAAGGCCCATGAATTGACCTTTAATGTGCCACAGCTTCTCTCTATGCCTGCATCACAATTAGTTAAACAATTTTCTATTTTCACAAGTGATGAATTAAAAAGGCAATACTCATATACATGTGCTCTTGTCATTGGATGTGTACAAAAATATACTAGTTTTGCAAGCGAAGGAAGAGCAAGAATGTCTATTAAAGCACATTTAGCAGAACATTTAGAATATTTAAAAACTAATAAAGAAGCGTGTAAGTAAACATAACATTTACACCTGCTTATAAGGAAAGAAGTTATCTATTAATTATAAAACATAAATTATATTTTATAGATAAAACTTTTACTGCAAAGTCAGTAAGTTACAAAAATTATAAAATTAGTCCTCAAAGTAAGAAAAGCAGATTACAACAATCACGGAAACCGCAGGAAACATTAAATAAAGAGAATAAGAATGTTATTACAGAAAAATCAACAAATTACTTAAGAAATATTTTGTTAAATGATTCTACTTTTAATGAGTTAGATAAAAAGAAAAATGTCGAAACAGTAGAAAATTCAAAAAAAATACATAATTCTGAACAGAAAGATACAGAAAGAATGGATTTTAAAGTTCTTGGAGATCATAGTTATTTTGAACGCTTAAAAGATGAAATTCCTAGCAAGAAAGAAACATCACCATTTAACAATTCTCTTGAAAATGTGACAGATGAAAATGTAAGTAGTAAATATGAAATAAAAATATAATTTGTGTAATTTTTAAATACAATCTTTTTCCTTATGTAGATTGTACTTATGGTTGTTGGTGCTGACAGTGTTCATATGAAAGAATATCCACATATTAACAAAAAATTGTCAGAAAAAATCAATCAAAAATCTGATACCGTTTATTTGCCAGGTAACTGGATAAAACATTTATAATACTTTAATACATGTATTATATCCGAAAACATTGAAATGTACGGATGGTACAATAAATACAATTTTCTTACTTACTATAATACTTTATATGTGTCATATTATCGTGTCATATTATATAATATAAATACATACATTTATGTTTATTTTTCTTTATTCATATGTAATATAAATATTTTGGTTTATTTCCAGAAATGTCATGGCCAACTGAAAATGGTGATAAAAATACAGAAATTATAACTAGTAAACCCAAAGGGAAAGCAAAATTTATAGGTACTAGTAAAGAGGAAAGAGAAATGGCATTAGCTTTTATGGATCGTATAAAGAAAAAGGGAAATCCAACTGGAAGTAATCTCGAATGTCGAATTTGTAATCCACCACGAAGTTTCACAGCACCTACAACATTGGTGTCTCATTATCGCAGTCATGCTGGAATAAAACCATATGAGTGTCGTATATGCAGAGCAGTTTTTACGAGAAGACATAGTTTGAAATATCACATGTTAATTCATCAAAATCAAACGCGATTTACATGCGCTGATTGTGGAAAGAAATTTAGGCATCCATCACATTTCAGAGAACACAGACGTAGACATACTGGTGAAGCACCATTTGGATGTGATGATTGTGGACAACGGTAAGCAAAATGTAGAATACAATATATTAAAAATATTTATAATATAATACTTTTTTATTAAAAAAGATATTTTTATATTAATCAGATTTAAAACAAGAAACACTTACAAACGTCATTTAAAAACAAGACATGGAAAAGTTCTAACAACTACTGGAGAGTTGCTGTATCTGTCGGAAGAAGATTTTCAAAAAGTTCGAACTAATAGAAAGAAAAAGAATAATACAAATAAAGATCACATGATAGATGAGGGCATAATTGCAACAAAAACAATCATGCATTGTCAAAATGATAATGACCAATTACAAAATACTGCAACTGAGGAATATATTATAAATAATGATGCCACTGATAGTGATAAAAATTGGAAATCAAGTGATACAATACAAATTATTAAAAATTGTTTTGAAACTTACGAGGTGTGTTCAGAACCTCATTTAAATAAGACTGAATCGATAGAGACTGAATTATCTATAAAAAATAGAGTTTTTAATAAAGACGAAAATAGTTTATCAGATGAATATCCAGATAAAGTAGAAGATAAACTGCCACAGTTGCAAAGTGGTTCTTATATTAAGTTAGAAATAGTCAAAGATGGAAATAATCAAATTATATGTCATGATAATGTTGGTCAACCTGAAATAATTTATCATAATATAAATGAAGCACCATCATATATTAAAGTAGAATATAGCAACTTAGTTAATGATTTAGAAAATGAGAATAGTATAGAATTTCAAGAAAATTTTAAGTTCTCTGAAAATCAAATTAAGAATCCTATACAAATAATTAATGAAACTGAAAATTATTTTGATGAAGAATCCAATAATTCTGTAAGTGAACAACAAACAAAATTAATGCAAGTAGATACCCATATTAAAACGAAGAACAAAGATAGCAATAAACATATAATACTTAGTCAAGAACATATCAAATATGAAAAAGAAAATAGTGATATTACTACTCTTAATTGCAAACGTTTTCAAGAAATGGAGACCCATGAGATTGTTTCAGAAGACTTAATAGATTTAAATACATTGCAAGGAATTAATCAAATTACTAATAAAACAATATCAATTACGGATACCTTAGCGAACCAAAATGAAGATTGTCTATTACAAGAAGATAAAAAATTAAGCAATTATCAAACAGTTATAACAAATTTGATAAAGAATCGAGTGATTGTATCTCCAAATTATGTTTTTGAAAAAGATCAAAAGTTATTAAACCAAGTTGAGCAACGCTTATATATTCATAATGAACCTTTAACTAGTATAGTAGTACAAAATAAATGCATTAATATATTTCCACAAACCCAATCAAAAACACAATTAAATAAAAGTAAAAAATTTACACTCTTGAATAAACACATGCAAGCTATTAATGTAAAGCAAAATGAAAATCAAAATACAATTTTATTGTTGACCAATAATACGTTACAAAATAATATCCTTAAAATTGATCAAAATAATACTGCTGATACTGAAATTAAAGAACAGATATTTGAGAAAAGTAAGTAAGCATTAAAAGTTTTTTAATTTTTTCTGAATCAGGCATTCGCATTAAAAAAGATATAATTTTAAGATAAATTTCCTATTTCTATAGATACAGTTTTAATAAAAATACACTTGTAGTATAAATAATACTACAATAACGTTTTGAATTTTTGTATATGTAAATATTGTTAGAAGAAGTGTAGATTTAATAATTTTTTATTATTTGAAGAAAGAAAGTTCAATATATATAATAATAATTCTTCAAAAAAGAATGCATTTAATAAAATATTTTTACATGATTTCAATCATACAAAACACAGTATTAGCATAGCTTTGATATATAATAAAGTTTAAAAATTGAATAAAAATGCATTTATATATATACATACACATATATTGTTTTCAAGTGACATAAAATTATTTCTAAAACTGTTTAACCTATAATTTCTGGAAACAAATTATAGATGTCACAAAGTTTTTATTAGGCATTCCAGATGTTAAAGTTGAAAAAATAGCGTTTATTAAATTTTCTATAACAATTTTTTATGTATATATTAACAAATCAATTATACAAAAGTTATTATTAATTTACTTACTACAATAGAAATATAGATACTTAATAACAATTATATTTGTTTGTGTGCCAAATATTGGAAAATGTAGTACAAATTCATAATTTGCTTAGTCAAACAGAAATTTTTAATATCACTGGTGGTTGCTTTCTAAGTTCTCATATATTTTGCTTAAATGAATTACAAAAATATTGTTTATTATATTTTATATTTATTTTAAGCAATTTATGGAGAATGTATTACTTGTTTCTATTTGTAGCACACTTTCTTCTTTTATACATATAGATCATATTTTTATCGCAAAATGTACAACATTTATAAACAGCAAATAATCATTCATTTTTTAATATTTTGAAATACTTATATTTCTTCAAATATAGCTCAAAAATGTCTTCCATAAAAATTTAAAGTTTTCTTGATATTATACATATTCTCAATGTTTTCTTATAAAAATATATAAACAATTTATTATTATTATCTTCAGATATTAATGTTCAAGGAATAATATAATATATTGAATATATTCTCTGAAAATAGTTGAGTAATTTATATTGCAGTATTTCATTACAGAAAAATAAATTCTAAAAACTCAAATTATTATACGTAGGTGACTTTTAAAAATTTTCTTTCGCTCAAAACAATGATTATAAATATCAATGAATAAAAATAATAGTGAAATTAACATGCATAAATAACAAATTCGGGTTTTTTACTGCTTGAAGCTTAATATTGAAAATTTGTACAAAAATTTGTATATCTTTTCTAAAGATAAAGTACAACTAAAACTTTTTAATGAAGATATATTTTAATGTAAAGTTCCAAAAATAAAAATGTGAGTGTCTTAAGGTATATGAATAAGACAGAAGCATTTCCTGTATCACTGTAGAAACATGTAAACAAATGAATTGATTAAATATTATATAAAACATAAAAGGAAAGAAGTAAAAAATTATTTTCGCAAAAATTTATATATTACGAAATATAATGTGCCTTGCAGGTATGATAAAGTTGGTTATTAATAGTATATCATAAATACAATAATAATTACAAAAAAAATATTCATACATATACTTTGTACTAATTTTTTATTATCATTTGTAATAAACGTTAAAGGTTTATAACAATGTTAATATAAAAAGTAATTTTAGTTATATATTGTATCTTTATACTCATTTTGTACTTAAAACAATAAAATGTTTAAAAGTTATTTGATAATATAATTATGAAAAAATATACATTTTCTCAAAATATATTGTATAGTGATGTGTAATTCTCAGCTTTTTATAGTTTTGAATATTTTTGTAATTCCCAATTTTTTATATCTATAGAAACTTGACAACAGCAATAAAGGAAGAAGAGTAATACAAATGTACTATACCATGTATCTGTAATGAAACATGCAAAAATTTAAAGTAAACAACTCTGTGAACTACACAAAAATTATATAATACATATTTGTTCACTTTTATTTGAAATAATAAAGTTGTAAATAAGTTGTAAAATACAATAAAATAGTACCATGTAGTATTCTAGAGATGTAAATATTTCCAATTTCTTCTCCAACAAAAAAGTAAAAATTAGATATTACAGAAATTGCTAATAGAGGACTTGCTAAGATGCAATGAAATCGTCTCGCATTTGTTTCTGACAGATATCTTTTTCGTACATTTAAAAAATATTTGTTTTTACCAGTTAATTTGATTAAACTTTCAATATTTAATCCTACAAAATTTAGAAATGCCCAAATAAAAATGTTTATCTGCATCCCATGCCATAAAAAAACGAATGTAAAACATAAAAACGAGGCGAGTAATTTGTTAAAATTTGATTTCAATGAAGGTACATAAATATATCTGAAAAATATTTTGTTTTTTGAAAATTTTCGTTATAATTACATATCATATTTATATATTTCAATCATACCTAATAAGAAACTTGTATAAGCCTTGATCAAAATATTTCCACATGTCAGAATACAAATGAATTCTTGCTACACATTTAGGTTGAGGGGGAGCTTTTACATTATCTATTGCACATAAAGTGTGATTGAGTCCATATACTACGACATACTTAATTAAAAAAAATTGCCCCATACAATATCCTAATCCATATAAAGCCCATGGATTTAAATCCTTAATAACCTGTTTTTATGAAAAGAAATAGATAGATTTTCAGTGAAAAATACTATATGTAGAAAAATAATTTTACCTCTGGATGATATTGTATTGCACTAAAATAAAGAAAATGCAAAAACAAATTAGTGAACAGTATCCAGAAAATGTATCTAATGACATTAAAAAGAAAATTTCCAAGATTTGCAGGTCTCAAAAATTGAAATGATCCTTTTACCTGTAAGAATGTAAAAACATATTTCTCATTTGTTCTCAATAATTAAAAACAAACACGATTTTAATAAAATATGATACATACAGAATTAATGAATTCCTGATATAAAACTAGTGGTCCTAAGGATAATGTAGGCAAATATAAACAATATGCCAATTTGTATAAAAGATTTTGTACAAAAAAGAGTATATAATCACATTTATTTTCTAAATGTGATTTTATATTATCCATACTGTAGCTAATGCTTCTTAGTTGAACCCAACACAATATATGAGTTAAAATGTAGTGTTCTTCATCATTTAATTTCAATGTATTTTGGAAGGAACCACCCGGAATTTTAAGAAAATGTATTATAAATAAAAATAATATATTTATCATCCATATAATAGATTTGCCACGTTTGTATGTTAAAATATAGAGTATACTTGGATGCATTAATGCACATAACATACTGAAGGTTCCAATACAATAATACAAAAATAATAAAGATATAAGGATGTACCAACAACACAATAGCTGCAGAAACATATAACATTGTTAGTGAAATAATTAGAGAAAAATAACAAAATATAGAATAATACTAAATTGTCACACCATAGAATTTGATATAATCTTTATAAAATGACTGATAAAGTGATGCAGAAATAACCAAGGTATTAATTTTATCATCAATGGTACCCATATTCTCCATTCTTCATCAGAAACATCTTGTTTCCTTCCAATCCATGTCCATCCTGGTGCAAAATCACCATACAAATCATCATAATTAGTAAAATCTAAAAGTTATGTATATAGTTTGAAATATAGATATACATTTATAACAGATAGACATAAAATAAATGCTTAAATTCTTACAAGAATTAATTAAAAATACTTTATAAATGGAATATAATACTGCACCAGTCCACAGAAGAAAATATAAGAAACTTTCATATTTATATAATTTAATAATCCTGTCCGTTGCCGAAGTCATTTCCAATTACAATTAAATTTATCGATTTGTTTTTGTTACAGTTATTGTTTTTATTCTTCAATCATTATTAATAAAGGATCGTAAGATTTTTACGTTATACATTTTGTTAAAAGTTGATTTATTGAGGTTTGAATGAAGGTACTGTAATTTATTTCAGAACCGTCGAAAACAATTATTTAAAAAACATAAATGGTAGTAAATACTAGAGGTAAAATGTATCAAGTTTTATATCTGACATTAGGTTAGGCCTCAAAAGTATCATTTATGTTAGGTTAATAATAAAATTATATTAATTCAATATATTGAATAATACTTAGAAATGTATCTTACACAGTGTAGTGAAAAATAAAAGGATTCAGATATCCATTATCTGTAAATATTTATTTCTATTAAAAAAATCAGATTTTATGTTATTACTGTAATAATAAATATGAAATGATATTTTTCAAATAAAATTTTATTTTTAGAACACGAAATAAATAGGTTAAATACAACAAAGTAAATTACTTGAACACATAGTATAATTATAAAATATGCATTCAGTTATACATATTTAATTATATGTTAATGTAAAGTACAATAGGACAATGATCACTGCCATACACTTCATCCCTTATAACATTGTCACAAACATTATCCTTAATTTGTTCTGACACCAAAAAATAATCTAGTCTCCTATATAAAAGATTATAAAATATTATAAAATATAATATGAAGATTACATTTTTAATATTTAAATTCATAATAAACAAATTTTTTATACTCACCATCCTATATTTTTACTACGTGCATTAGCAAAATATGACCAAAATGTGTATGCACCTTCCTTATCAGGATATAAAGCTCTAAAAGTATCCACAAATCCTGCATCTAAGAAATCTGTCATACCACTTCGTTCCTCTTGTGTAAATCCAGCATTTTTTTTATTCGTGTCTGGATTTTTGAGATCTAAACGAATTATGAAAGTAGTTTTTATAATTTCATTAATTTTCAAAAATTAGGAAGAAATAATTTAATGAATAAAAAGAATTCTACCTATTTTTTGATGAGCAACATTCATATCACCACAAATAATAACAGGTTTCTTTTCATCCAGATTCTTTACATAAGCTTTAAAAGCTTCGTTCCATTTTAATCTTTTTGGCAATGTTATTAATTTTTGACCAGCATTAGGAACATCTGTATACAGTTACAAAATTTAGTACATAATATCCACAGATTTTTATCCATATAAAGTCTGAATAACTTACAAACATTAACTAAGTAGAAATTTGAATATTCTGCAGTAATTAATCTCCCTTCGCTATCAAATTCAACATTATCTAAACCATATTTTATATCAATTGGTTTTTCTTTTGTATATAATGCAACACCACAATATCCAGGTTTTTTACCTATTTATAACATATATATAATTTGTTATTTTATAAATAAAAATAGATTATAAAAAAGATCCTTACTCTCAAGAAAATAATAATGATATCCATTTAATTTAACTTCTTCAGGTAACTTATTTTTATCACATTTGGTCTCTTGTAATGCAATTATGTCTGCATCTTCTTTCAACATATATTCCATTCCATTTTTCTAAATCAATATAATATCAAACTGACATAAAATTTCATTAAAAGCTACAGAATATAATAAAATTGTTACCATACTTTAATGACTGCTCTTATGCCAGAAACATTCCAACTGGAAATTTTTAAATTATATTTGTTTCCTTTTGCATTTAACTTTGAACAACCAAAATCAATTTCATTTAAATTTGTATCTATTCTATTCAAAACTGATTTTTTGTCTGTTTTGAAACGCTTTGCAGTAGGTTCTTCGTTATCATCTGTATTACGTTTAGACCTTTTCTTTGTTGCTTCCGATTTTACTTTATTCTTTTTTTCACTTTTAATTCCCATAGAATTTTCCTGATTCAAAATAAAAGCAAAATAAATATTTCTTTTATAAATTACTCAATATTTTGCAGTAACATATTCTATAACTGAATTACATAAAACATCTTGAACAAAGTGTTGTAATTACATTTATAAAAATATATATCCTAACAAAAATTATTGTTTTATTACACTGATAAAAATATTTAAAGTATGATTTATTTAATTGTCTAACCTTTGGAGTTCGAGTTTGTTTTGGAGGCATGTTGATTACGTTGTTACACAGAAATCGCTAAAAAATTATTTATATTATGATATTAACAGTATCGAAATGACTTTTTTTATTCTATTTTACTATGTCATAAATGTTTGATCTATTTTAATATATCTAAAACATATAAAGGATATAACACACAAAGAGTAGTACGTTACCGGCACGATCCTGAAGGAAGTTTGAAAACTGCGCGATATCATGAATCTAATTCAATTGACTGTTTAACATACACGTATACTAAAAGAGAAAGATTTACATAAAGACAGACAACGTATTTAGGAAGATGAATTATTAATTCTTAAATTAAATATCTTGCATATATTGTTCTTTTATATTATGAATTTTTTAATTACCATAATTGAATTATTAAATTTATAGATAGAATATTAAAATTTATATTTAATTTGAAACTTAGAAATTTATAAAATGATAAGATACATATTTAAAACAAATGTATAATAAATGTGATACCTGGTAATACGAAATGTGAATGTGAAGTAATAGTAATAGCAGATAATAGTAGAGAGGAATTTCCTCTATGATAATAGTATATAGCTACGTAATTTATTTCTGAAAAAAATATATTTATTAAGAAAAATATTATGTGATCTTAAATTTAATACAAATTTCTATAAATTTAAATAATATCAAAAATAATTTATTGTTTATTTCTCTTTCAACATAGTACACACTATTTACATCGAAAGATAGTGAAAATGATTTATATTTCTTGATCTCAAAAAATTTTCATAATTTTTATGCATCATTTAATATGTATACATAATTTGCATTGATGATACTTTTTCCAAGAAGGAGCTTAGTTAAAGGAGATATATTTAAGTTGGTACGAGAGTATTCCAACTTTAAACATCAGTAACTTTATAATTCATTTGATGTAATCTTAATTTCCTTCTTAACGACTATATGAGAGCTTATAGGCATCAATAAGTGGGCCTAGACCCTAGTATGCATGTCAAAGCATCGATAGATGTAATAGCTGTGACTGGTGCCTGTGTGGTCAATTGCCTATACACGCCATGGTCTGTTTAAGGGGGGGGGTAAGGTTAATTCGTACAAAAAAAGGCATATTTTTGTGAATTTTTTCTGACGATACAGTTAAAATTTCTTTTTTAAAACCAATAGTACATTAAAATATGACATTCGAAGAATATTGTATAAAATTTTCACGGAGAAATATTAAAAAATACGGCAATGGCAGCAATTTTTCGGACGTGTCTCGGAAAAAAGTATAATTGCGGTGCCCCTCAGAACGTGGTGCTGGGTTATCAGAAATCAAAAAATTAAAGTTCATTCGTTAGGTAACAGCTTTCCCCAGGTAACGCTGCGAAGATTTTTTCGAAATTTCAATTTTTCACTTTTTTGGCACACTTTGAAGGAAAAAACGCGATTTTGTGCGAAAATTTTCGGCTAATTTGTTATTTTAAAATAAAAATAATTAACAAATTTGAAAAAACTCTATAGCATTACCTCGCAAATTATGTACAGAAGTAGTTTTCAAAATTTCAACAAGATTGGTGCAGTAGTTTTGAAGTAATTGGGGGCACCGACTTTGAAAACGTGAGTTGTGGGGAAAACGCTTTAAAGTTTTGAATACTAAAAAATCTGGTATAAAACGTTCATAAGCGAATTTTATCGGTTCACCTCTTCACTAGCGTAGTAATTGTTGAAAAGACTAATAAAAAATCAATTATCCTATAATATTTTTCATGATCCTTCGTAATTTGATCTTCAACAGTCACTTTTATTTTTTTAGTTGACGCGCTATTTGTTGAAGTGCCTTCGTATTTACGTTTATGCGGAGGTACAATTTTTCTAGGTCGATATAATCTCGAACCAGTTGATTGTCTATCAGATTTAGTAACTTTTTTAGGCATTTTAGTAATAATTTAACACAAAACTTAATGAAAATAGAATATTTACTCCTACACTAAATTTTTTACTCTACACTGACAAAATATACAGTACAGGTATAAGGAGGTTTGTATTTAAGTCGTTAAGTACTATAAATAGATCTGGGGGTAAGATTAGGTATTATATAGAGAAAAAAATGTCTGCGAAGTAACAATAGCACGCTCGCGTCGAGTAGGTAATATCATCCGACATGTATAAAAATACTCGTAACTTCGTCAATTTTGCTCCAATCGACTTGAAATTTTGACACAATATTCTTAAGATGTTATGTATTCAATTAAAAAATAAAAAAATGCAAAAAAATTTTAAAACCTTACCCTCCCCCCCCTTAAGGTTCCGCCGTACGATCATATAAATAGATCTCGATCACGTTTCGGCATTCGCTAGGGTAAACCGACCGAATATTGAGTCTTAAAAAATCAATGTGGAAGATCAACAAAGTTTGCGTTCTTACGAGACAGACAGAGATGAATAAAGTGCCTGTGTTTTGTGTAATATTCATAGCATGTCACGCATGTGCAGGACGAGAACCTTGTTGTCCTCCATGTTGATTTTTCATAAATAGTCACAGCTTAATTTTCGGACGGTTTTCCCTAGGTTTCGGCAGTATATAAGTGTAGTGCCGTTTATATGACCGTGGTCGTGGGTTCTGTTATGTACTTATGTGTCTTATCCCTGTAAGAAAAAATTCCAGCACAGGGGAAGGAGGAAAGAGTCACATTTGAGACAGACGAAATATCTACCTTTCTATTGATCTTTCTGATACAGATTTGCTTATGCTAAGCTCGTATGATATTAATGTTAATAGACTTAAGTGATTATGTGTACCTGTATGAATACATCATCAAATTAAATATGTTTAGTAATAAAAAGAACAATTTACCACCGAGACCTCATATTCCGGATTCTGAACATATATTAGAAGACCTTAATAATGCTCCTATAGATGACATAGCATTTAAAATAATTAATAAAGGTATTATTTACTTCGTTACTTTACTATAAATAACTGTAATAAGAATATTAAACTAATGTTTTAAGTCGTAACTTGTTTGCTTAATTATATATGTTTACTTCTTATAACAATTGTGTCATTATTTATTAATATTAATCTATGCGAAAATAAAAATTTTGTTCCCAGATAAAACTTTTGGAGAACATTCAATAAACACGAATACTTCCGATACCTATCAGAAGGTAAAGATGTATTTAAGTATAAAACAACAGTTAAGATATTTGGAAACTACCCTTGCAGAAAGAGAACAACAGCTGAAAGCTGATAACGAAGAAATAAGAAAACTTGCAGACAATATTAAGAAACAAGCACAAGCTGCATTAATAACATAAATTTTTTATATTTATAAATTCTACTGAAATCAACTGATTAATCCTTCATATGAAAAAAATTTTAATATATAATCATTATCAATTTCATATTGTTTTAATTATTAATTACTAAAAGTACTAAAAATTAGCTAATTATGCAAAATAATACTTATCATAATACATATATTTATATTTTAATTTATACATATTTTTATATAAAATATTAATACCCTCTCTATTATACATATAATTAACTTTTTATAAAAATAAATATACATAATTATTCCTCTATATTATTTGTATATCAAAATATGTATATATTTATGTATGTTATATATTATGTATATATGTATATATTTGAATAATTTAATACATATAATTAATTGATTTTTCTTAAATTAATCTTAATTGTAAATCTTTACATATTCTACATGATATATTATAATAATAGTATTATAATAATATTGTTATAATAGTTATAGGCAGTTCATAGGCACTACAGTTACAATAGTAAATATCATTAATTAAACTCTATCTAAATTTATGATATTTATACTTTGTAAATATTTGAACATGTACTTCAGAATATGAAATAATAAATTAATTTCAATTTTTTAAATGTATTTTGTTTTTCTTTATTATATTATCTGGATTATCTATTATATCCATGATATGAACTTCGTTGTGTTTATACTCGAATATAGTAAAAAATAAGTCAGATAGTAGAACAATGGATATTAATATGATTATCTTTACAAATCTCTTAATAAATACTGTTGTGCATTCATTCAATCATTAATATTGCTAATTAGGGATACCTGCTGTAATATCATACCTAACTAATGGGTCATTAAGATAAGCACACCATGTAAAGCCAGGTGGATATCCTGAAAAAATCATGCACAAAATTTTAAATTAATATCTTTTGTTAAAAGTATGAAAATATTATGTAGATGAAATAATTAAATATGTATTTGAAAAACACATTTCCTATTTTGTGTTATGGTATTTTTATGGTTATAATGTAATTATATGTATAAGTGACATATAAAGCAATTACCTATATCATGTTTGCATATATGATAAGAATTCAGATTTAATAGTACTTACAGTTATACTATTTAATGAATGATTTTCATGTGCTCACAAAATATGGTTGAAATGAAATATCAAAATGTATTGCCTTTTGTCCAGCTGCATGCAAGTAACATCCCTGGATTAGTCAGTGGTTAGTGACAAATACCTATGTTTTAGGAAAATATTTATACACATAAGGTATATCTAGATATTTAAGGCTAGACAAACGACTTACACAAAGTAGTTAATTTACTTTCATGAAAAGGTTTTTTACAACTGTACCTCCACCAAAAAAAACATATATATTATGTGTATATTTTTATTTATAACATCTGTAACAATAATATATATATAAAAGTGCTTTACATTTGTTTTATATAAAAGTAGAACAACTCTATTCATTTATAGGTATTAAGTATTTTTTAAACGGAATATAAAAGTATACAATATATTAATTATATTTTTTACATAATGCATCGATATGTTCAATTAGGACGGAATTCAGAGATATATAAGTTCAGTGTTGTATTTTTTTTACAACATTTATAATAATCAATTATTCGCAATTATGACAAATTGCTTTAAGCTGTTTTAATATCATTTCTACAATTGAATAAATTGTGTTAACTTAAATGAATACTGGAACTTTTTTTTTACAAGTCAAAAGATATTCAGTTTTATGATATTCAAATTCCTCTTAATCACATATAATTTATGTAGTATAAGCTTCCCAATATTACTATGGGAAAATTATATAGCATCACATATATAATATATATATATAATTTCTCTATAAAATTCATTATAATTATAAAAGCATGTATTAAATGTCTTTAGAATTTTAAAATAATTTGATTTGTAGAGAATAATGTAACAATAATGGAATGGTTATAGCTTTCCCTTTTTTAAGTGTTAACAATCTATCTCTTTTATCACTTTTTTGTGCTTAACATAATGTGTCACTGTATTTTGTAAAATGGTGAATGTTATTTGGATTAATTAAAAATAAAGCAAAATGAAACAAATGAGCTTAGAAAATTTGATATCATATATAAAATATATGAATTCTGATTATATAAATTAGCATATTTTTAAAGTACTGCTAGATTAAACAAGAGTGTAATATAAATATCTGAAACAAAATTTTTTATAATCTCAAATCATTAGAAGAAATAATACAATATTATAGAATATGTAGTTTTGTGTATATATCTAAAGTTACTAGTGATAGTAACTACCTATGTCGGTTAATTATATAATATTAATTAATTTCAATTTGCTGTTTCTTTACATAATGAAATATAAGTTTCTCATATGTGTAAAAAGTAGATCTAACTACCTCGAATTATGATTACATTATAATTATGACTGATTGTAGCTATTTTCCACCAAAGTTCGGCATCAAAAAAAACGAACGAAATATTAACTTGCCTCTAGGCTTGTACTTAAGATGGTCCTCAATAAATTGACAAGGACAACGGGCGGAGACACAATGTCGTGGTGGAACAGATAAACCCGCGATGTCTCTATTACGTTCCTGTGAGTCTATAACCAGATCAAGTCTGCGGCGCACAAAGTGATGTGCCCATCGAGATGCATACCTCAGCAACAGCAACTCCGCCCGTTCCTGTCAACACATACCATCATCATTCAGAAACCTAGAGTCAAAATAATAGTAATAATGTAAATCCGTTTCTTAAACATCAATAGTCAGTCGATGAAATTGAAAAATCTGTTATGCATAAGCGGTAACATTATCAAACATAAATGCATCCCAGATTGTATTATATTTTAAGAAAATTTTTACCATTTACCATTTTACAGAAATATTTCCTACATACATGTATATTAAGCTTGCAATTCTGAATTATTTTAATTTACATACTATGTACAATTATATAAAACACTAAAAATAAAGCTTGTAGTACATACACATATATGTGTAATTATACAAGTTTTATACAAATATAAAATTTAATAGTAATATCATATTTAATATCATATTAGTCAACAAAAAATATAATCAAGAAAAACAATACCAAGTGTATCATTAAAAATCCAAATCACCAAAAAATAATTCTAGAAAAATATTTCACTTATTAATATCATATGTAAACTTAATTGTAATTAATATTGTTACAAGTAAAAATCTTGTATAGTTAAGTACATAATTATGAGTAGTTTTCATATTTCGTATAAGTTAGTTTTTCTAGTTGTCATTCATCAATATAAATTTTGATTTGTCTATTTTTAATATAGCTATTACACTTTAATATAGCTATAGATCTATTTGAATTCTTTGACTTTTAAAATATCTTTTATTTAATGTAGATGTCTTGCTAAAAACCATTGTAATGGTGATATTAAAATTAATTTCAATAAGTTCAAAATAAAAATTATTAAATCTATTAAAATTGTTTTGAACAATACTGTTTTTAATTTTTATATCTATCAAACAGTTTTGCTTTAAATGCCTCTATCTTTAAGAAAACTACTCCAGCTAGGACAGAAATCTCTGCCTTGAACATGAGGCTTGTTGCGTAACCATTCTTCTATATATTGACACGGACATAAAGCCGATGCTAAGTGACGAGGTGAAGAAGGATTTCCACCTTCTTCGTCTACTGTCCAATCCAATCGGCGACGTAAATAATCCTTTGCCCAACGTTGTACATAGCGGCAGAATACTTGTTCGCTTTTACCCTGATATATTTTTTTAGTTTATTTTATAAAAACATAAAATATTGTAAGAATGATTATAAAATTGAGAAAAATACCGTTCATTTTTGTAAAATGTACTTTACAAAAACATCATATATACTATAGAAAATATATGTTAAATAAGTAAATATAAATTCAACTTATATAGTACAAGTACTTAAAATAAAAATAACATACCTGCTTGCGAGAAATTCTGGTGGTTGTATTGCCTTGTATTACAATATCACTGTTATCTATATCCATTCGCTGTTGCAATTCTCTTTTTCGTCGCATTTCAGAATTTCCATCTTCGCCAATTACTCTTCCTTCGCGTTCTTCACGTTCTATAACTTCTTGTAATTTTTTCTATTGTAAAACAAAATAAGTTCTTGAATATATTATATAAATGATATGTAACAAAATATAAGCAATTTTTTAACAAAATTGTTAATTTTAATTGAAAATAATATATATAACAACATACAATACATATAAAAATTACATTAAGCCTCGAAGTATAAATTACATATATTTAGTAACACTTACGATGCAATCTGTAGTATCAAAGTATATAAAGCAGAGATTAACTTTGTGACATGAAATTTTTCCTCTATCATCCAATCCAAGCAATATTTTATGTCGAAGTAAATGTTTGTTCACTTGACCCATACATTTCTCAAGATTGTGGTTTAATTTTATCTTGATGAACATGCAAAAAAATATTGCAGCAGCATTGAGGACTAACCACATGACGCCAAGCCCAAATAAAGTAAGACCAGTTACTCCAGAAAACAATAAGCCAAGTAATACAATAAATGCAGTAAATATCCAAAGCACAAGAATTCTCTTGTAGCACACATTGTACATATTGAAACGTACATCGTTCACAAGCAACTCCATTATATGTACATAATCCTCTACTGTAAGCTGTAAAAATTTAATACATTAGCTTATACATAAATATACATAACTTTACATACAAAAAAATATAAAATAAAATTATTGATTTTTATAAAACAATGTGAAGGAAATAAAATATAATCAAACAATTACCGTTAAGCCTTGAGCCATTAATTCTTCTGGTACTAATTCTGGACGAAATTTAGCTGGAGTAATCCATGGCCATCTAGTATTAACTGGTAAAAGAGTAACTATAGTATCCCCATTAGCAAAACCTTGTCTAATGTTTCCAATAGGTGTACTTATAATATTATTAGTAGTACTTCTGCCATTAGATACATCTCGGAGATCAATGGTCTTCAGAGAAGCACTCTTAGGATCAGAAACTCTTACATCAGATGGTAAATTCAGATCTGGACTTTCAGATGTAATGGAACGACTTAAACCTGACCTATCTAAATTAATTTGGACGGATTCAGTTGATATCACAGCACCTCTATATTCATGATTTTTTGATTGTTGATTATCTGAATTATCAACAGATTTTCCAATTTTCTCAACATTTACTGTTACTGACTCCGGCTTTATTACAGCTGGTGCATTTGTTTTAGTTTTCTCTTCTAAACTATTATTATCTTTAACAGGTGCTTCATCTTCAAATTGGACCCAATTTTTTGTTCTTGCAGATATGTTAGGTGAATTAACTGCTGACACATGGTCAGTTGTATCTTGTGAGCTCATTTTCACTGAAGAAATAATAAAAAATAGAGCAAATCATATATATATGTAATTAACATTCAAAAATATTAAATATCTATATTTCATATTTTATTACTTTATAGAATGTCTTTATTTAAACAATTCACATAAATTACATTAAACTAATTTTTATATTAAAATACATTAAAATATATATATTTGCAAAATATGCTAAATATGGTGATAAATGTTATTAAACAGTGATTTAAAAAAAAAAAATAGGGAGTGTCCATGGACATGTAATTTGCAACATAAACATAAACTGGAAATATATATAAGGTTCTCTAGAATAAAAAAAGGTAAGTCATCATGTTAAGTAATACCTATATCAACATGATAATAAAGTTTCAATGAAACAAAAAATATGATACCACATATAAAGTACGAATATGCATGGGATCCAAACTTTGAGAAATATTTATATGTAATCCTTATCATGAAGTTAACGTAGATAATATCATATATAGATATATATATACTTTATGTTTGCTATGTTTGTATATAAAAAAATGATACAACTGAAACTTTCTTACCTGTTGTGATATGACCTATCTCATATCCGTAAGGTGAAAAGGTACGTAATGCATGAAATCAAGGTGTGCAGCATTGCTATACGAAAAACAAGGGTGGGGCGAAGAATACTATAACGACATTGTACAATATCGTACTTACATATAATTATATATACAATAATTTGTCATAAATGTGCATAAATCTTTATTTCTATATCGTTTCTGAATACTTAGTAGAACATAAGTAAATAATTATACATATTAATTAACATAATAATGTGCGCTGTTTTGTAAAAGTACATACTACGTTTTTGGTATAGTTTCATACACGTGACACATCTCATACATTTACCAGAGAGTTTGCATCTACTTATACACATAATGTGTATTAATTTAAATAGATATCCAATTCACTTGTTACGGTTACTACTACTTTGTAACTTATAACTTTGGATACACGTGTGTATATATGTAAAATTGAGAATAGGGTATTCGCTTAAAGCAATTGTTTTTCACAAACATTATTAGAATTTGTTTTCATCCATGTGTGTGTAGATGTATATAGTTATCAAAAAATTATGTAATGAAAAGTATATGTAATTCACCATCACAAAATTATATTAAAACAATCACAGTTCGATATAATGTATTGTCAAAAGATAATGATAAATACATTCAAATATTTTCAAGTAGTTGTAAGGTCTAACTATGATATTGTAAATTTCTGTCTATTGAATAAAAAAAGAAGTACATTTATGATATATTCGCAACAAATTAATAAGATGAAAAAATGTTATAGTATTAAACAAAGGAAAAATTTGCCACAAACTAAACATTTTATTCTATCAGGTAGCTTTTTATTTAATTTATTTTTTCCTAAAGAAGAAAAAGATGATGTTGAGGAATTAACAATGACAATTAAACGATCAATTTTATTAATTCAGGTTAGGCATAACACTCTTATATTATCATAAAAGTGTTAACGATGTTACATTCTTATATTAAATGTAAACTTCTTATTTTAATATAGTTTTACCAATAATTCTCAAACTTTATAGAAAGAAGAATTTCTAAAAGCAGAGCAAATGCTACATGTTGCTTTACGCCAAGCACAAACTTTACAGCATTATGATGGTATAACTTATGTGTATGATGTAATGGCAAATCTAGCATATGATACAAATGACTATAAAAAAGCAGAAAAGCTATTTAAATCAGTTTTACAGAGACTAATAGCTAAGGGAGTTCCACAGGATGATTTAGCAATTATTCATATTAGTCTTAAGATTGCTGATACATATGATAAAATAGGAGATAAACAGTAAGCAATCATGTAACAAATTCCGTCTATTTTTAAAATTTTTATAAAATACAATATCTAATAATTTAAAATAATAAAATATTTTATTCTGTTAATATAGAAAAGCAGACAGTGGTTACAAATTTTGTTTACAACATTTACAAAATCATTTAGCTAAAGACAGTGAAAATCTAGATGTATTACAATTGTTAGGCTTAAATTTAGAAAAATATGCATCTATGCTTTTCTCACAATCGCAGTATAACAATGCTCTCGAATACTTTACTAAAGCTTATGATATATCCATAAAAATAAATGGTGAAGAAAATGAACAAACTGTTATTCTATTAAATAACTTAGCAAGTGTCTGTTATATACTACAAAAATATGATGAAACTATTAAATATTTATCTAAAGCTGCAGAAATAGGTAATATCAATACAAATATTGTTGTATTTGAATTGCTCCAAATTAGATTATTATATTTTTAGGAAACAAGTTACCAGATATGGTTGAATTAGGTTTCATTCATGTCAACTTGGGACATGCATTTATTTCAAAAGGACTTTATGAAGAAGCAAAAAAAAATTGTAGCAAGGGAGAAGATTTAGCAAAAGCTAGAAATGACAATGAAACTTTAGTGGAAGCTAAAAAATGTCTTGAACAAATAGAAAGTTTAATATTGTAATATAAATGTAAATATTAAATTGCAGTACTTTAACTTGATTAACTTATAGGTATATTGAAATTGAAAATGTATACAGTGAAAAATTATTAAACATATTATACATATTTATAATATATTCGTTATATATCCACGTTTTATTTAAAAATTAATTGGTAGAATGAAAGATAGTTCTATATCATATATAAATATTATTGACTTTAATAAAACAAATTTGCATATAATTTTATGAATTTTTATGTTGTGTTTAGATAAAATTAGAAAATTCTTATTGTAATGTACAAAAACTGATATAACTACAGAAAAACGTATAATATCTTGATTGAAATTGAAATTATGATTCTTGTAATTATATAGAGAATATGTTTTTATGTATACATATAGAAAACATACAATGTTTATTTTCATTTACAGTAGTTACATATTTATATATGTGTAAGCAATATTTATAAAAAAATAAATAAATTTAACGTGTAAAATATATCCTTTCACAATATAAGTGAAGTCCTAACAATTTTCGTAAAAAACATCGTTGCCAATAATTAAACATAAAATGGTTTGTAGAAATAAACATGTAATGCGTTTGAGAAAAATATATTGAATGTGTAACGGGTGATTGTATGTTTATTATTTCTTATGAAACTAGTAATAAATTATTTTAGTGTTTCAGTATATTTTAATAACGCGTCTTTTCACGATCTTTCTATTTTTATTTATGACGTGAATGATACCTAAAATGTACCATTTTTTTTCCATAATGCTAATATTTATGATAATTATACAGTATTGTTTTCACTGGTATTCATGTTATACAACATATTAGAATACTCACTAGCATTCATTAAACAATACAATTAGAATGTTGTAAAAATATAAACTCTAATTTTGAATTCTTATTATAGCAGTTAAATGAACCCTTATTAAGTGATCACAATATGCTGTTAAGAAAATTTTATATAAAACTATTCATACTCTGCTATAAGTACCATCATATATACACCTAAGAGAAGCGCAATAACTTCTTTTACAGACTGCCTAAAATTAGTATCTATTAGAAGTTCTGGTATTACAGAAACAGTAGCTATATAAATAAATCCACCAGCTGTGAATGGAAGAATCCACATAGTTGCAAGATCACCTAAAATATTTAATTAAATTTTAAGATGAATATAATATTTATTTAAATTTAATTGATGTATTGCAACTTACTCTTACCCATGCCTTCTGCAAGTAATGATACATAAGTTCCTAATAAAGCACCTACAGCAGTTGTAAGTTGAAGCATCATGGCCTAAAATCAAAATCACATTATATAATTCTTATCATAACAATTTATTCTGCTAACTTCATCTTTTTTTAAATCTTACTTTTCTTTTACTATAACCACTTTGTATTAAAATAGCAAAGTCTCCTATTTCATGAGGTACCTCATGTAACAAAATTGTAAATGTGGTAATATAGCCAATATTTTTACCAGCTAAATAGCTAGCTCCAATAGCAAGACCATCTGTGAAATTGTGTAAAAAATCAGCAACTAAATTTAAATAACCAGCAATTTTTATTTCATTCTCAGAATTTTCTACTTTTTCTTTAAAATCTACATCAGATTTATCAGAACCTTTCTGTAATTTCTTATCATTTTTATTTTTTTTTGACAGATTTTCTGTGACATTATGTACATGTATATGACCATGGTCTGTTTTAATAATTCTCACTGCTTTTTCAACAATTAAAAACATAATGATACCTAATAATACACATAAACCAACAGACATATCATGTCCATGTTCTGATTCTTCATCACCTTGGTTATGAGAATGTGAATGCGAATGTACTTCTTCGGAAGACAGATGTGTATGAGGAACCAAAGCATGAGGAATTAAATGTAAAAATGCATCTCCTAATAAACCACCAGATGCAAAACTTAATAATATCTTTAACAGTGGTTCACTTTCTTTAGTATTATCTAGAGGTACAAAGAACAAAATAAGGAAGGGTGCTGCTGATATAATTAAGGTAGATGCAGTAGCTCTGAAAATCACTTCTTTGTAAGTCCTGTCAGACAAAATTGATTTCTGCCGATGGTCATAGTTATCATCTTCATGTTTATGTTGATGTATAATTTCATTATGATATATAGAATGTTGTTTTTCTAAGTACATTTCATTAGCTTCCTTGGAATACTTAAAACTTGGTGACTCGTCATGGTAATGAGCTTGACAAAGAGTCGGCAAGTTTAGAAGTATAAGTAATAAAAACGTCCCAAGTACTATTCGTGAAATCCATTTATTCGCATGGCTTCTTTGTTGGTTATCCTGTGCCGTCGTGATCATTTCTATAATTTTGCACAGACTTGTTAAAACACAACCGGTTTACGTATCGTTGTTGGTGTAATCTTAACATCCGTGCAGAAGTGTAAAAGTGTAACAATTTTGATATTGTAGTTATGGTGTTAAACAGAATTAAAGAATTGTGTCATGATTGCGGCCACGTCAGAGGTTGATGCGTTATCACTTTTGTTCTTTTAAAAAATAACAGATTAACGTTGGCAGCATTGATTTGTTAATATTGGCTATTCTGGTAATTTATAAATTCAAAATTCAAAAGATGGTTACAAAAATAGTTAAGATATTATATTTTAACTAAAATATTAATAAATCAATCAGTTTTAAAGCCAAAGTTTGTTGTTAATGTATGAACAATCGGCGTTAGTATCGAACCATTAAGCACAATATAATTCTTAAAGTTTATGTCAGTTTTATATTGTTATTACGAAAAAATTCGTTACAAAAAATCCAAACTGTGACGAACTGGTGAATATCCTCCCAAATAGTCCATGTGAACTGTCAAAGAACAGAATTTGAGGAGGTTAGTTGAGAGGAAAGCAAATCTTATCGTACTGATGGTGTTTAGTTAAAGAAATTCCACCATTATGTCACATAATACTTTAAAATCTATGGGACATGGATTTTGTGATGCCATTTTTTCAAGTTCGCCTATTAATTTCGATAAGGAGAATATAAACTCTTTAAATGAGAAGTGAGATTTTTTTTATATTAATACATTTAACAAAAATCAAAAGCTATTATATATTAATTTTTTTTATTATTTTGTAGGGAAGGAACATGTTCTGATATACTTGATACACCTCAAAGAGGAGTCCAAAATGTTACTGAAAATAAATGTTTAAAACTTGAAAAGCGTAAAATATTACTTGACAATGATACTGAAAATTTGAAATCAACAAATATACCTTATACTATAAATCTGTCTCACTCAAAGTCTATAAATACATTTCAAAGAAAACAAGTTTTATTTCCTGAATATGCAGCATCTGATTCAAAGTATAAAACCTCTACGAAAACAATGTCTACAACTTCAATGAATGAAAAGACTTTAACCATGCATTCTTGTACTCCCAAACAATATAAAATTCATACTACTACAAGCAATTCAAAAATAAATATCTTGCCTCCAAATAAAACACCTGTAAAACGTTATTTTAGTGACAACATTTTATCACAAGCTACTCCTGACTGTTTTAATGTTGTTCAAGTTGAAACACCATGTGGTAAATCAAACGATATTGGTATTGAAGATCAAACTGTATATGAAGGAGAAAATAGTAATTTGACTGTAGGTATACGTGTTAGACCTTTGAATACAAAGTAAGTTATTAAATTCTTATACCAAGAGCTTTTCTTTAGGTAGTACTATGATTTAATATTTTTTCTATTCTTTATTGTTTCAGAGAACTAAATGATTCAAAAGTTATATCAGTCGTACAAGTAAATGGTCAAAATATTATTGTCACTTGTGAATCTGTTCAACATACTTTCACATATGACCATTGCTTTATATCATCAATAGATGCATCAGAACCTAGTTATGCTAATCAGGAAATTGTATTTAAAAATATGGTTTTACCACTAGTACAAAATGCTTTTGAAGGGTATAATGTTTGTTTATTTGCTTATGGACAAACAGGCTCTGGTAAAAGTTATAGCATGATGGGTCAAGAATCTGCACAAAATAATACAATACCACATGAAGCAATTGGTATTATTCCAAGATTTTGTCAAGAAATATTTACGAGGGCATCTATTAATACGAATACTAAAACTACAGTAGAGATTAGTTATTTTGAAATTTATAATGAAAAAATACACGATCTTTTAACAAATGTTAACAGTGGAGTAAAAAGGGCTCCTCTTAAAGTAAGAGAACATCCTGTATTTGGACCATATATTGTTGATTTAAGTCAACATTGCGTACAAAATTACAAAGATTTGCAGGTATGTTTATAATATAAGTTGTAATTGCGTCTGTTGTAAGATTATTTGTTGATTATTAAATTGTTATAAATATATTTCTCTTAGACTTGGCTCAAGGTAGGCAATTCACAACGAGCTACAGCAGCAACTGGAATGAATGAAAAGAGTTCAAGATCTCATAGTATATTTAGTATCATATTAACACAAACCCAAAAAAATAATCAATTAAATAATGAATCTGTGGATGCTAGTCGACGTAGTAAAATTAATTTAGTAGATTTAGCAGGTAGTGAAAGACTGAGTCAAACTTGTGCAAGCGGTGACAGATTAAAGGTACGTCATATTACATTTAATTGCTTGATTATAGTCTGGTAATTTTATTCATATAATAATAAAATTAATTGTACTCCAAAGGAAGGAGTGTCTATTAATAAATCATTGCTTACATTGGGAAAAGTAATCGCATCCTTGGCTGAAAACACAAGTAATCGTAAACGAGGTTTTGTTCCATATCGTGAATCTGTTCTTACATGGCTGCTAAAGGTAAGTGTTATTAAGTCACTGACACAAGATTCGTCATAAGTAAATAATTTTTTTTATTGAATCTTCAATGACAAAGTTCTTTGTTGTAACAGTCATTAAAGCTGTTATGGCTTTTATGGTTTTAATGATTAGTGAATCATTACTTATGTATATGATTTCTTTTCTTATACAATATACAGAAAACTTAAGTTAGGTTTACTTTATTTTTGAAGATGTATTTTTTTATATAACTTTATGTACATATTCAGTCTTATAAATTATTCAATTCTTCATTGAATATCTAGTTAATCTACTTTTCTTAAATATTAAAGCATTTCTGAAATAGTATAAATATATGTCAATTTATAGTTTAATGCAGTTCATATTAACTGTAAATGCAATTATTGGTTATGCTAGATTTTGGAAAAAAAAAGATAGATAATATTATCAGTTACTTCATAACCTTGTCTTACTCATGTACAGAATAACACATTATAAAAAATTGTTAGGATATACATATATTATGTACTTGATTGATGATTTTTTGCGATATTTGTATAAAATATTTCAATATATGTATCATTTAAAATAATACCTAAACTACTAATTTCATTAATATATAGAAAATGTTCTTTTTAATATTATTTTAAAAAATCAGTAAATTGTGCATTATATCAAATAGCAGAAGAGATATAAAATAACATAAATTATTCATTATACAGGTTTTGAACATGTAAAATTGTTACAAATACAAATATAAACTTAAAATTTTTCGTTCTACGAAAAAAGTATTTAAAGGTAAATAACATTTGAAATCATCACATCATAATATGATATATGTATCATAGAAGTTTGGTACAATAATTCTGCATTCCTTATATACGAGGTACGTCTGTTTCGGTATCAATTTCTGGAAACCATATTAAAATGCTAAAACATGAATAAGTAAACATTCTATTTCTATTTGACGTTTTTTGTTATGTTATCCATTTTTATACATCCGTTATTTTCTAAAACTTTCTTTGACGTTTTCTTATCAGTTTTCGTGATTCCTTCTTTAGTGTCTGTGCAGTCACGTTCTTCTTCTTCTTCGTGAATTTCTTGACAAGAATTCCTTCGCGATTTCTCTCGTATATAAGCCGCGAGACTTCTTCTCTTGTTCTCGCGGCACAAGTAACAATTTTCTTTCGAAAGTGCTTTTTGTTCATGGTGTTGTTGTGGCAATCGTTGAGAATGAACTTGTGTTGTCTTACCTGAAAGATAATTTTCTTTTTCCATTGTATTCTATTTTTATTACTTTATTTTCTATTATTATTTCATTTAAAATTTTATTATTTCGGGAAAAATAAAATATTTGTTAAATACGCAACATCTTTTTTGTTTGAAACTAAGATTTCTTTTGTCAACTTTTTGTCAACTTCTATAATCAATGGCGTTTTCACCTCAAAATATTTTTTTATTGTTAATCCTGGCTAAGGTTTAACGATTTTTTGAAAGGTAACTCCGTGCGTTGTTGCACGTAGCTAATCTGCTGACCTAACTCGTGGTTCTTGAGTCATTCTCAACCCGAAAGATATGTTATAATTGTCTCCCGTGAATGAAGTAACGTGATGCGTTACACGTATTGCATGAAACTCATGTGTTCAAAGAAAACTATTACGACGAAAATTATGTTAGTAAAGTATAACAATGACGAAAAATAATTATTGAAGATAAAAGAACCAATAGATAAAAATTTGATAACCAAGATCGTAATATTTTGTACGGGCAGTAAAAAAGATACCTTGATAAGATAAAAGTAATGCAGAATCATCATATATCTTTCTAGTCCTATTCGAATTCTATTATTGATTCTGTTATTTTTTCATTGCATTGATAGATTGCTAGAAAAATTGATAGATTGAATTTATATCAAAATAGATGTGTCCCTTCCGGTAAGTTCATTATAGCATTTCGTAAATCAATTGCATAAGATTTCATCTAAAAATGCGTGAATAATCGAGAGTTTCTCTACACACAACGCGAAGCATTCCTGCACATACAAATGCAGAATCTGTTATTGCAAATAGAATAAAAGGATCATTCATCTCTGTTTATTCTCGTTAATGTGTCATGCTGGTTTCAAAAGATATTTTTAGATCTATGTATCTTTTTACCTCCATGCATATATAAATATATATATTAGACTATTTTATTCAATAACAAGCCGTAGCAAAATATAAGTAATCGCAAGTATGATAACTATAACGCTATTATTATATCTATTACAATGGAATTGATCTAGCATATTATATTACAACCTTCACCGTATTTGTTATCGTAACGACGCAAACATGTTTTTCGTGTTTACTATTTAACTTGTTTTGATGCTACGTTCTTCTTTTGATCATACATACATATATAATTTTCAGAAATATGTAATTTATATGCATTTCCAAAATTTCATTAAGAAGACAATTGACGCAATGAAATAGAATACGAAGCTTTTCCGATGATACCAATTCTTTTGTACTATTCTCACTATTTTACGTTGTGCGTAATATGACGTTTTTCGAATTGCGATAATGATAGTTTCAAAGCCTAATATATGATAAATAATGCGGAGGACTGCCTTCAGGCAACCAATTCCTCACAACGATAACGCAAAGGGAGGGGCAACTACGTTGCACAGAAATATCTAAGAGTTATCTTACACGTATACACCGGCATCGATTAAAAATATATAAATCATTTTTCTCAATTGAATCTTGAAATTCCTTATTATCATATTAATTAGAACACCGAATAATCATTCGATAGATGAATTGTAACAATTTTATGCAATCGATTATTTGTTATTATTGAATTGTTTAATTGATTTATGTTTTGATCATTTCTGTTGAAATCTTTATTTTACTCTAAGAAGAAAAATAAGCATTTGTTGAAACATATCACAGATCAGGATAGATGAATGCACGTACATTTTACGGATTAATAGTTCGAAATCGGGAGTCAACTTAAATACTTTCAAAATACTTATAAACTTTCATTAGTAAAGACAGGTTGTATTTTTTGTCGCATATTTCGAAGTTTTTAAATACGGAAAGTAAGCGATAAAAATGACAACGTACATAAACATTAATCATTGGTGTAGTATGATATCATATGAATAAGGGACATAAAGGGAAAACACCGTTCACGAGATGTCAGCAAATAATATTAATTTCTCGAGTTAGATTATTCAAATGCTGAGAACCGTGGAAAACAATATAGCATATACCAGTATATCATACCAATATATCATAGCAAATACCAATAATGATCGCGTGAAATTAGAATAAATGAAGTTATATATAGTAAATAACGAAATGATATTTATCGTGATGTTCATTAATGAAAATTTAATTATAATATCTGTCTAGAGAAGAACGATAACAAAGTGATCATTATAGATCCTCAATATTATCTCTTCTTCCCTTCTTTTCTCTTTAGTAAGGAAGTTGTCATATGTGAGTATATAAAAAGTGATTCATTTTCATATGATTGAGACGTACCACAATTAAAATAATCTTTATTCCACGGCTGCTCGTAGTCCCGATACTGAGGAGCTCTAAAGTAACCATAGGTCAAGATTTCGGGAACGTAGACTAAATCCATCGTTCTAATCCGAGGTATCTTCGAGAATAATTAGATTCAGAATTTATTCTCTTCGTAGAAATTTTCGTATATATCTTCCTTCTTTCTTGATACTTTCAATCAACTCTTGACGTATGTCTTAATCCGCTTTTTTTTCTATCCTTTCAGTTTATAATGAAACCCGCTGACGCGAGTTTGCACTGATTTTCTAAAACGCAGCTAAAACTCGTTTTACCAGTAAAATTTGCTAGGTATCCTTGTTTCCGGTTTTCTTTCTTTCACCAGTTGAGAACAACTTATTGATAGACTATCGAATTCGTGTTATTACATATTACTCAAGAAGAAGAAAGAGAGGAAAAAGCAGCGACCGCTAAAAAACAAGACAACGTTGTGCTCGAATTGCTGTGGTGTTTTACTTTGAACTAAAGAAGTACTGACGCTGAGCATGCAATGTTTATGAGTCGGTTATTCCCTCTCCATCGGATCTTGTTTCTCCTCTCCTCTCAGTTGTTACCGTACGCCCTTCAACTCAGCGCTTTGCCCCTCCTTTTCCTCCAATCACCTTTGCGAATTTCTTATTCATTTTGCGATTGTTGAACGCATTTCCCGCGCTTATTCATCTATGACATTGTCTCACGAATTTCTTAATCTGATCTTGTACAACTTTAACACGGTCTATTTCTTGTGGTGGTCAAGGTATGACCGTTAAATAAGTTTCTCTCTTCAATTCTCTACGCCGTTTTTTTTATCGTTCATTATATATGTACATATACTTGGCTTTTAGGATGTTATTTTATAAGAGATAAGAAACAACGTTGCTATTGTATGTTTGAAGGCTATTATTAGGAATCGTCATTAACACGTCAATAATACCTTACTATGTACTTGTAGAGAATTGTATAACGGTAATATTAGCTAATGTTTATTTTATGCCTCACCATAAAACGCAGTACGTCGTAAATGCTTACTAATCTCCAGAATCTTGTTGAAAGCGTAAAGAACTGTTTTTCCGATAATTATTATCCTATGATATAAGCATATCTTTCATGTTATAAACGCAAGTTCGTATAATAATACAATTTGCTCATTTATTATCAAGCATTTAGCGATTAGAAAAGGGGAGGGGGGGATATTGAAGTATATTTTACGTAAAATTTTATTTTATCGTGAAAACAAGATTATTTAAATAGTTATCACTTATGAAAGCATTGTTGTTTTCAAAGTAGCAAATATGATCCAATAATTATTATTGTTGGATAGAATTTGTTTTATAACGAGATTTATCATGTAATTAAGTGAAACAAATATATACATTGGTAATATGTAGGTATTATTTCTCTACCAAACAATCGTATATTGTGAGTTATTTTTCAAATAATAGCAACTATGAACAGAAATAAAGTCTCCTTTACTGATAACATTGAATAAGGTGCAATAAAAAGTTTTTTGCCGTATCAAACCTTGAAGAAAGATGCGCAGTTAGAAGATATTAATTTTTTTGTTATCTTAAGAATAAAATGAAATGAATAACGTAAAAAAAGGATTGTGACATATAGATATTTTATGTATAGATGCATTTGTTTTGTCATAATTATAAACTGATAATTATATTTTGATTATATCTTGATCAGAGACTTTTGTTCAAGTGTAGTTCAAGTGCGGTTCAAGTGCTTAAATTGATAATGATGAGATATGAAAAATAGTACTCTAACAAATTTTTTAAATTATTCGGTTCTGTCCAACATCGTCGATTAATTAACGATGCATGTTGCTTCAATAAGTTTTATTGACAATGAATAAAGCCTTGCAATAAAATCTAAAAATTAAATAGATAATAAATAGATAAATAGATTGAAGATAAAGATGTATAAGACTTTTTTCACTGTTGAATCATTGTATGATGACTTAGCACGTCCTTGTGTATACGTACTATTGAGGAATTTGATGTTCTATCTGATGTCTTATCGTTTATTAATTATATCAGGATAACATTGAGAAACATAAACGTCAAGGTGTGATCGATAACAGTGTAAGTATTACTTAGGAAAGATTAAATCGCAATCTGTCTTAACCGAGCGTGTGTTGTCTTATCATGCAGAATACTGATAATGATTATTTATGCGCAAAAGAATCGAGATTAAGTTAGATAAAACGAGTAAAACACTTGCAAAGCTAACAATGTCATTTCTTTAGCTCTACAATTTAATTACGACGAATCAATACAACTGAGATTTGACACTCGTTTAATTAAGTATTATGCAGTTCAATGACTTCATTTTGTTTTCTATGTACATTGGAACTTGTCTTTTTCAGAGTTTCTACGTTCCCTTATATTTATTAGAAACTGTTAGGTTCCCTTTTTCCAACATATTTTTTAAACTTTTATCCTTTTTTAAACATAGGAAAGCCTCGGAGGAAATTCAAGAACAGCAATGCTTGGAACAGTATCACCAGCTAATATACACATAGAAGAGACGCTTGCAACACTCCGATATGCTTGTCAAGCTCGAGCCATTGTTAATCGTGTTCGAATCAATGAAGATCCACATGAGAAATTAATTCGGTAATATATTCTTCATGAATGAACAACTAATAATTCATTATTACATTCAATAAAATATAACAGATTTCCTCCCAATATGAATATAATAAATCGAACGTTCGTGTATAAAATAAGTCTTCCACTTCGGGACAGATAAACAAAAGAATATCATTAAATATTATCGATACAGTTTTTCCAGTTTGCAACAAGCCTAACCTAAAGCTTTTAATTTTAAATATAATTGTGATCTCTCTCTTAGGGAATTGAAAGCGGAAGTATTGCGATTGCGCGGTGTACGTGAAGGATACGAAAAGCAACTTGGTATTCTTCCACGTCGTCTTCTCGATTCCGTCCCACCGGTTAACCAAAATAACGATGAAATTAAGCAGAAACAACAAGAAATTGATAAATTAAGGCACCAGCTAAAGAAGACTGAAGAACAACTTGCGATTACTGAAATGTAAGTTAATATCAACGTAAGCTGTTATAGCTATTTTAGAGCATTGATTACAACAATTCGGAACAATCAAATTGTTTCAATGAGTAATTATCTATGATCATTATTAATATAATGTAGTTCCTATAATAAATGTTTCGTCACATTGTTCCGGAAACAGATCGGAGGATGTTTACCAATTGAAGATTTGAATATTTAGCTACATGTAATTGCAGGACTTGGCAAATGAAATTGCGGGATACCGAGGAAAAGAAAAATTCTGAAATAAAGTACTTACGTCGCTGTGGTATCGCTATTGAACTCGATTTTCGTGAGAAGGATAAGCAACCTTGTCTTATAAATCTCGCGGCCGATCCTATGTTATCTGGTACGCTTTTGTATCTCATTCCTCCAGGACTTGTTCGTATCGGAAAAAATTCAGGTTGTCAGAACTTTTCCGAACATTTGGATATCATGTTGGATGGACCACTGGTTAGGCCTTTACACTGGTTAGTTATTGGATCGGTTGGTTCGATGACTTGAAAGGATGCGGTTGTTGGTCTTGTTTCTGTTTTTCACTTTTGTTCCTCTTTTTCCCTTCTGTGCTCGTTTTTCAGCTTGACGCTTATGAATTATGTTGGAGGAAACTATTTTACTTTGTTTTTGTTCCCTTCTCCTATCTACCTCTCACGAGTGCATGTTCTTCACGGGCTTTCCTCGCGATCTATTTAACATCGTCCAAAATAATATTGTAATTAATCTGTTTGGTTAAAAAAATTTGCATGGCAGTATTTAATTATTTAGTTGTCACTGTATAGTATAATGATCCCGAAACGATTCCAAATACATTTTCATCGTGTTTATGAGCATGAAATGCTAATCATTTACGTTTGATGGAAAGATATGTCAAATATAATTGAAATTATTTATATATGCACCAATTTTAATAAATTATTTTAGATAGATAATTTTAATGGTTATCGATTTTTTATACGTTCAACAGTACTATTGAAAACAGTAATGGGAAACTTATATTATCATCAGAAATGGAAGGAGATACGTTCGTGAATGGACAGGTATAATATATTTTATGTTTATGATCTTATTTTATTTTTATCATTATTAAATTATTTATCATATCGTAGGTGGTAACTGGCAAAGTTATTTTAAAACATGGTGATCGATTAGTAATTGGCGGCAATCATTATTTTAAAGTCTCAAGTCCTTATGATGAACATAGCAATATACAAATTTCAGCGCAGGCTGTAGACTATGAATTTGCTCATCAAGAAATTCTAAAAGTGCAAGAAGAAAAGTACGAATTTTTAATAGCTCTTTTTATTCAATGTGCGTGATTAAAAAGTATTTAACGTTATGTTACTTTTCATTCAATAGATTAAGGGCAGAGTTAGAAGAAAGTAAACAGAAAGCAATAAAAGAATTAGAAAATGCTAAACGAGAAGTTGAAATGCAATTGGGATCGCAAAAATTATCGTATGAACGTAAAATCGAAATTCTTGGTTCCACGGTCCAAGAGCAGAAACTCGCATTGGAACAAATTCATCAAAAGAAGAAAGAATTAGAATTGGAAAAAGAATTACTCGAAAACGAAGTTGAGACAAATAATAGATTAAAACAAATACAAATAGATCAAAAAAAAGTTAGCGTCGCGCCATATAAATCTAATTTCTTACAAGAACTGGAAAGCATTTTAAATGAAAGGGCGGCAGATGCCGAATTCGCTCTCAAAATGAAAGCTAGCGCAGAAGCAATAAGTGACGGTGGTATTAGCTTACATGAAATGCAAATATTGGTAAAAGAAGCTACCGAACGGTGTAGAGAAGTTGGTCTTAATTATGTAAGTATTTATTGCATAGATAGTAGTTAAAAAGATATATCTTTTCCATAAGTTTATTCGTTACATTTTTAGGAGTTTGATCAACAACAAATAATTGTTAATAAGAGTCTGAAACCTGTAGTTCGTATACGTAATAGAGATAGCATGAGAGAGACATTCTGGCAGTCAATGCGTTTTTTAGATTGGGTTCATCGTTTGCGAGACTATGATATAGAAGATTCAATAAAGGAGCTTTGTACATCAGAAGAAACTTGGGAACCCTATGAAAATACAGAAACTTTTGAGGACTCCCTAAATAATAGCCGAATTTCAATAAACATTACACCAGTAAAAAAGCATTTAAACGAAAGTCTACAACAACTCTCATTAGATACGTCCATACTTGGAAGTACATTAATTAACCAAACGTTTGATATTTCCAAAGATCAAGAAATCATAAATACGTGTCTTGTTCAGATGGAACTCGCTACAAAAACTTTACATAAATTATGCACTAGAAATGGTGGAATTCAGTCAGTTGCGGAATCACTTGATAATATGCAAAGTATCATTTGTAGTTTACGTGAAATTTTAGAAATAGAAGATATAAATAAATATTCCAATGAAAGTGTAACTCCTATGCAGAGTTTCAATAATAGTGTAATAGAAGATTCTGACACAAATTTGGCAGTTTCTAAAAATTACAATATAAAATCTGTTTCTCTGACAAAATCTACTTTACGCAATAGTATTAACGGTTTTGATAAGAAAAGTGTTAGATTTAATGATAAATTACAACAAGAATTAACCTAATGAAAATTAACATCATTACATAATATTTAACGTAATTAAATAAGATAACTATTTGTAGGGAGACTTAAAGCGTATATTAATAATATACTTTAAAGACATTAATTGGAACAAAAAATATATTTAGCTGCATTTATATGTAACTGTACCATTTTATTTCTTATTACTCATAAGGCGTTATGTAATATTTATATACATACATCCATACAAAATATTACAATATGAATATTTAACTATTGATTAAATTTTTATATGATCTGTAAAATTATAATAATATTACTCAACCAAAATTTAAGCAAGCATTTTCTAGATAAAGTATATTTTGTTAATATTAAGTTAGTGAAATATACCATATAGATCTATTGTTAAGTTGAATTCCTAGATACGGTTAATCAAAATAATCTTCAATATCAATATCAGGATTTAGTAAATCTTCTCCATAAATACTTAAATCCAATTGATTAAGTATTAAGTTTTCGCACATTTCTTCTAAATCAGTGTCTCCAATTAATACCGCTCCTTGCATTTTACCATTTTCTAGGATAAGTTTTATGTATTCTGTTCCCTGGGTCATTCGTAACAATATCTCATAATTGTTATCCAACTTTTGTCCATTATACAAACCAAGTAAAACCACTTTGTAACCAAAAAACTTAGTTACGTGGGTGAAAAGTTCAAAACAGAAATCTTGCAAAAATTCTTCATTTTTTAATTTAGAAACCATTGATTTTGCCGCATACCGTCCCATTTGATGTGCTTGAGTCCACAGCCTCATTTGAAACCAATGTTTTGCTAATTCCCACCCTGCACTACACACATCTCCAGCGGCATATATATCTTGTTTTGAAGTTTCCAATTTCCAATCTACCAGCAGCCCCCCATCTTCACTTTTTTTTATATCCTCCAAACCTACTATATCAGAATTTGGTATTACACCTGTTGCTGATACAACAAAGTCACAGCCAATAATTTTTCCATTTGTTAATTCAACATATATGGACCATTCTTCCATGGGATCAACTTCCTTTTGTTCTGATTTACTAAGAATTTTAATGATCTCACATTCATATTCTATTTGTACTTTTGCAGATTTAAGGAAAGTACCTTTTACATCAAAATTATTATGCCAATCTGGACCTAGAGCTGGTCCACCTGTTACAACTGATGTATTAGAGACAGTGTACCTCATTCTTTTAGTTAATGAACTAGCATTAGTATTTGTACATGGATCAGTTTTGTATACCTTATCCATAAAAAATTCTGCAGCCCCAGGATCAACAAATGTTGCAGAAATATGTTTATCTTTAATTACCCATATCATTTCAACACCATCTACTTCATTCACAAGTTCAGTAGCAATACCTCCATTTCCAACTATTACAATTCTTCTTGAATTTTTTATTTTTTGAGAAAATTGGAGAACTGATTCTGTATCTCTTATCCCTAGTATAAAATTATTATGTTCTTCTATCAGTTTTGGTCTAGCACCATTACAAAGACATAACATTTTATAGTTTATAATTCTTCCATTTCTAGTTTGCACTTGTTTATTTAAGCTATCTATTTGTATTACAAAATCATTAATAATTTTTAATGAATCATGTGCTTCCATCAAAACTGCTGCGTCCTTTTCTTCTATATCAAACTGCATTAATGTTTTACTAAGTGGAACTATATTTGTAACTGCTTTTATTAAGGGACTTGCTGTAATTAGGATGATTTTTTCCTCTGGAACAAGAAAGGCTATACTTTTAGCACAGGATACTCCTGCTATACCTCCACCTACTATTGCAAACGTACAGTTTATTTCTTCTTTATCCATTTTGCATGTTTTACTTTTTAAATGCAAATTCTTATAATTACAAGTTAAAGATTAATACATTAATTTTTCCATTCTGAGTAATCATAATATCTAAAGGGAACATCATATGAAAGTAAACCATATTCTTTCGCTTTCGTTATTGCTACACATAGATCTTTATAAGCCTTTTGACATATACCAGTATAACTGTAAATAAAGCAAAATAAACAATATCATTATATAGATATTTTCTTGCTGTACTTCTAATTTAGAAGAAGTTAAACTTACTTGTAACTTAAAATTTCTCCACTATGTTCAGAAATAAATTGTTTTAACAAATCAATATTGCGGTAATCAAGAATTAGATATTCATCCCTACATATCGGACATGGGCTACCAGTAGAAATTACACCACCTCTCTAAAAAATTTGTAGAATTATTTCAAGAAATAAAATAATAGAAGTTTTTTACTTATTTCTTAAAAGTACATACAATGCAAGTCCTTCGTGTTTTTTGGGGAGGAATTTGAGCTTTGAAATTTCTTCTATAATATTTCCAAACAGGATACTCTCCGTAGGTTTTCTTATAAGCTAAACAAGAAATTATAAATGTAATTAAAGTCATACTGAAACAAAACTAATGTTACGTAATTACGTACCACTACTTTTCAGATATTTCATGCTAATTTCTACAGGAATAACTTTAGTTCTATCTTTTGAAATAGGAACTGATTCATCATTAATATCGTTATCATATTTTATAAATGTAGGATGTATAAATTTCACGGGTATAACCTAAAAAATCGTTTAAAGCATTAAATGACCTTTAACAATGATTATCTCTTTGTGATCCTTACTTTCGGAGTTAAATTACTTCGTAAAAGAGATGCAGCAAATTGCAATTTATTCAATACTAATGGCATAATTTTTATTTTAAGCTAATTTTTCAGTTATATTATAAAGTATATCGCTGAACTATATGATATGGCGTATGATGCACGTTCGTATATACGACCGGAATTCCTCAACTTAAAAACGCTCAAACACAAAACATTATAACAGTTACTTAAATACTTACAAATCTATTAAATTTATATTATAATAAATTTATATTACATATTCTTATCCTTGTTTAAAATAGTTTGATATTAGTTGCTAGTAGTGACAAAATATTTCAAAAGATTAAATTATATAAATTTAATATAAAAGTAAAAATAATTTTGTTATTTCGAAAGAGATATATAATATATATGTGTAGTATTTCTTATTTATTATCAAAATTTGTTTATAGAAGATACTAATTTGACCAATTTTTGAATTAGTCAAGTTAGAATCTTATATATATATATATAATATAAAAATGCATTGAATGCTTTATGAGACCTGTATATTTAATTTATATTCTAACTTTAATTAAATTATATATTTTGTATATTTAATATTTAAATGTGAGTAATCAATAAATTTTGGTAAATGAAATAGGCTTATACTTGACTCGCTTACAAAAAATACAGCATTTCCGGTTTGGGAGTAACGGCAGCTTCTACGTAGTTAGGTGAGAATAATTTTACTCCAGTTAAGAGTAGATTTTTGGAATCGTTCAACAAGATTTTACAAGAAAACCGACATTAAGGTAATAAAAATAAAGTTTAAACAATGTTTGATTGCAGATGGCAGATCAACAAGAAGATATCTACAGATTTTGGACAATCTTGTAACATTTGCCGATGCGTAGCCTATTTTCATCAGAGCGTAGGGCCACATCGTTTTTGTGTATAGGAAATGTTAAATTTCATATACACACCTGTGAACATATATTTTCCATAAAAAGGATTTAATTATTTATCAAATGTGAGTGGCTTTTCTGTCGTTCAAAAAAGCCGAAGTATACATATTTTTTCTACAATTTCTGATCGAGAACGATTGTCTGTTCATTAGTTACTATTATTCATTTATCAAATTACTCCTATATAATTTTACATATATTTCATAGAGGGTATAATAAAAGATAGAAGAGATTAATACGAAGATATTTAAGGCTAAAATAAGGTGAAAAGAAATAATGTATTAGTGATACAAGTTGAGGTTTTCTTGGGATTGCCTGGTTTTTACAATAGAAATTGCATGCAAGCTATCGACTATATTTTGAACATGAACAAGTGATAATTTGATATTATTTAAAGTATTATTAAAAGTGTTAGTGATTGCATAATCCTAAAAAAGAAACAATTTTGGTAAATTTTTAATGTAGCACAAATGGACAATCATGGTGTGCTATAAATAGCAGTTGCTCGGTGATGTCAAGTGAAAGGGGTGGGGTTGCTTCGGATATTGGTCGACGAGAAAGAAAATTCAAAACGCGTGCGTGATTGGTTGGTTGTGTAACCATCTTGGGTGGGACATGCGCGAAGGTATTGCGCAGAAGAAGACTCGCCAGTTGACCATCGAGTGATCGCCGTTGACTAAGAAGCTTATATCTTAGATTAATAGTTCTCCTATTTGTAGCTTCTGTTGCTTAATTTCTGTATTTCAAGTTACCTCTTATTAGGAAATGAATATAAATATTGAAACCATAATTGAAATAGAAAAGATTTGATATAAAAATCCTTTTAATTGGTATTTGCGATTTCGTGATATAGATGATTCCTATAGAAATGAAAAGACAATGAGAGGGTAGAAAAGCAAATTAGAAATATTACATTTTGCGAATAATTATTGGTGGAGATATATTTAGACATAGGTAATAATCTTTGACAAAATAATTTCGTATTCGTAGATAGAAAAATCTGTTAGCTGTATTTTACGTGCGTGAAAAAGATTCAACAATATGGCGGTGTACGTGTATGCTTATCCTTGAAAAAGTACATTACTTGTATCCATGAAAAAAACCGAATATCTTTGTGTTTCATTACAGATTTACGTCATGATCCTATGTTTGTACTTCAATATGCGTTAAATCATCAAGAATATCATCAAAATGGTAAGTCAAATTATTTATTGAAATCCAGTTACTTTCCCTTTTCTTCGTAAATTTTTTGAAAGAGGGCGCCATATACGACAAATTACGACAAGATGTAATGGTAGGGGAAAGCGGTAAGATCAATAACCTTCGCTCGTTTGACCTCATATCCTATTTTTGGCTTCGCTAACTTTTAATGATCGTACAATACGAACGCTCATGTAGTTTAATGAGAGTTTTTTAAAACTAATTTAATACGTATTAGTAATACTTATATATTGAGTAGCAGAATGGGCAAAGTAAATGATCTTCGCGTTTTTCTCTTGTGCGCGACGACTCTATGTGATGTTATCTTATTTGATATTTAAATTCTTATTCTATTTATTATTCTAGTTACATTTTTTGTAACGTACAATTTATTATTATTATAGTGAAGGCAATTATTCATATGCAATGTGATATATGTCTTTAAAAATATTTTTTCAGTAAAGGTTAAATTTGAAGAAACACTAATAATACTTGAACATACAATTATATAAATACCAGTTAATTACAATTTTCTTTTCTTGATATAATAGACTATTACATTTTGTTAAGTCAATCAAAGATGGGCTAATTTCAATTTGATTGATCAAGATTCAATTTTTCTATATTATTATACATAACCTCACAAAAAGTAAAAATTTGTAATATTTTGCATATGCTTTTTCAGCCACGTATAGATCCTCTATCTTTATTGAAATGTCTTAGTGTCTTATTGGGGCCAACTGGAGGTATTAAAAGTAAAGAAGAAGTTCACCGGTTGGCTAATTTAATGACAAAATTCTCAAAGAAACTTGTTTCAAAATGCATTTACATACAAATATTAAAAACTACAAATACTGATTTACTTAGCCAGTAAGTACACTTCTTTCATTAAATCATATATAAAGTATTTTTTGTAAAATAAGTAATAAATTATTTATATGTAAAGCAAAATTATGCAAATTGCATACTGACGTGCACGAATACTTATAATTTGTATAATCGTGTAAAATATAAAATGTATGCTACAGTAAAAAAAATTAGGAACTCAAAACCATTGGACAGTTTTATTAATGAACTGTACTCACTGATGTGAGTCCCATAAGATATCTCTTTAACATAGTTTTAAAGCATAATGAATTTATAACAGAATAGTTAGTAATTTGATCAATTTATTATTTTCTTCTTTATTTAGATTTATGGGGGCTGGAGGATGGAATCTCATTCATATGTGGCTTACAGATGGGATTCTTGCAAAAAATTGGGCTTTAATTCAAGAACTCTTAGAACTTTTGTTGTTATGCCCAGTAGATATAGAAAGATTGAAAAGCAACAATTGTCCTAAATTAATAAAAGGTCTATCAAAAGAAGGTAGTCATCAAGGTGTTAGAGTATTAGCTAGTCGATTGGTTGAGCAGTGGTTAAAAATAGTGAAAGGGGAAGCTGCACCAAATTCTGTGCCAGCACAAATCATGACTATTCCAGCACAAACTACTGGAGTTTTAGGGCAAACTTTGGTACCTCAATCAACACAACAGTATTCCATTCATTGTGGTATCCAACAAGTCTCTGATGGTACGGAAAATGCAACAGTTCAAGTGCAAGATTTGCAATTTATTCCAAATTCCACATCAACTATTGCAGTATCCCACATTCACCAGCAACAACAACAGCAGCAGCAGCAACAACAATCACAAGACCAGCAACAGGTCCAGGAGAGGACAACTGTGCAACCATTACAATTGCAAGTTGTTAGTAAACCGCAGCAAATGCAAATACAACAACAATTGTCAACCCAGCAATCAAAAAAGCCAGCTTTTGTTGTGGTATCTGCATCTTCACAATCTCCAGTTCCTGTGTATAAAATTACAATTCGTGAAGGCAAACAGATCCTTACAAAAGTGGAGACAGATGCTACAAATATTAATAGTGTTTTAAATACAAATAGTACAAATGTAGAGGTTAATGGAGATGTTGTGGAAGATGCTCTTCCTGTGAAACAAACTCCCGAGGAAGTAGTATCTGCAGAACTTAGTGGTGGTGTAGTCAGTGGTCAAGATTGTGAAAAGGACATTGCACAATCTGAAAAATTAGACCAAGTTTCAAGTGAAGTGAAACAAACTGTAGTAGATTCCACAGATAGCCCTGATGTGGATGTTAAAAGTAAAGAAAGCAAAGACATTAAAGACCTTAAAGACAATAGTAATAGTGAAAGTAGTAAATCTAGTAATAAAGAAAATCGGGACTCTTCTAAGAAAGATGAGAAAAAGTCTAGTAGTTCAGATAAGAAGAATCACCATAGCTCATCTTCATCCTCCAAAAGTTCTTCTAAACATACCTCAAGTTCCAGTTCACATCGTTCTAGTTCCATATCTTACAAATCTAGTAGTCATCGCTCTAGTTCTAGTAGTAGTAGTTCAAAAAGTTCTAGTTCCAAGGATAAGTCTTCCAAGGACAAGGAAAAACATCACTCATCCAATTCATCCAGTAAACATAGTTCTAGTAAGGGTAAATCTGATAAAGAGCGAGAAAAGGAGAAACAGAAAAAGGATCAGGCAGAAAAGGACAAAGCAACATTAGAAAAGGTTCAAGGGCAGGCACTGAGTTCAAAATTTGGAAAAATACCCAAAAAGAAGTTGGAAGAAGAAAAATCTGGGGATGTAGTTGTAAGGAAGTCATCAACAGACTCTCGAGATAGTTCTAAAGAAAATAAGACTGATTCAAAGAAAGCTGTCGTAATGCCAGAGAAGAAGAATATTTCTATTTCCATTGAAAGTAGAAAAAATTCTCAAGATTCCACAACACGGCCGAAGACTGTGAAAACATTTAACTCTAAATTCAGATCAACAGGTTTGGAAGAAGAAGTAAAACCACCACCACCAAGATCAGCAAAGAAACCACCCGTCATTGACAAAAAGGTCATACCACAGAAATTACCTGCCTTGAAAAGGCCATCCCCACTTAGAGAAGCTATTCCATCAACAGATAAACGAGCAAAATTATCATTGGATTCACCAACTACACCCCCAAGTGAAGAAAAGAAGGGAGGCATCAAATTAATACCACCTAAACCAAAACGTAAGTATTACACAGTGTCTCAAATATTATATTTAAAAATTTCTTTTTGCACACAAATATGTATATATATATTTTTTTTTTCAACAAATATAATTTTGATTCTTTAGGGAGAAAGGTACACACTGTCTTAAATTTTTATGAAATTCTAATGTTCAAAGACTAGAAAAAAGAAATTGAAGATATTATATGTTAAATATATAATAAACATAAATATATCTCTTTTCTTTAATGAATTTTAACAGTTATCAAATGTATTTTAATAAAAATAATCTAGAATTGAGATGAAATTATATTTGATATTATATTAAGTTTCAGTCTAGGATTATATGTGTTATATGTGATAAATTGGTTCAATTTGCTTTGTTATATATTATTTTTGTTCTTTAATTTCTCTAATTTTTAAAATATAAAATGATATAAAAAATAATATCAAATATAATAAAATGATCTCAGTTGAAGATTGTAGTATTAATTCTATGATGAATTTTTTGATATAAAGAGCATTGCAAATTAGGAAAAGAAAACTACTAACTTTATTAACTTTAACTGGTCTTTGAACACTAGTTTTTTCTATTGTATGTGCTATTACTAACTTCTTAATATTGAGTTTGCAGGTGGTTGGGTCCAGGAGAAACACGAGCAAATTATATACTTCTATACTTTACGTATTGCGCGAACGTTAACGTTTTACTGAATTGGACAAAATCTGCATAGATTTCTTGTCTATCTCATTAATTTGCAGTTTCTTTCAGGCATATTATATTTTAGTTTATAGTATTTATTAGAACCCTACGCTATTTTCCTAAAAGTTATTAGAATATTATAGAAGGTAAAAGAAAACCTGTATTGATTGACCCACGTGGAAGTGGATCGAGCGGATTTCTCGTGCTTGCCTCTATAATTAACGTCACATTAGAAGAATGAAGAACATTAGGATCGGCTCTTTCAGCATCGATTTATTTCCTATATTAAGAAGATTCAGCAGGTAATCTTCGATAAAGTATTAATTAAATCGTACGGTTGAAATGTTTGATAACTAGTGCAATTTAGTAAAAAATAGAGTCAAATATTTTTTGATAACCAACACATCGAAAGTAATCGTGCAGTTTCTTCTAAAATTTATTCGGATAAAAGAAAAAAGGTGTGTTTTATATCGATATAATTTCCCGGGTGTGTGTTTTACCGTTCTCCGACGAACGATACACCGATAGAAGTCACTATGGATATTACTAATCTACCTAGGTAAGGAAACAAACCAACTCTTGTCTGTCCATACTTCTTCCCTTGTACATGTACACCCTATTAAGCATTTAAATAAATTGATCAGAAATCTGGAAATATTTAACTCTTGGGTTTCTGCTATACATCTTGCTCACTGAATGCTTGATAAAGCAAACACTCATACCGTGAGCCCATCCAGATTTCCATCCTCTCGGTGACTAATCGCACATATCTAAAGTGCAAGTAAAATCAGGACTCTCAAAATGGTATTATATACTGAATTTCTAGACAATAATAATGATAAAGATATAACGCTTAAAAAATTAGTCGTTGCTAATTTTTGATCAATTGTGAGTTCATTCTTACGAAATTATAACATTTAACGCTTATTCGTAGCGAAATCACATTTTTATTTAGTAATTCCTCTTGCACATATTTGTATTGCTTGAATAGTTATATTAAAATTATTATATAATACTTAACATGATAACACCATTTTGAGTGTCACTGCACAAGGGAACAAATTCTTGTAAGCGATATGTTATTTTTCAATTTTGTATCATTGTTTAGTTCACAGTGGATTTGCAGAATGATTCGAATACGTTCGTGCGTTCATCAGAGAGAATTGAAATTTGCGGGCGCATAGTCCCAAGATATCCTTATGAAAGTGAGAAAGAATAAAAAAGAGCGCGAGAGAAAGAGAAAAAGAACGCGTGAACGAAAGTGAGAGAGGGAGCGAGAGTAATAGTATGTATGAACGAGTAGATGGAAAAGCGAGAAAAATATGGCACGACGTTTGAAGAAAGTTTGTCAAAAAAAAAAGAATGCAGAATTTCGTGGAACGAAAGCACTTTCGAAAATGCATGAAATACGACGCTGCATATCGACTCGACGTCTTCGAGCAAGCCGCCCCTTAGGATCAGCGGGCCTCTTCTTACGACAGATAATCGTCTAGTTGCAATGACAACGTCGACATGGCGAAGAAGTCTTCTTCCTTGCCAGTAGTCGCGGATTAACAATCGAGTGAAAAAACATTACTGGAACGAGAAAAAAATATAAAGAAGAAGACAGGAAAAACGAGAATGATCATGTTGTGCTCGTCATTAATTGAAGGAAATTGTTATTTTCTTAAAGTGTTATTCTCTCGAGCTTACTATATTCTTTTAAATAATATAGGTTTTATTGAGTTAAAAAGTAATTTCGAGATGGTGTATCTTTGTATACCTGAACTTTCCTAAATAAGAATAATTCGCTTTAGTTTGCAAGAATATCTTTACTCGATCATAAAAGTTTTTCTTCTTAAAAGTTTAAAATAAAACAGAGCACAATTAATTCCTTATCTAGTCATTCATTTGAAAGAAAAAAGCAAAAGTTGTATATGATATTGATGCATTAAAAAATTCAATAATTTAGATGACTAAATACCATGGAAAAGATAGCATTTGGAAATCATTTGAATAAGACGCGTAAAGGAGGATAGGTGGGAGTTAACGACGGAGTTGCGCAACAGCGCACTTCGTGGTGTGCTCGGCGGAATACCGAGGCTGATGTTTTTGCGATAGTCTTTATGTCGACACTCGTGTATGGGGTCAGATTCTGTCTCTCGTAGTAGTTGCATTACGCTCACATAGTATATTAACCATTCAACGTATTTAGGTCCGCGCCATTCGTGGACAATGTTTGTCATGTGGTATTTACCTCACTTATATTTGAATTTGAAAAAGCGATGGAATGGAAAAATAAAATTTACAGTAGTTATACATTATTTAAACTAATATTATCAAATTAGTTCATCTTCTGCCTATCAGAAACGCTCTTTTACTTCGAGAATAATTGTTTTTGTTCGTTCTAAAAGAGATATGCACATTCTTACAATTTATGATATACAAGATATTACCTTAAAGAAAAAAGTTGTTTTTTTATTTATAATAATTTTTATGCCTTTCATGAAACATAAGATACAAAGAAAATAGTTACACTAATTTTAATGTTTAATTATCTTTTGTTTATAGTTTGCTCAAGTTTAAGTTGTTATTTGTAATTACAATTATACTGTTATAAATATTTTATCTGTGATTGCATATCGTTAATGATTATATATTCACTTTTATATGAAACAAAATATGTAGGAGTCCCTTATGTAAAGAAGATGAAAATTATATAATTAATAATAATAGACTTTAATCTATTTAGACATTTGCACAAGGAATAGAAAACCATCGCTGTTGATACATTGCGCAAAAGTTTAATAATAATTTTAGTCAATATATTAATGTGTACTATTCGATCGTAAAGATCTTTTTTACAAATGAAACGAAATGTTAACAAAAAAATGCGTCTTGATTGTTACGTATAAGATAATACGTTAAGAGTACTATTACGATTTGAAACATTTTAAAACGAAGTAAACGACTCTTGAGGATAAATCAAAGGTTTATGGAAATAAAATTGGAGCCGTATAATTAAAACCCGCATATTATTCCCCAGTTTACTATTATCACTTTTATCGAATACATTCTAAAAATATTGATATGTTTATCAATGCGACTTATTATCGATTTGATATATCTTATATTTTCTTCCTACATCTATAACGACTTTTGTTGTTATTGTATATTTATTGAATTCGACATTAATTTACTATATATGAACACAGTCTGATAGCAAGCAATTTTTGAATAAAATTCGTATTTTTTTACAGCAGTTAGGTATCATCTAATGAATAATTATCAATTTTTACAAAATTCAAGACATATTGTATTAAATGCCAAACGGATGTACAAAGTCTTCGTTTTTTGTGCGTTATTGAAATGCATTTATGAACAAGCTGTATTTGACACAATAATTAATATATTATCTTCCATATAACATTATCAAAAGATACTAAATAAAACGCATCTATTATAACGTAAAAATGAAAAAATTTTAATTTAAATAAAATATCTTGTTCATTTAAAAGATTTTGAATTAGTACTTAATTAATCGTAAAGAAAAAGGTTTTATATCTTAATAGCAAAAAATATAATCTTATATCTATATTATGTAAAAGGCTTCACCTAAATTAACGTTTACTTTTCTAATTCCTTGCACTTTTACAACGTTGAAATACTCGATATTGGTCCTAATATGCACGCATTTAGTCTCAGTTTTAAATTTCATTTGAAATTTCGAATAAATAAAATAATCCAGTGGATCAAATCTAATTGATCATGATCGATTGATAAATTTATTGATCCATCTGTCTTAGAAAACATGTAATGATGTAAATGCTTTTTATAGTTATATTTATAAATGCATAATAAAATTTTATTTCTTTTCCCAACATTAAATGCGAAATTGTCCCATTGTACATATAACATTTTTATAAAAAATACTCTTTACTAATAAATCGCAATGGCTTCTAACATGTTTTTAAAATAAAATATTTCGTATTATTAAAAGGCAATAATTGTATTTTTGTTGCAGATTCATTACGGATGTCTTTCTCATTCCTTCTTCACTCAATATTTGTTAGAACGTTATCTGGTTTCAGCTCTACCAAGGAATAAGTTTAATTTCTGTCTTCGTGCGATATACATTCTTTTTCTTTGCAGGTTGATGCTGACTATATGTGATAAAATTTTGTACAATCGAATAAATCTAATGTTTGCTCTATAGGATTTTATCATGGAAATATTTTTAATCTCTATAAGATCATTATCATTAATTCGAGCTGGTGAGGAGCAACATTATAAATTTTTTCTTTCCGCGGCGTAGTTCCTAGGATTACTTAACAAAATATTTTATTATAATTTTTAGTCTAATTCGGAGTTATGATTTTTGTAAATCAGTCATTTAACGCAAATGTTTTATTGCATGTAATTATTAAGACAGTGTTAAATCTTTCTCCCAATTCAAAGTAATATGTTTTGATTCATATTCTTGCATTTTATTTTATCTATAAATATTTGTTATTTTTCTTATTTATAGCAATGGTTTTACAAGAAAGCGATATGTTTATGGATGCTTTAACGGCGTCGACGAAGAGTAAAGAACCAAGGAAGAGAAAGCGAAGAACATCTATCACGAAGGACGGTCCCACAGAAGCCAAGAAACAAGAAACTGCCAGTAATGATAATCGTGATGTTACACCTCCACCGACCTCACCACCAAGTGCCGATGAAAAATCACCCGTAGTTGTCAAGCCTAACTTTAAGGTATACATAATTACGAAATTTCATCGCCGATAGAAATTAATACATTCTTTGTTTATTTATACATTTATTACACATAAAAATATTTATTTTATAGTTTTATCAAGATACGTTAGAAACAGATGAAGATAAAGAGCAAAAGGAGAGGGAGAATTCAGATGAAGATGTGAAGAAAGATAAAGAAGAAATTCTGGACGATCAGAAAGAAAACAGAATATTCAAATCGGATGTTGATGATGACGCTAGAAGTAGCAGTAAGTACTTTACTCTTATTTACCGATATCTGTTTATAATTATATATAAATATATTACTTAAAAAAAAGAACATTGGAAAATATTCTGTTGCTTTTTAGCACCAACACCGGACGATGACGTAGAAGAGAAGACATCCGATTCCCCGGAAGACACATCTTCCCTATCTGAATCGATGAAAAAGGAAAATATCGGTTCTTATCCAGAAATACGATACGTTGATGGTCTGAGAAGCGTTTTATTGCTTCAAAAACGCAAAGGACCGAAGAAAACATTAAAATGGAAAACAGATCTAGAATCGGTGCGTTATTTCGAGTTGGATGAAACAGAAAGGGTAAACGTTACAAAAACGTTTACCGATATGAAACAAATGGAAAAACAAAATGAAAGAGAAGCATTCCAAATGGCCAGAAAATTGAGTAAGTAGCAAAAATATAACTTTTTGTTGCTAACAATAATATCCTTATTATTTTAAACATCAAAGAACTATTTTAACAATTTAATAAATGATTGATATAAACTAATCTTGCAGGTAATGAAGACTTAATGGAAGAAAGAACAAGATGGAAGCCCTTGATTCCAATTGATTTACCGCCACCTTTAGTAGAGCCTGGGAAAGACAGTAGAGAAAAAGATATTCAATATGCCAGAGAGAAAGGAATTTTACAAGCACTATACTTCAACCGAAGCATGTATGTGTATATTTTAATCGATTGTTTTCTTATTATAATAAAGTTTATTTATCAAAATAGAGTTTCATTTATTAAAATAGAATTTAGTACTGCATGTTAAAATACACGATTATTAATAATTTACATATTCGTGCAAAAATGATACGCATGCTATATTAAAAGCATAGGGACATCGAACCATTGAACAGTTTAACATATAAACTGTACTCACTGATACGAGTTCTACAAAATATATTTGTTTAAAAAATATTTTTTTATAATTCAATTGCTAGAAAAACATTTTATTTTATGTATATATATATTAATTTTAGGATTCCAGACTCTGCGGCAGAACCCGATGAGGAACGGCATCATGTATATAGTGAGCCTAAAATCATTCCTTTGGATGATCTTACGGGAAATAAGGAAAGCGAGAAAGATTTCACGTCCCTGCCTTGGCCAGAACCAAAACCTCAGTTGCAACCACAAACACCGGCAGTTTCAAATTTCCATTATCCTACATTTCCACATAATCAACAGCCAGTAATGGCACCTATGGGTCCTCAAACTTCAATGGGTCCAATGCCACAAATGTCTCAACAAATGATGGGACCTTCTCATATGGGTCCAATGGGTCCGGAAATAGGAGGTCCATTGACTGCTGGAGGAGGAGGTGGCTGGAGAACTGGAGATGGAAAAGTTGTTGTACCTGATGGAATGGGAATGAATCCAATGGGAAATATGCCAAATGCATTTCCACCAGGTATGGAAGGTGGTCCAATGGTACCACCTGGAATGATGGGGCCACCACCTATGTATAATCAACAACAAGAAGGTTATGGTATGATGGGTCCAGAAGATATGGGATTCAATAATATGAATCCAAACAACTTCCAAGGCCCTCCTGGCCCTTTATACGGCCCTGGACCTAACTTTCAAGGTCCTAGAGGCGCCGGTCCAATACATGGTAGAGGTAGAGGCGTTCCTGGACCTGGCTGGTATAGAGGTGGTGGGGGGCCGCCAGGAAGAGGCGGTTGGAGGGGCGGTGGTGGTGGATGGAGGGGAAACGGGAAACAACCACCCGTATGCAGACAATTTTCAAAAAACGGTTATTGTCGTGTCGGTGACAAATGCCAATATCTACATCCCGGAGTGAACTGTCCACCATTTTGAAAGAAATTAACATAATTATTTATTTGAAATTTCTGCAGTAGCACGATATAAATGTTCATTCTATTTGAAATGAATCAATGGAACTGAACGATCCTGAAATTTTTAAATCGTGCTAGATACCGGCTCACATTAGCTACAAGGATGAATAATAATGTGCAATTTTTTATTAACGATACAAAGAATTAAGCACATAATATTTATACAGTTATATTTTCACAAGATTTAAATGATATTTGGTAATTTTCAATTTATTTGCATCACATTATGCTAAAGATAAATATTATAGAAAGAATACGTGATAAATTTATTTTTCGTAAATTATTCCCGCAGAATTTCAAGTATGGAAACTGTCATTTTAAATTTAAAATGACAATAAAAAAGAGAACAATAGGTTCATCAGCTGCTGGACAGCAAGAGGTTCCTATACATCAATTTTTATTATGATTTCGAATAGGAGTTTTTAAAAAACTCTGAAAATATGTCAGAACTATTTTTATTGGTGTATTTTCAGAATATAATGAAAATTGGGACACGTTATGTAAAATGAACTCTCGATTATGTCTTCCCTTTACGTTCACGGTTTACAGATAGCCACTGCCGAAAGAATGATTGGTATAATCAAAGAAATGGGATTTTGCAAGTTTTAATCTTATTGGCATGACAAATAGTGATTTCAAAGTATGACGCTAGTAAGCAGGAAGTGCAGATTCCAATTTGAGAAGCATTTGTCTTTCACGATTACCAGTTGGATGTTTAATCGCTTTCTACTAATGAATATATGTAATTAAACTGCTGTTAAAACGAATTAAACGTAATATACCATGGAACATTATAACACCAAAAGTTCAAATAACGGTTTAAATAACTTTTTATTAAATGAAGATATCTTACATTTAATCGTATATGTAGATTGATTGTAAATATCATAATTGTATCATTTTGTATAAAGTGTTGCTAGTTCTAATAACAAGAGACTGTTTTAGGCTTAAATGGTATGTAATAATATTAAAAAGCAACAATTTTTAGTAAAAATGTGTATGTATGATTTAAAGTAGTTAAATTCAAAGAGATCTAATATTCATAGAGTACATTTTCACTTATAAATTTGGTCATGTGCTCCATGAAATAGATCACTGATATACTATTGTTGTATTAAATATTTTTTATGAATTAAAGGTAGTGGTTATTTTTTTGTATATGATTGATCATTATGTTTGTATATAACATTGTTGTATAAGAGCTGCTTGATGGAATACATGAGTCATACCTATTTTCTAAAATATGCTGCATTATTAAATTGAAAGACTTCCTTTATAACATTTTTTCTCCATTTATTTTTAAATATTTCTAATTTACCTTTTTACTGTAACATCAAAACATCGTTTTTGTGTTTATAATTGTCTATTTCGTTAATTTTGTTTGAAACGTTAATAATTTTATAATGTTCATTGATATAATGTATCATATAAAGTTTAATTAAAAAAGAAGCATCAGTATTGAATATATATTCATTATATATGTAATTAAATATACTTAACAAATATAACATATACATTAGGTTTATATTTATCATATATTGGTCATTCATAAACATTTAAATATTTACCAAGTATGGTATCAAAATTTAAATAATAATTACACAATGAATCATAAAATATTGAATTTACAATATAATATTGATTTAAGTTCATTTAAATTGTTGAGGTGGTGGACCAAAAATACTTCCACTCTGTTTACTTGCAGTTCTAGAGGGTGCAAATCCAAGCATTTTTTGAATATTCTGCAACCAACAGTACTTCTTGTAAATAAAGTTAATAATAACAAAATCATATCAAACATGAAATGTATGAATTTACCTGTCTAATGCTCATGGTGCACAGTATATATAAAAAAATAAATGAACATTCCGTATAGTCATCTCCTGGAAGGTTTCTATGTGATAAACCTTGTATCCAACTAATGGGTACAAAAGGCAACCTTGCCACAACTCTGCCATCAAAAATGCTGTTAAACATACTTAGGAGAGCTGTGAATGCAAATCCAATTGCAAACATTGATTTCATTTTTACAAGAGACAAATCCCTGTTATTGTTTTTTAATCTTTCTTCTTCCCGTTCAATCTTTTTTTTTTGTTGTTTATCTAATGAATCTCCATGTGCTTCTTTTCTTTTTTCCACTAAAATGAATTTAATTTAAAGATAAAGATTTAATTTATTAAAATTATGACCAGTTTCCTTCATGCATGTTTAAATAATCAATGTTCCTTCATATATAATCATGATTAAAAACTTACGTTTTTTACTTTGTTTTTCTACTTCAGCTTTTAATTTTTGGTATTTTTCTGTTCTATAAACCATCAACCATGTTAAACCTACCAATAATATCAAAATTAACCGAGGATGTATAATATAGAAATAAATATAACCTTAAACTTAAAACAATACCTTAAAAAAATAGCATTACCTTCTCCTAATAAAGCTGTACAAATACTAATAAATACGATTAAAATAGTATCAGCCCACATGATAAAAGAAAGAATTCGTGAAATACTGTTTAAACGTTTAAGCTATTCGAACATACAATGTGTACATTGAAAAGACCATGCCTATTCTCAAACTTGAACAGTTGTGAATGGGAGAGAAACTAATCTTCATTATCTTTTACTATACGTGCATTTGTGTTTGCTATGAAAATTTGAAGAGAAATATTTGTTATTGGTATAAAAATAATTTATATAAGCTTAAAGATTACGAACATTTTTTTGTTATAAAACTTTTATTTTATAATAAATATTTTTTGCATTACTTGAACTTTATTTGTAACTAATAAAATTATATTGGTAAACAATATTTTAACATATAACTGAAAAGATACAATATATACATATGACGTAATAAAATCACAAATGTTTTTTTTATATAAAATGGCTTTTAATACATACAAAGTCTTAAATATATTGAGAAATATTTTGATAAGTTAACTTAAAATACTGCTATCTATTCTCGGAAATTATTTTGTATATAGAAATAAACGTAGTATTCTTGCGACTAATATTACATAACAAATATGCATCACAATACTTTTGGTTATGTAACTAGTAAAAACATCCACATATTTTTACTGAACACATGCGGATAAATTTATATAGATAAAAGAAAATTTGTAACTTAGTATGCTATTATTAATTTTTATAAAGATTAAATTTATAATATTCTTATCAATCTTGAAAATCTTCCACCTTTTTTTCTATATGATCGGCATCGTCATCTTCGAGGCATTTTCTAATTTCGAAACCCAAAGCAGCACCCAATGGTGGTGGAACTGCGTTACCAATTTGACGATGTTTATCAAGTATATTTCCGTAAAAGCGAAAAGTGTCCGGGAAACCTTGTGATCTAGCACACTCTCTTACACTGACAACTCTGGTTTGTTCCGGATGTAGGACACGGCCCTATGCATAAACGATAGAATTAAATATTTAAGAATAAAATTTTAAAAGTGACATAATACGTACCTGTTTACCCATAGGTTCAGGATTAGTGATGGTAGTACCGAAAAATCCATCCCATTCTAATCTACCGTATAAGCCTGCCCAATGATTATGACGTCTTCCAGTATGAGGTAAACACCACGGGATCAAAGTATTATACTGTCTAGCCATTGGATCACACATCTTTCCCGCGCAACAACTACATACGCCACGATGTGCTCCAGTAGAACTCTTACCTGCTTTCTTATCATGATACAGATATTCTCTGCAATATATAACAAAGAAAGAATAAGTTATTTATTCTTTAAATTAATCATTCTGTTCTAATATCTAAAAAATTATAAATAAAAGTTATTTACAGTTTTTTTGAGTATGTTCCATCACTTAAACGCACTGCGATATTTGGCAAATCTCGCCAATCAGATCCACTCGCAGTCGGAATATGTGCTATGCGCGCTTCAACTAGTGGAGCCATATCTTTGCAAATATGGTCTCTCAATATTGCATCTGGTTCTTTAGGTCTCACCTGTAAACAAACATAAGGAAAATTATATAAGAAAAGTTATGTTAATATTAATAATGCTATATTAGCAGTTACTGTTATTTTGTTTACTTTTCTTTGAAAGTGGGATATTGGCTCATCGCTATAAGCCATTTCTTCCGTATTCCATCCATTCCGGATATTAGGTAAATCAGACATTGCATCACGAACACTAATCGTTCTATATGGTGCTGACTCTATCCAATCACAATTTGATGAATACTATTAAAAAGACATAAAATATGTTATCGAACTTAGGCAAATGTATTAATAAATACATTAGGTAGACGATTTAATTAATTAAATTTATGTAGACATTAATACTAATTTAATTACTTTTTTATTATCAACAATGACGCTTAGTTGGCAAGCCCGTTTGCTAAATACATGGGTTGGTTCAGGGTATTTTGGAAGTACTTCTCCAGGTGCAGCAGCTAATATTATTAATCTAGAAACAAATGAATAAAGAATATATATGCCAAAACAATTAATCGATATAATTTAAATGTTATATACCTCCTTCTTGTTTGCGGAATACCGTAGTTTCCAGCTTGCAGAATACCAAATGTACATTGGTAACCCATTCGTACAAGGCACCTTAACGTTAATTTGAGTACCATACTTCTTTTAAAAGATACAAAGTTTCTAACATTTTCCATAATAAAGAATTTTGGTCTATAGTAATCGCAATAAGACAAACATGATGCAACTAAAGAATTTTTAAATAACGAATATTGCCGTGAATTAAAACGATTCATGCCACTAAAACCTTGGCAAGGTGGACCACCACATAATAATTCTACTTCCCCTTTCTGAGGTAAACGTTGTCCATTATTATCGCAAAGGTCGCCCTACAAAAGATAGAAATATATTTTATATTATATATATCGTATTTTTTTATAATTTTGCATTGTTAGTTAAACTTACTTTCATAACTTTCGATAAAAGTACATTGCAATCTTCACAAAATACTGTTGTATTAGGATTATTGAGTCGATATGCACATGCAGCTGGTTCGTCTCTTTCAATTGCCCATTGGTTATCAACAATACCAGCTTGTCGTAATCCTTCAGATAATCCTATAATGCAATTTCAATTTTAGGAAATTTTCAGCACCTCATGCAATTAAATTTTAAGGGTTATACTAACCACCACAGCCAGCAAAAACATCTAACGTTTTTAACTTTCTTATCACCTTACAATAACCTATAGGTTTATCAACTATTTTCTTATTACTATTCTCTACTTTTTTACTTTTGCACTTTGCTTTTCCTTTCCCTTTCCCAATCACAGATTTTCCAATATTCATAGCATAGTATGGTGGATCAACAAACGTCTTTTCTAAGGCGTTATATGCTTGAGAAAAATAAAAACGATTTGGACCAGCAGCAGTCCATTCTTCTACAGACTGATCTAAATTTTCTGAATACGCCAGATAACATTTTCCGGCTACATCCGAAAATTTAACATCACAAACTGAAATTTTTTAGTTAAAAAATATGTTAATTGACTTATATTAATTTATATAATTTCTGAATTTTTTAAGTAATATTTTACCTTCTTCACTCCAATATACCGTATTGAGATCAACTTGTTGCATTAATGTGAGTCCTTTATGTGTGTTTTCTGGTCGATACAACTTATTTATTTTAATCCATATATCAGATGATGCAACCAATTTATTATTAGTGGTTGCATAGATTGAATTTATGTATCCAATATGAAATGGTTCTGGTGTATCATAATTAGATCCTTTCACATGGTCTGATGATTTGCGATAATATTCGGGATACATATCTTCATCTACTTTCCCTTTCTTTACTTTGGGAGAAATATGATACGTCGATGTAAATTTATACTTTATAGCCGCTGGCATTAAAAATACAGTAGAACCAACTCTAAATTCTTCGCCCTTATATTTTGCCATACTGTATGTCACTTCCTTGCTGCTCTTCTCTTCTTCCCTATTAAAGACTTTTGGTGTGTAATAACATTGCAATGTAGTAAAACGTACACAGGCAGGACAAAAACGATGACTGATTTCTTTCCGTGGGCATTCAGGATCTGAAGCACAATCCTCAAAACGAGCTGTTTCTGGAGTATATTTTTTTTGATAAAAGAATGTCTTCCCATCTTTATTTTGTATTTCATCTTCTGGCAATACATTTCCTGAAATATAATCAACTAATGTCTAAAATTTATCATTATATATTCCTTGAGAGTAGATAATATAAATACCTAGTTCATTCCAATTTTTTGGGCAAGTTTTATAAATGACAGTAGCTTTGGATTTAACTGAAGTGAATGGAACATTGTCACATTCATCAAGTAAAAACAATTCTAAAGGATCTGATGTTTCACCAAGTACAGTGTCACTACCTCTTCTGAACCAGTTAGCATGACATAGTTTTGCACCATTTTTATCTTCCCACATATAAATGACCTTAGCTATTTGTAATGGTACAGTAGGATCATTTGATTCAATTAAAACACAATCATTTCCTTTTATTTCTTCATCAACAACTATGACAGAGTTATAAAATGTTCTTCGTCCATCGTCTATGATTGGCTCTCCCACCCACGTAATTTCTTTCTCTACGTGTTTAAATTCTTTCAAAATCATTTTTTGAGTAATCTTTACATTTTCTACTAATGTATCATTAAAATCGTCATCTTCTTGGTCTGAATCATCTGCTTCCTACAATTAATTAATAAGTATTTAATACGTATATTTTACAAAAGAAAATGTTCTATATTAATGCCATTATTAAAATATTATTAAAATATCTTACCTGTATAGCCATATTTGGACATCTTCTTCTGTTGCAAGCTTGCTTACTTCTTCCAGATCCACCAAATTTAATCATATCTTTGCAAGCTGTACAAATTCCACAATCTGGCTGCTGGCAAGTTTCACATACCCCACACCTATGTCTTTTAGGTCCCTATAACAATATATTATACATAGTATATATACATATAACATTATTTATTATAAGAATCTTGATTACATACCGATACTTCTTTGTCATTATTTGTAGCTATTTGATCAGAGAAAAATGTTTCAAACATATTATTGACTAATTTTGTAGTCGTAGCTTTCGTCCAAGTGACTTTTTTATTTTTTGTATCTCTAGATTGCGTTCTGCGTAGCGCAATCCTCTTATTTAATGTTACACCAGCAAGAGTTACTAACGCACGCATACACGGGCTTGTAATTAATAAAGGATCTTCTGGTCTTGCTGATGCATCAAAAGAAATAACTTGATCACAAATGAATTGTGCATACCGTAACAAAGAATCTTCTGTAAATCTAGCCAATCCTTTTGGTGGAACTATCGTCTAAAAAATATGTTTTGATAAAAGTTAATACATCAAAATGTGAAATATCTTATGTTAAAAAAAGTGAAAAAATTTTTACCTGCAGTTTATTCAATAAATCTTCATATGTAGGGTTTATTTCATCTAATAAAAACTCTATAACTATTTTGCTCATGTAAATTTTTTCTTTTACAGAATCCATAAATGGTGCATATGGCTCAGCAGGTTCCATCAGTATATATTCTGCAAATGCTGTGGTGAATCCCACAAGTGCCAATTCTCCACCATCAAATCCTGACACCCACCATTCATTTATTGGTCCCATGTCTTTTGTAGGCACACCTCCTTCTGGACATGAGTTTTCTTCATAAATAGGTTTCATATAACCAGAAAAATAAAGCACCACATTCTTTTCAATTAGACCAGTATCAAAAGAACATAAATGACCATTCTTATCATATACACTATAAAAAGAAAAAAGAAGACAACATACATAAAATGAAATTTAATTAAGAGAAAATAGATTTATGTAATTTTTCTATTATAAGGAATGCCTACCAGAAGTGAGTCAATTTATTTTGTGGCCTTTCGTCACTTTCATGAACCATAGCTTCTTCTCCTGTGAATAAAGATAATCTAGGATCTGTTAATGCAATCATTTCTTCTACTGCACCATTAGGATGCCCTGGATATATTTTTATATCTATGCTTGTTAACTTTTGACAACAATAATCACATTTTTGATGTACATTGACAGGTTTCTGGGGCAATATTTTGGATTCTTCTATATTCGTTGTATCGTTATTCTCAGTTTTAATTTTCTTTAGGATGTTCTCAGCTTCATCACTTGAATCTGATTGTTTTTGCTTTACTACTAAATCAGTATTACCATCACATATTATTTCTTCTTTTTCTATTAACATAGGAGATTTTGCTTCGAACTCTTCACTTTCATTACTTTTTCTTTTAACACATTTTTTTGACTGGGACCTTTGTTGTGGTGATGGATGTTTAATCACATCTGCATTAATTTTATTCAAATCAGATGTGGGATCTATACTAATATACTTCCCACTACGTAGTTTTTTCCTATCGTTACCATTTTCTTGAAGTATCATAGCGTCAGTCACTGATGAATATAAATTAAATTTAACCCTTATGGTTCAAACTACAAACTATGTATTTTTGTAAATTATTTTTATTTCTTACCTGTGCCCTTATTTTCTTCGATAACTCGACTATTTAAGGATATTTCTCCCCCATCATTTTCATCCTGTATTTGTTTCTCTATCTCGTAACTTTCTGCCTTTGGTATAATAGCGGATATCATATTGTATAAAATCGATTATTTTTATCGAATTTTTCTACAGAAGTTATTACTCTTAAAAAAAATACGAACTTCTTATATTTATGTCCAAATAAATGCGCTAGGAATGTATTTGTACCTTAAAAAATAATTACAAATGAACACGTTTTCTCGTTCTTTCAATGTATAGCGTACTACAAAATTCAGCTGAATAGCATACATATAACTATAAGTTAGGACACAACGCTGACGGTTGTACCGCCAAAATCTTTTAAGCCTAGTTCACATGAGAATACCATGTTTGATGCCATATCGATATGTATATACATAGAAACGCTTTATTTTCATTTGTTTTATGTATTTATTATTTATTATTATTAAATTAAAATTTTATTTTATTAAATTTTATTTTTATTAAATATAAATCTTATGTTTCATTATATTCATTAATATGTTTTAATATTCATACTTTATATTTAGTTCGAATAAATTATCCTTTACTTATTTAAAAGCCGTATTATATTTTGAAAGATGATTTATTAATTATATAATTCAATATATTTATTTTATACGTAAAAATAGCAAACATACTCAAATTTTAGAAATAATTATATTTACTAAAAAATATAAATGTTATTTATAAAAGCATCATGTCTCACAGATGATGTAATCGATGTAAAATTGCAATTTCTGTCTGTGAATATAAATATAACCTATAAAACGACATTAGATCTTGGAGTTTTGAATTTGTACGAAGTGACGAGTACACAGTCAAAATTTTAAATTAAATAAACATAAGAAAGGTAATAATAATAATAGATATATAGAATTGCGTAACATAGAAAATTTTAAAATACATATTGAAAACTAATATTTCCGTTGCATAAACAGAACAAAAAAATTTGCGTATTGTAAGCTATTTATAGACATCAAGCAATGAAGAATTTTAGATAAACCAAATTTACTTTTATTTTCAAAATTATGATAATATTTTTGGTTAATATTTTTTAATATTGACATTTTTGTATATCTTAAAACTGTTTAATTATTTTACAGCTATATACTATTGTTGTTATCAAATTTACATAAACAAAAGGAGATGCTATGGGAGAAAAAAACCTAACTGATGAACAAAAAAAATTTTTAGAAGAATGTGAAGAGGAATTTAAAGATCGATACACTGAGAAAGATACAGAATTTATGAAAATTAAAAATATGGAATTAAAAAAGCCACCCATTGCTGACCCCTGGTATCCTAGAAATAAGAGATATAACAATGATAGAGATGAACGTCGATATTGTGGTAGACATTATTCTAATCATCGCTATAAAGCTCGTCACAGATCATAATTATTGAAGTTATAAATAAATTCCTACAAATATCTGTTCTATAAATTTCTATAATTGACTGTAATCATTTATTGGATAATAAAATATTTAAACACATAGATATAGGTTTAATAATATAAATAATATAAGTTTGTACATAATTTCTTCATAAAAACATTAGTACTTTTTTTTTACATTATAATATAATTTTTATTAATTATTGTACAATTTAATTTTTAGGAGAAACTAATTTGATGCATGTTGCGTAAAATAATCCAAAATAAAATTAGGTAGTTTATAGTTGAACCAAATGAACATCTTATTACAATTACATATACTGTGCACTTTTATATTAAATTTTACTTTTTAATTTAAATGCTGTCTTTAATGGAGTGAAATTAAATTTGACATCATATTATCATGATGACCTGATTCCAATGAATACTGAAATAAAAGAAAAATAGAAATTAACTATTTCTTTTTAAAAAATAACCTATTTGAGATATAATCTAAAAAATTATTTGTCATAAAAGTCACGAGATAGATGTCAAATTGTTAGAAACTTCTCATGATGTATAATCTAATTCAATAAATAATTTTAATTATCCAATCATCAATTTTTCTATTGTAAAATGATAAAGCATCTAACGTACATATTTATAATGCAGGACTAATGCAATAAGACTACAAAATACATATTTGCATAACACGTACATACAAATATAGGTACATATTTACAAGATGAAGATGAAATATTATACAGCAAAGAATGTAGCACTTATGTAGCAATATAAATTTATATATATATATACTACATGTTCATATATGTATACATGTATTAAATGAGCAATCAGCTGTTATATTAGTAGGTTTGAAACACGTGTTCTTTTTATCTTCGACAGATATCATTAAACGTAATTGAACAAAGAAGAGAGACATGTGGATATGTCACGAGTTAACTATCCATTTTTAGAGATATATGTGTGGAATTGAAGCAAAGGTTGATAGTTAGAAAGTAGTCGCTTCGAAACGTGATTAGTGATTAATATTCATATGTAAATGAAAAGCGTATGCTCCACAATCCATGATAATAAGTGAATCAATTGAGCGTTCGTTTGCATTCGTCTATACATTAATCTAACTTGTTGTAGCACTACATTGTTTGGTATATGAGAGAGGACATGAATAAATTCAACAAACACTGGCGATGACGTCGGACAAACTTTTTTTGAGCCTACAGTGATGAATTTAGCCTGTTTGTAATATTCTCAAGTGACATGCGTGTGCGCAAATTTTTAAAAGGAAGTAGCACGCGCAAAATCCTGTGTTCTACTATCTTTTATTTTTGATATATCGAAAATGTTCATTTAAAATCCAATAAAAGCATAATTTAGTAGTTCAGTTATTCATTGAATAGAGTAAGTAACATTTCTTGTTCTTTATGTATTTTTGAGAAGGTAAATCATTTTATATCCATAAAATATTTTTAAATACCTTTTCGGCAAGATAAAATTGGAATGTTTAAAAAGAATGTCACAATGCTTTTTTTTTATAACAAGTATTTTCCAATATAAATACAAATGATATAAATGCGATTTATTTGTTTTTGACAAAAGTTTAATGATGTGAGAGGGGACATATGTATTATCTTTAACAACAAAATATATATTTAAAATTATATATTATCATTTCTTAGGTTTGTAACATTATTATTGAAGTCAGCTAACGTTAAAAAGATTGTGAGAAATTAATATTTATATTTATACTAAATTTATAATTGTAAAAAGAGAGTGTGCTTCATTGTTTTATGCAAATTTTATATGACTTTTAATGGAGTGGTGTAGGAAATTACTTCACAAAAGGTATCATATAAAAGTACATTAAAATTCTGAAATATTTAATTACTTTGATATATTGATATATTAATATTTTATTTTGGCAGAAATATTATTCCTGTGGATGATGAGTTGGAAACTGTTGATGAAAGAAAAGAGCGATGGAGAAGCATCTATGCAATTTATTTTACTATGTTTCTTATGTCGCTTGGATTCAGTATTATACTCACAGGAGTATGGCCATATCTTGATAAAGTAAGTATGATAAAGATATAATAAAAATGAACTTTGGTATGTAAAATATTATTATGGATTAATGTTGTAGTTGGATAAAGATGCTGGTAAAGAGTTCATGGGATATGTAGTTGCAGCAAATCCTTTGGGACAAATGTTATTCTCTCCTTTAGTAGGATGGTGGGGAGATAGAAGGGGATCTATAAGACTTCCACTTTTATCAACATTAGCTCTATTTACATTTGCATCAGGATTATATAGTGTCCTTGAGATTGTACCAGGTGATCAAAAAATATACATGATAGCTGCTAGATTCTTGGTTGGAGTTAGCTCTGGTTAGCAGTTTATTTAATTTTAATATCACCAGTTAAAAAAGAATTGTTGATATTTGTTTATATAATATGATGTTTTTAGCTAATATCGCAGTAGCTCGATCTTATCTCTCAGCAGCTACAAAATTTGTAGAAAGAACACATGCTGTTTCAATGGTGTCTCTAGCTCAGGTAATGTGATTTAACATTTCCTCATATGTGTTAATAGAATTTTATATACAGCTTGTTTTAAAATGTGATAGGTGTTAGGATTTGTAGTAGGTCCTGGTTTGCAAGCTGCAGTTACACCTCTTGGAGAAAAGGGCGTATATTTTATAAATGTACCTATTAATATGTATACTATGACTGGTTGGATAAATGTTATAATGGGAATCCTTAATTTTGCTTTATTCCTTCCATGGAATTTCACAGAACATCGAATTGCTATTCGCGAGGCAATGAGAAATGAAGGAAAACAAACTGGTAAATGTATTTAAATTAAATAATACTCTAATTAAATAGATATGTTAATATTTTAATATTAGATATGTTAATATGTTAATAACATTGAAACATTCATCTATTAATTACAGAAGAAGAAACCCTGAAGTCTATAAAACCAGACATTCTGGCAGCAGTGACATTAATATGTGCTTTTTTTGTTTTAGTATTTAATTTTGTCCTCCTTGAAACGTAAGTACAATTTCAAAATATAAAATCTTTTTATGTCATATTTTATACTCTTATTTCTTTATAGACTTGGTACTTCTTTAACTATGGATCAATTTGCATGGTCGAAAACGGAATCTCTATATTATATGGGTCTACTAATGAGTATTGGAGCTATTATGTCATGCATTACATTTGTTATGATCGAACCTTTATGCAAAAGGTATCAATTTTTTGTGGAGATATGTTGCAGGAAAATGACTCCTTATTTATTTCTTAAATATTTTCAGATTTAATGAACGTAAGGTAATGTTGTGGGGTGGATTTTTGTTTATGGTAATAGGAAGAATTTTATATATTCCATGGGGGCCAGACCCTCCGAAAATTGCTGATTACGGACGTATGTACAGAAATAAACAGAGCATCTCATTTATATTCTATATAATATTTAAATTTAGAGACATTAAAATTATTTTATTTTATAGCATTTAACAACATTACAAAAGATGCCGATGGTATAGACATCGTAGGATGTCCACATACTCAAGAATGGTGTACCTATACACCGCAACTTACCGTCACACAGTTTTTCATTGGGTACGGATTCACTACTATAGGATATCCATTAGGTGTCACTTTAATACAAACTATCTTCAGTAAAGTATTAGGACCTCGTCCTCAAGGAGTTTGGATGGGATTTATGACAGGTGCTGGATGTGCTTCTCGTGTGTTAGGTCCAATATTTGTTAGTGTAATTTATACTCGTTTTGGAACATATCATACGTTTGGTGTTACTGGTTTAACATTGATAATATGTATGATATGGTTACAAATTGTAAACGAACGGTTGGTTCCGCCAAAGGTAATAATTCCATCAAAAGACGCGGAAATTCCATTAGTTCACTTCAAATCTAATGATGCTCAAGGATCAAATGATTCACATAAAAATAACAAAAATGAGGGATGTGATAAAGTGTAGTGAGTACTACACTCTAAGTTCGATTTTATTTTTTTCGAGCTTATATACATAACATATGGCTGCCATTAAGAGTTTAATATAAATGCAATTATGATATTACGAAATGCAAGTATATTTTTTATGGATATTTACAGGTTTCTTAAAATACATATTTTATATACATAAATATGTAGGTAACAATGAAAGAATATAACCAGGGTCGTGTAGTTTTTAGAATAATATAATGTAATAATGAACTTGTTCAGTTTTAGAGTCAATCTTATAAAGTAAAATTACAAAATGAAAATGATATATAATACAATATGATAAAAAAAAAAAAATTCTACAACACTTATTACGATTTTATGATATGATTCAATACATGAAAATTATACAAGTATACACACGCAAGTATATTTTTTATGGAAAAATTTGTTTAAAAATATTGTGCATAGTTTTTAAATTTATATGAATATACCTATCATAATAACATAGAAAGACTGATATTTAGCTCAATTTATATAAAAATAAGGGTGCAATTAAATTTAACAGTTACAAATGTTTTTCACAGAATAATCTGGATTTGTAAGTACTTACCATAAATAATTGAATGATGTTTTGTACTACAGTTGAATAAACTCAGTGAGTATTATGAATGAAAAAAGTTGGATAAGGTTACAAATTAAAAAAGAATTATAAATTTTTGCATTAAAATAATTGTAGTTAGTGAAGTACGTTTTACTAAAACGTTTTAATAAATGTATATATATTTGCTAAAATAATTATATAAAACGACGTGTGCAATAAAGGATGCGCCTAAAGTAATATGTGTTTGTATTTGAAGAAATGATCTTTGCATCAATTACTGTTTTATAAAAATGAATATAAAAAACTAATTAAAATCTTAAGAAACGTGCAGATTTATTTGTATATCTTATTGATGGTAAAAATTATTTAATTATGGTCGCGAAAATTCAGTGCCTTACAACTGGTTGATACAAATATTATAAAAATCAAAAATGAATTTCTAAGAAAAGTTAAAAACATTACTATAAATACATACATTTTGCAAACACTTTTATATACTTTGCATGGATGCATGTTTTTATAGTAGTCAAACTATTTTAAGTTATAAAAAAAGCATTAACACATACCCTTAGAATTATGTGATAGAAATGCTTGATGGTTCATAGTATAAATAACACTTATAAATATAATTAGTCTTTTTTCTTTGGCTTCTTGGGATTACGTGATCGCGACTTAGCTTTACAAAGGGGACAGATTGGTGCATTTCTATGAATTTGTTGGTGACATGATAAACATGATTTCATAGGGGGTGGTTGTTGCCTAAAAGCAAAGACACAAAACATAAAAGCTAATATACTACTATATATAGTATATTTTAATGTATCGTAACATATAGAGCACTTTTGTTATTTGTCACTGTCAATAAAATTTTTATAAAGTTAAGTATATTGGATACAACTAACTTAGTTGGCTAATGTGACTTATGTATTATATAGAAATATAATATAAAATTGCGATATACCAGTGGTACCTGAATGTTGGAGCAGGTGGGCCTGGGGCTGGTGGCAATGGTCTTGGTTCTGGCTTACTTGGACCTTGAAGAGGTTGAGGAGCAAGGAAAGGTGTGGAACCACCTGGGTGACCAGGATGGTGCAGAGTAAGAGGGGGTAATAAATCTTCTCCCCTTACTTCGACCCTCCATTCTGCTTTTTGCATTGGACGGTCAAAGTAGCTATGAACAAACAATCTTTGTTATAATAATTATAATAGTTTAATAATTCAATTCAAGACAGCTTATATTTATTTCACATTTCAACTTACTCTGGTGAAATGAGATCAGATTCTGTTTCATATAATTCTGGTAACCTTTCCAATCCTAAAAATTCCCTACGCATACGATCAATATCATGTTTTAGAGGTTGATAATCGTTATTATGGATTAATTTTGCTGTCTCTCTTGCTTTATTTCTAGCTTCTTCTGCTTGTTTAATAACAGCTTCCATCTACCATAGTTACATAAATAATTACACCTATAATCTAAAACCAAGATATTGTTAGATCTATGTTTCATCATACCGCATTTATATCCGCATGTATTTGACGTAATTCTTCGACATGTGCCATTTTTTCTTGCATAAGAAGATCCATTTCTTGTTTATACTCCAGCAAACACTTTTCTTCTTGTTCAGTTTGTTCTACTTCTTGCAAGATTCTTTGCTTCATCTTTTCCAATTGGAGTGTTTTCGACCTAACAAAGTACACAAAATATTTAGAAGTTTTGTTTTAGAAAAAAATAAATTGAATCGTATTACAGTTCACTATAGTGACGTTGCACAAAGGCACGTTAAACTTTTCGGATTGTTTAAAACATTTCATCGTCTTTAAAGAAAGACTTTGTATATGCAAATTCGTATATGTACTTGATGTCTTTCAATGCTTCCAGTTTTGCGAAAATGACCGTAGTTTCGGTGGCTGACATTGTTAAATGTTTCCCGATACTTTTGTTTAGACAAGCCTGTCAAACGAAAGATAGCTTGTTTATCAAATAAATGCAGCGAGTTCAGAAGCCAAATTCCTTTTGTCAAGGCATTACGGGCGAGATATTTAAAATATAATTATAGGAATCTTATATGCACAGAACTTTCATTGAGAAACGAACGAAATCGTCGGACTTGCAATTATGTATTTTCCAGAATTAACTAATATCATTGACATTCAACACAATGAATATAATTCATACCATAAATTACAATGACAGGCATCTCTTGATAGATCAGAAACAACAAATTCTAAGATGCAGTCGAATGCGCGCGCCATATAGCGCTATATCGACGAACTAAAAAAGAGCGGTTCATTTTGAAACAAAGTATCATGTCAGATAGATAGATCCAAGAACGCTTCTCTGTAATCTGATAAGGATAACTTATGGAAATCGTATATGAAAGTATGTCTAAGTTTAAGATACGTACGATGATTAAAAATTATCAACTATGATCGTATTTTGATAAATTAATTTTATTCCAAGTGTTATACTTGAGATAATCTCTATTGCTGATTAGAATCAATATTCGATTAAAAATGTATCGCAAATGTATTCTCGTAATATTTACAGATAAACGCGTTTTAGCTATATGACTGTATAAAAACTCAAGCAAAACCGAATCGATAACTCCATCAAACTTTGCGATCGCGACTTAATTCTATTTACGATTTTAATAAAGATTTTTTTCTAAGTATCAAAATTGCGTAATAACGTTCGATACTTCTTACGAGCTAGCAGAGGATCTAGACTATTAGCATCTCAAATATATAATCTATATTATATTTACACAAATGTCCACTATATCTCCTATGCTGAAATTACATATCGAGCATTACATATACCTACTACATGTCGCGTATTTCTCTGAAAAGTTTTTTTTATGACGGTCCATCGGGGAAACGCGACGGAATCGCTACGGAATAGTCAGAACTCAGTATCGTTTAAGCGCGATCGGAGGTGTGATAAGCAATCGTTTATCAGTTGCATCTGGAACGCAGTCTATTAAGTTAATGTCTTCTGTTATCTCTGACGATTTTACAAAATTTTGAAGATGATACTACACGGTCATGATCAGTACTCCGTAATGATACAGAGTAAATAAGCAAGTGCTACTTTTCTTTTCTTTGACGTATCAGTAAAGTTTTTTTTATGACGGTCCATCGGGGAAACGCGACGGAATCGCTACGGAATAGTCAGAACTCAGTATCGTTTAAGCGCGATCGGAGGTGTGATAAGCAATCGTTTATCAGTTGCATCTGGAACGCAGTCTATTAAGTTAATGTCTTCTGTTATCTCTGACGATTTTACAAAATTTTGAAGATGATACTACACGGTCATGATCAGTACTCCGTAATGATACAGAGTAAATAAGCAAGTGCTACTTTTCTTTTCTTTGACGTATCAGTGAAAGAAATGGTGTTAAAAAAAAAAAAAAAAAAAAAAAAGAAAGAAAGAGAAACGACGAAAGCAAACGTATGACCTCATTTAAGAAATCATGGAGATGTACGCGGTAGTCCAATCAGTCTCATAGAACGTGTCTCATATTCCTAGGAGTATCAAGAATCGTTGATCTAACTTTTATAATAATCTAGATAAGGAAGTGTGACATTAGAGTGAGAAAAATGCCGCGGTTTCTGGCCACGAAGGCCTCGCGTCTCTCTCCCGACTTTTCGTCACATTCGTCGGCCACTGTGCACCAGTCCACCTCCTACTTAGTACTGGGTACAAACTTCTGCCGCCACTGTACGACTAAGCAACGACAAACTTTCGAGTGTCTCTGAAGCTTCGTGAGTTGCGAGAATATAGGACAAAAGAGAGTGCCGCGCGAGAGAGGCGTCAAGTCGAGCGGTTCCGACAATTTTCTCGTCGCGCGTCCGCGGAGGGGAAAATATTTTTCCGCTTTAACAGCAGCCACTCTTTTCACGACTCGAGTACATTAGACGAGTTTCGACGTGACAGGATCATGGGGTCCAGGATGGGCTCAAGAATGTAAGTAATTCATAGGGACGCGTGTTTCATGTTTATTTACGAGCATTTATCCTTCTCCTTGGTCATTCGTTGATCGTAGCGCGTTGTTTCACGTGCAACAAGCATGGGAGGCCAGCGATCGACTGGTTGTTACTCGTGTGAATGATCGTGCGCGAAACGACGCTCCACGGTTTGATTTTGTATTCGATTCTTATTTCTCTTCTTTCGCTGGTGATTACAATTTTTCTCGTATTTATAGACAGGTCTCTTACGTCACACTGGAACAGTTGTATCTGGAGATACAGAGGAATTTTTAGTCATGAATCGTTTAAAGATAATACGGTCGTTACACTTTGTGACTTACACTCGGAATGGATCAACATACAGCACGCGCATATTTATTAACCTCGCATACGAGGACGACTCGCGGCTGAAGTCTTATGTTGTCTTGTCGATTTTCTTGTTTGCGATACACCATCATCGACCAGAGTGTTTAATTAAGCATTTTGATAATTTCGCGGAGCAAACAGAATGAAGCGGTGTCGCGCGTCCTACCGTGGTTGATAATTTCCTCAAAAAAGAAAAAAGAAAAAGGAAAAGAAACATCATTGCGATGATTATCGCGAACTACGATCCGCGATGACCTCTTGCAAATGATTCGTTACATCCGACGAATGTGCTGTGCTAAATTAATAACTACAGCGCGTCTTTGTTGCGTGTATTTGACGCAAGGATAAATAGGAAAATATGTTGAGAAACTAATTCTTACACAAGTCATTTTCATATGCTACTTTAAACAATTTGAATAGCTCCGTATATAATTAGTATAAAGGGCAAACAAACTATTCCCAATTTATTTATCACAAAAAGATAATAAATTCGAAGGTAAATATTAAGAAGGTATATTTATCATCGTTATTCTTCTATTCACAGAACCAATCAACATTTCATAAACACGGCTTCTGAGCAACTTGTATCTTCAAACATAATTTATTTCACATTAACGAATATTTGTGTTTCATGTTGTCACATGCTCTTGCCATATTCTTATCACGATATCTACATGTAGGTACTTTCTTATGGTACTTTCCTTGTACCATACGGTTAGTAGTAGTAGCAAATGAGCAAATAAAAAAATAAGAGCGAATTGTATGTCAGCCGTAAAAAGAACCTTCGCGGTAGCAATAAGCTGGTACGTTTTTGGAAATCGTTTAAGGTTTTCTTTAAGCGTTAGGCCAGACTCTGATCCGATGCAAAATTAGTCAGACTTCCACAAGGTAACCCGGCGTACTTGAGCGTTTTGTTTCGTGATTTACATTTTTTTAAACGCACCGATTTTTCTTTTTCCGACGTTCGATTATCGTCGCACAACGTAACGGAGGTCGCTTGTACAGACTAAGGTTCGTCAACCATCCGGTTGAACACACTGAAATTGAATGGAAATTACTCGGGGCTGCCGCGACGCACGGCCTGGGCTCATTTACCTTGCCATTATGCTTCGCTGACTAATTCGCGCGGGGAATCATTAGTGTCGCGTCGAAACCGACCTTCGAAATGTTTGCAGAATTTAACTCCTATTTACGGGAACGCTTAGAAGCGGCGCGATTCTCGTAATCAATGCCAATTCACGCGGTCAATTTATGCTCTCCTTTTCTCACCTTTTTTTCAAATCTTTTCGTTTCATTTATCTTGAGATCGAACAAGATGACTCGACGTGCAGCTCGGAGGATTTAAAACTCGGAGGTACAAGCGTTAAATAGCGTTATTTGTACGAGCAAATAATTTTTTCCTTCGCGAAGTTTTTGTAACGCGTGATTTCTCGAACATGAATAATTATGCGACCCCGTTTTTCCTTCGTTTGTTTTATTGTACAACCTGTAGATAAGATTTTTCTGTCAGTTGAAGATATTTAATGACGAACATAGTCCACGATAATGCATCGTATGATCGAGGAAAAAAATTGTTGACGAGTAACGAGTGCGCGATATATTTTTCAGTGAAGATTTGGCGATAACTCGGTGCGAATCTTTGGGAACGTAAACCATGGATCACCACAGGTTTTCATAATTTTCAAATGTTCGATGTTCGTGTAAAACTGATTTCTAAAGGAAGCGAAAATTATCTTCTGTAGAGGTTTTAAAGGTCGAGATAGGTTTATTTGTTAAAGACCATCATCAGAGAATATTATTTGCATTAACGAGACCACGCAAAATCTTGAACAAACAAATTTTAAACAAATCCTAAGCAATCGTCATTCGTTCGATGAATGCAGCCTTTCTTCAACGGTCAAGATAAACGACCATTATCATAAATTTTATTTTTCTTTTATCCTCGTCGATGCAGCTTCCCCTTTCGTCTGCTTTTTAACTAGGACAACTAGGTCATGGAACGTTATTTAATTTGATAAACTGTAGTAGTTCGCAAATATTTGTACAGTGAACAATTATCGATCTTCTTACGCTTTCCTTTCCATTGTAATCTTTCTTCTCTTATTTGTCTTTTATTATCGTTGAAAGCTGTTGATCGAAAATATTTAATCGAAAATACTTATTGGCTAAATAATCGATATAAATATGACGTTGTATGGAAGAAATTTCTGGTAACGGTATTCGATATTGTTTTGATTACGAGAAAAACATTTTATCGATATTTTGACGAATCCTTAATGAGATGCGAACTTTTAATTCGAGCCGATAAACCGTGTTTTTTATATCTTGTTTCTTGACTATCGTGTCGTGATAAATAATTCAAATTTCCTAGTTTACATTCCCTCGAGTAAAGAAATCTCGTAACGTTATTCGCATTACGAGATATTTAATACTTTCTGCGATTCTTTATACCGGATTCATCCTTCAGTCACGAGATCCATGGATTAATTTCAAACGCTCTGATTTGAGAATCGTCTGAACGTAATCGTATGTCGATATCAACGATACAATCAGAATGATATATGTAGTAGATTATACATATCCAATTGAATCATAGTAGAATCGCGCATCGAGAGAGACATGAACACTAATAACAAAATCCACTGAGAAATACGTAAATTAATTTGAAATTTGCTGCGCATTTTCCGTCTTCTGTAATTTTCATAGTCGCCAATATGACGGCGTTCATTACTGCATTCACAGCTGTTTTACGATTCTCAGGTTCGTTTTATCGGAAAAGCACACTCGATACAATTTCGTTATACCGATACGAGCTTTATCTCTCTAGGAACCAAAATTGTCAACTTTGTTTCTTGAACTTTTCAAAAATTTCAACCTCAAGTTTCTTAAGCTTCACTTTCGCACAAATACACGCCACGTCGAACAAGTCTAGCGCTATATACGAACGAGCTCTAGTTCCCTAGAAGTGAAAGTAATCAGCCCCATTTCCTGAAAATGTTTAAATTTCCATATCAAAATCTACGCAATTAGCGTTCAATTTCGCAGAGATCAAATGATTTAGCTCGGACTTGGAGAGCATTAGTTTGCCTTCTGCGTGGCTCATGGTCATAATTACTCCTATAATTTCGTAGCAAAAATTCAACTACCACAGATACAATTTCGTCTAATCCGTCATTATTCCGTGTTCCGTTCATCCGGTCGGAACATGGTGGATAAAATGCGGAATCGGGCTAGACAGATCACGAGAGAGCAGCGAAAACGAGCCACCGATATCGGTTTTCAATTTTGTTCGACGATCGGACGACGGGGAAAACCGATTTTTCCATAGACCCGTTGCATATAACGGTCGATGTAACAATAAACCGTCGCACGTTAGTTGCAACTAAGCTGTCGCATCCGCTCTAAGCCGGCGTAAACCAGTTTTATTTGATTTTTCTCCGGTTGTTTTCGATGAACTGAATAAGACAAAAATACGTACACATGGGCAAGCGAATGCGAACGCGAGCGCGTATGCTCGTTCGTTCTCTCTTATCTATCGCGTTATCTGTCGGTGTGTCGACCGCGGGAAATCGTGCGCACGGTTTTCTCCGCCCACGTGGATCTAGCGCTGCTCGACCAAGCAAAAACCTGTCACTTTTCAACGCAACGGTGGCAGCGTAAACAAAATAATAGCGTACGCGGGACGTTTAATCCGGGGATTTCCCTAGTCTGGAGCTTCGATATTTCCAGGAGCGTGTTTCCTGGAGCGAGAAAGTGACAGTTTTCGCCACGGGGCTGGCGTTTTTCCGAGGAAACGATGATTCCATCGTTTAGAGCGTTTAGACCATTTTAAGATTGTGTTTTTGGTAACTGCGATCACTTTCGTTTACATATTTCCTTAGCAGGGTGACAATTAAGATCTTCTTTAGATTCTTTCTGACTCAATCGTGTTTCTCCAGCGTTAAAAGGTTTTTTAAGATTGAGATTCATGCGAAACGATCGTTGTTAATACGCATATTTGTTTGTTTCAATTCTATGATAAGATATTTTTTAAAACGTTAGAAGAAAAAACATTTCGAAGTTTAGATTTTAGTATATTACAAGTTTCGAAAAAATTGCAACGTAATTGCCATTTAATGGTGGCCAGAAGCTCAAGGAGCGACATAATGCCTTTCGTTAAGCACCGTGCAATTGTCAAATACGGTCGACCGTCACATACTTTACGCATACTAGCGTCGAACCGCGAAATTTTAGTAATTAACTGATAATTACTGAACCGTGAGGAAGCTATATTGTTCCAATATTTTACCTAACATAATCATTCGGTGGAAATACAATTTCAGCGTTGTAAATGTCTCTTAAGCGTTGTTCGTCGCACATTAATCACAACGCACTGCAGGCTATGGAGATTTATAATTAGTTTTCTGTCCTTTTTGTCAAACGACTTCAAGCAAAGTGAATTTACGCGATATTCTATTCATCTATCATTCCTTCCATTCTAACATCAGAATTTATCGCGACTCGACAAAGTTGCTCAATATTCGTTAAATCAAAGCTATACTGTCGGCTATAAATAATTAGAACATCCATTCTTTACGTTTATCGAAGAACTTTCACTTTACTTTATTTTTATTATTTTACTTTATTTTATATTATAAGATACGTACGTTGCAAATGAAATAACTGATAAAATACTTAGAGAATAAAAACAGTTCAATAGTATCGCAAATAGCGTTCAATTTATGCTAGATATCGATAGGTGTCCTAATACTTATGATCCTAAGTATATTCTTTCATTTCGATGATCTTTTTTGGACATTTTATCACTTCTCAAACATTTTTATCGCCAGTCTAGTCGAACCAGCAAGCTTCTCGTGCAGTAAGTTTTCGAAATAGTCATCGGATTATTTTATGGTGTATGCAATTCACGTGAAAGCTACGTGGTACCTGGCCAGCGATAGAGCGAGTGACCTACCGATCGGAAAGGCTAGAACTTTAAGAAGGACCGATTTCCCCTCTCCTTCTGTTTCACTTCTCCCACTGTCCTCACGGGTGATCATTGGGAACAGAACAGAGTCGTGGGCATACGTTTACCTTCAAAGACAGTTGCTGCAACAACAAGGCGGTCGTGGTCGCTAGACCGATATAGTGTTCTTGGCACGTGTCAATCCGTGATTTTTTTCATTTAACGGTGTTCTTCGTGTCGCGAAGTTAACGAGTCACAAGCAATCGGCGGACACGCAGACGATGGTGTAGGCGTGTTCGCGAAAGAAAACGAAAAGCAGCTGGACACTTGTTTTCACACGTGTTACATACTTTGTTTCGTGCGACAACACGTTGCGGATAGAAACGTGAATTGGTTATAATTGTGAGTGTAGTTCCTCTCAATCTGTTAAATAAGAAAGAGTTAATTCGTTGCTTGGATTAGCAATCTTTTGAACATAGTAATTTCTTTATATTTTGTTTGCATGTCATCATTTTACTTGGTAATAAGTTACAGCGTAATAGTTCAACACAATTGAAATTCATAAAATTTGCAATCCACGGATTTTTCCAACTATACATGATTTTTTGGTTCGTATAGCAAGAGTTCGTTTAATCAGAGTTTATTAATGATTAATTAAAATCTTGTTTGACTATATACCGTTCATATAAATGGAGTTCTACCGTGTATTATATTAAAATTTACGCTGACTAAAACCAACTTAATGGAACTTAATTTGCATTTATTAATATCTGATTCTGCGAATATAGAATTATCTGGTTAAAGGATGATTCAGTTAGCAAGTTACAAGCATGTTATATTAAATATAGTAAAATATTACAAATAGGTTTGGTCCAACGAATATTGATATTTTTATCGGTTCACATTAGATCTCGAAGCGTATCATATTTTCTTCGTCCACTGTTAATCCTGGGAACTTTTGTGTTCTCATAGAACAAGAATCACCAGAATGAATGGAACGATCTAAGATACGCGATCGTAATTACACGAGTACATGGAATTCGATCTGAGGTCGTTTGTCTCTTGATCGAGATAGGTTCTTGATTTAGAGTACCATCGAATGGGTGCAATTATTCTTTTCGCTCAAATGGTAGCTGGAAATTGTTCCGTGTTCGTTGAAGACTTAGGTCCAATTGCACGTTAAGAAGAATAGCGATCAGATGAAAGCGTTTAAGTTGATGATTACAATTGATAGTATAACAAGAGTGCGTTTCAAGGTAGACGATATACCCGATATTGTTTGTTTGTTCCTCTTGTTGCGTTTATTTAGTTCCGCCTCGTTTCAGTTGATCGAATCGCGATATTGTAATTGACGAGTCGAGTTAGACTTTAATTCAGTTGACTGGGCGACCTATCCGGATCATCAGCTATTGAGCAGAAAATTTTCGTTCAGTGAAAATTTTAATTGTAAGAACCGTTCGAGATACGAGTAAAACAGTGGTAAGAAGAATTTCATACAATTGCTATGTTTTAGATAATGTAGGATTTCTTTCGACGTGATTTTTAGCGATGTTTTTAATCCTTGTATCGAGGCTCGATTAAATTTAATCTAAAATTAATCAAACGATAAATGTAAATTTTCAGTAAAACTGTTTCTAATTTTAACACATTATGTACTTCTCGCAATAATGTGTTTCTGTTACCAATAGTCAACAGATCTTTTTCACACAGCTCGATGAATATCCAGTCATGCATGAGCTAATAATTTCTTTAAGGCTTTTAAAAACTTCATTACGTTTTCGAGTAACTTTTTTCCCTAACCATGTGCCACAGAACTAGTTATAAAACCAGCTGCTAATCAGCCGAGTCGTTAAAACTGGTCGGAGCGTAAAGTGAAGAAGGAAAAATTCGAGGACGTAGAAAAGATACAGCAGCCGTAGTAATGCGATACGAACCGCGCACATTGGCGTCTTTATTGAAGAATTAGGATTCTTTATGACAGGTCGTTTATATCGTTAAATATATGTTAATCCCACCGAGTGTCTGAATGAGTAGCAGGCATCGTGGAATTACGCGCGAAGGACAAATGACCTGGATCCATCTGCGATCCAATCTTTACGGTCAATTCAACGAATGTCGCTGCGTCTTCTCCTTGGATTCGCGTTTAGGTAGTTCGTCACGCGTGCAACAATGCCGCATAATATCCCGTATCTCTGCGAGCTATCGTGTGACGAATTTTTTGCATGACGTAAAACTCGAAATATGGAAGAACGTCACAGGCGAACGCTATTATCCTCCTTAGTTAAGACGTTCTAGCATTTTTCCTTTTTTCAAGATCTGTGGAAATACCTTCGTCGAATATTTCGCTTTTTAAATAGGCTTACAAGATAATGATTGGTTATATGTATTTTAAATTGAATGAAAAAGAATCGCACAAAGGAAATGATAAAATTTCAGAAGGACATTTTAGTTAAGAAGGGCAAAGTGTAATTCAGGAAACGAGGAATCTTGGGACGATTAACAAATGTAAAAGATACAGTTTCAAGTTCTGCCGTTCGTTCGTTGTTCCAAATCCTCCGCGTGTGACATCACCTTGTAATAATCACAATTTATCTATCCGGGAACTCGCGATCGAAATGAAAAAAAGGAAGAGAAGACCGAAGAAAAATTACATAGTAGTTACATATTGGCGATAAATAACAATAAACCGATGATTTACGAAGACAATGCGGAACGTGCTCATTTTCTGTGGTATGCCCAGCTTCCACGTTTATATTTATCGAACGAGATTGAAGAGCAACGACGGATCGTTTCCTGCTTGAAACGTTAAATCGGCATCGTGTAGTTGGTTACGGGAGGATCGTCAAGGAGACGGCTCGCCACGAACTGCATATAAATACAGAGTATCGAGACGTGCAATAGTTTCAGACGCGCTCTTTCGTATTAGAAAGTCAATGGTATGAAAGACCGTCGCTAAACGATGATCATACCGATGGCTCTGATGTCCGACTAGTCTATCAAGATTCCTCTTTTCTTATACAGACCATTTTATAGTCTATTTATACAATGAAATCCTTGAAAAGATTGAAATCGTTTCGACAAAAACGAATGGGAGCGTGCAGTTCCGGTTAGAAATCGGTCAGCTAGGGTCCGAGAGCATGGCTCCATGACGCGCTGATTTTCATGTATATATGTATGGGACGATGTGAACGCCTCTGTTTGCACTGGTTTTTCCTTTGTCTCTCTTTTAGTGTCCACTCGCTTCGATTCGCGCCAGTAGAAAATCGGGATTCGCCGCGAGCAGTTGGTTGCGATCGCGCGTCGAGTTCGTGCGAACACGCGGGCAGCTCGTTTCCCTTTTATCGGGTCTTTATCGGCTGGACCTTGTGTCAACGATTACGTTTTCATCCAGCTTCATCCAACTTCTCTGCCAACAGTTAGTTTTACATCGACGATTTTGCTTTTACGTCGATTACGACAATCTGAAACAGCGATGATAACTCGCGGATACGAACCATCGTGTGTCTTGCACGCATCGTTCGTTTCTCCGCCGCGTTAAGACTAATCGGATGACAGACGACAGGCGTGAAAGTCCCGTTCGCGACTGGTTTCTTTGTGTCTTTTTGTCTTTTTACGTTCTTTCCCTTTGCAGAGCGTCTGTAGAAGCACCTTAGTGCGATCTCGTTGCTTTTATGTAATGTTCGTGTTGAATTGCGTCGTTTCCGCGCGTTTTTTTTTCGAGCAGCCGACGATCGAACAGCAATTTGATCTTCGAAGCGGGGTCAATGGAGGAACGTTTCCCACGGATCAGGCATAATTCTCGAATCTCTGTATGTTTGCAGCCTGAGAGGCGACGAGGAGGACAGCATGAAGCTCTTTTCCTCGCAGAACGGTGAATCCTCGACGCCCAAAGATGGGACAGGTAATCGCTTGTTTTGTTAATATTATATGTATGTATCGTATGTAGGTTTATGTCTTAGATCTGAATCGGTAGGTATCTCCACGATATGATGCCGATTTGCCTGTGCATGACAAATTTTGCTAGCATGCGGAATTTATTTGTTGAAATATAATGCAGGCAACGAAAATAAAATCGTATATTTTGCGTTCGAAGAAAAGGAAATTGAAGAGACTAGAGGAAAAGTAGTACAATACATATTTACATAATTTTTCGTAGGCGATGTATAAGTATATTATGTTACAAATGCAGTACTTCTAATAGAAAACAGATATCTGGTATACAACATATGCCTAAATGCATACGTTATACGACGCGTTAAGAAGTTAGTGGAAAAATCTGTATGCTTGTAGGCAGCAAAACAGGTTATTGTATTTTCGCATAAGAATTTTGAAATTCATGAAGAAATAAAATTCTATATAAATGTAAATCGTATATATTTAGAAAAAGATATAGTTCTTTTCTATTGATTTCTTTAATTAAAAATGTAAATATGCCAGTACTCTACATTCGAATGATCTAGTTACAATAGTGATTTCATTCTTAACACTTTCATCTCCTCGTATGTCTGCCTTATTGAATAGCAAAGAATATTAAAAAATTTATTTTTGCATGTCGTAGATCGTAGATAGGTTATGGCATTATATAATTACCACGTCGATTAGTCGCGTGCCCATTTGCAACCCACCGGCGCGATTTGCTTGACGCATCTATTCGTCTTGATTAGACGTAACTCGAGTTAATCGTTTACTATTGTTTGTCGCCTATTGCTGGAATTACAAAGAGATCTACGCGAAGACCGTGCTTGAAAGAAAATCAGTAAGCGGTTTGTATTGTTTAGTTACTCGACTCATTAACAACGCCGGCTAAATCAATTAGACACTCATTCTGGTCTAAGTTTGCGTTAACTGAATCACAACAATAACAATGTTCGTTTAGCCGACAAGAAAATAAGAGAGATACAAAAAAAGTTGGTTTTAACGATGACGAATAAATCAATGGCTGCTAGACCACGCCGCTGTGATTGCTTGACTAATAGCAATGAAACAAGACACTTGATATATAATTTAAAAGGAAATTATCATGATCGCGATTACGCGTATCAGAGGAGGCGGAGGATGTAAAATCACGTTTTCTTCGTCTTTTTTCCTTTCTTGTAAGCTCGTGGCAGAAATATCGCGTGTCAACGGCAGGTGCCGATTTTCACCGGAGAATCTGCTGGCTCTAGGGTTCAAGAGTTTCACGATCGACTCGATTTCCTCTTTTTTCCATGCTTTTCCTCCGAATGATAGAATTTTTAGAGACCAGACGAATCGAACGGTATCGTTTGATCGTTTGGAAAACCGTGTTTTTCGCAGAGGGAAAGAGAGGATCGGACAGGAAGCAGGAAGTGGATCGCTTTGGATACTATCAAATGATCATGTTCGCGATAATCAGCCTGCCTCTGTTCTTGTCAGCAGGATTCACGCTTGCCTACGTATTCACAGCCGGCGAAGTTAAATACAGGTACGTTACCACGTGATGCAATCAGCGATTCGAGCAATGATTTTATTTTTTCTTTTCGTGTTTTTCATTTTTTTTTCTATCTCCGTGTAATTTATCGTGTGTATGAGCGCCTCCTTTGTTGTTCGAGCTACTCGGGGCTAGTCGCCTACAGCGAATCAGTGTCGTTTATGGCTCGTGCTCGGACGAATAAACTCTGGCGAGAAGGCTTGAATAATGCGCGCCGGTCAAGTGCAATCAACGAGGAGCACCTAATGCTCCGCGACTACATGAGTGATCGAACATTGAATTATGTAATCGATGCGACGGATAATCGATTACTTTATTAGCCATCCTGTTAACTTTTTCGCGGTAGACGAGCTTTAGACGCGTATAGCGACCACGTTTACGCAGCTAACTGTATTTTATTGAAGCAACTCACCGCGCTCTGTTAACAAATTTAACGTTATTTTAAGAGGAAATTTCTTCGAATAACGTTCTATAGACCTCTGCTGCTATACTTCGAATAATTATTAATAAATTTATAAAACGCAACATTGCTGAGATGGATCACTGAACCAGATTTACTTTAATGATTATTTATGAGTTGCGTTAACAGTACAGTTACGTCTTTCGTTCTTACAGTCGCTGAAAATTTTCAATTAAAGCAGGAACGAAGATCCGAAGTAGTTTCGTGATATTTTCATCAGACAGTAAAAAATTATTGAAGGAGGTCAATTTCCCATATTAGGATTAATTATAAGATATATTTTACCACATTAAAGACTATCAGTTCTATCGTCGAAAACATTCCGGGATATTTATATAGAACAGAAAAATTCACCTACTCAAATAATTCCCGGAAAGATATCTTCTCCTTAACATTTCGATCTTCATTAAAAATTCTCATCTTGATAAATGAATGATTATTCAAAAAATAGGTGTGCGGTATCAGAATGCGAGAATCCATTGAATACGAAGTTCGACGAGTCCTGGGTACCGGACTCTGTGCCGAACGTGTCGGAGATGTCCAAGTGCATCCGATACGTCGTTCAGAATCACACGGGGGCGTGCACAAATCAGACTTTCACTAACGCTACCCAGAAATGCGATTCGTGGATCTACGATCCATCGGAGAACACGGTACTCAGCGAGGTAAAACCGACCGAGCCATCGACAGATCGCAGCTAATTACGGTTAGTTAGATGACTCACGTTTATCCTATTATTTTCTCGATACAGTGGGACCTCACCTGCCACAGCAATCGATGGAAACTCACGCTCGTGGGCACGATAAATAACGTTGGCCAATTCGTCGGACTGATCTTCGCTGGATATATATCGGACAAGTGAGAAACAATCATTAAAATTTGCGATTCCTACGACTCTCGGATTTTTTATGTCACAATCTCGTTTTCGTTTTAATGTTCCAAAGAAACCTTTGATACGAAATTGAAACTAGAAATCACGCGTATCAATAGCGATTTCTTCACATTGTCTTTAAATTTGGGAAATATTCTAACGATAGAAAAATACGATTCGATTGGAAATTACCGAAAGAGTATATGTATCAAAATTGATTAGAAGACCGTGGACGCTTAGGCAAATTATATTTATACAAATATAATTAAACAAACGAAGCCTAAGCAGAAAATTGTTTTACGTAATATAATACGATTACGAGTACTTTTGGACACTGTATGTATTTTTTAATGTTATATGTGTTTTATGTATTTTGGTATTTTCAAATTTCCATTAAACCTACAAAAGTCCGAAATCTATCAATTAGTTCTTGTCGGTTCGAATCTCAAGTCTAGATAATGGAATCTATTGGATTCGAATCGGATATCTAACGACGTTCGATCGAAGAAGAGGGTTGCAACACTTTAACTGAGATTCGGTCGAAATCAACAGGTCGTTAGTGTTCGCTTATCGAAATTATCTCACAAAACGTGGAAAAACGTGTGAGAGATAATTAAGATGCTTGATAACACAGAGAAATCGAACCGTGACGGATTTATCCTGAGGTCTATGAAGTTTTTCTCTAGACTATTTCCTGCAGTATGAACTCGACGATCTTCGAGGTTTTTAGAGCGTTTTATGACACGTGCTAGAGTGTCCCTGGAGAACCGGAACTCCGGTATTCAGACAGACGACTTTCGCGAGTCTGTAGTTTGTAAATCCTAATTCGAAGTCGGGGAATACTTGAGATTGTCCAAAGGGGAAATTGTATTTAAATGAAACTGTACTTTGGGCGAACTTTGAAGATCTATGACAATGATTCGAACTTGCAGGTTGTTTTTCGAGATTCCCCTTTTTGAACGATCAAGGGACTCGTAACGAGAACCATTCTTGTCGAATTTTTTAATATTCGAGATAACAGCGTATTTTAATCGTTAGAAGAGAAATTCATAAATGATCTATCGTCACATAAAAATTGATTTTCTTTAGAAGAATAACTTTTGTCAAATCCGTTTTTCACCAGAATAATTCTTGCCAAGTTACCAAGGCTATTATTTTTAGTGAGACAGTTATGTATTTTGGACTACCACAATCATTGCTTTCTTAAACGATGACTCACATATCGCCATAATTCAGTTTGATAATAGCCACAAAGAATAAAAATACTGATGTTCTAACTATTCCACTGTTTGTTATTCTGATTTCATAAAGAGAGTACATTGTCCATCCAGTTTGCGCAACTTCGTGATTATATTGATATAGCTCGTCTTAGTAATTGCGTGATATGATAAATATTTTATTTCAAAAATAGAAATCTATCGAACGAAAACAGAAGACGTTGAAGTATTTTCTTCTTTTTCTGAAAAAATATGAAAATTGACAAGGATAGTTTTCGATATGAACCTTCTCACTCCTCTCGTTCCTATCAAAAACCTTCTGGAATTACATCGAGAATATAGTTCGTTGAAGCTTTTATGGGAATCATCGACAAATAGGGAAGCGCTGTCTAGTCGCCAAATCCTCAACGTCCGCTTATATTTCGTTTCGCTACTTTCAGATACGGAAGACGCACGATACTGACGCTCACCACATTCCTAAGCGGAATCAGCGGCCTGATACATTCCTTCTCCGTGAATTATTGGATGTTTCTCGTGTTCGAATTTATCGACGCGACTGTCGCGGCCGGTATCTACAGCGCTGGATTTATTTTAGGTGAGTTAATAACGAGGCAAAGTAAGGGAAGATGTTCGACGTGAATAATGCTGATATAAATAACGGCCATGTTTCACATGCCACTGGCCACTCGATGCAGGAACCCTTCGATATCGAAAAACGTAACTGAAGGTAACCATTGCTGTTCTCCAGTTTACCATTGCCACGCTTATAATTTCACCGATATTTCATTTATACGTAAATACAATATCCATACAGTGTATATATTATAATGCACGTTTCAATAATGCCAGCTCCAATAATCCAATCAGAAAAGTCTTTCAATCACCTATCACGATTTATCAGATCAAGCGACTCTGATCTCTTACGGATCTCAGAATCAGTGTTAGCAATACACATCGATTATCATTTATCGATATAGACGTTTGTAATGTTTTCCACATTGCTGGACATTTTTATTAACAAAAATATCGGTGGCTTTCTTTTGCTTCTTTAATTTAATTTGTTCGCAGAGTAATATCGAACCTTGATCTACTAGTTGATAGCTTTCATCTCAATAAAAATGTAACCGATTGAAGCGGAGATTCACTGAGAACATAGTTAGATGCCTGTTCTTTTGAAGTATCTTTCTGACAAATTAAACATCTGAACAACGACGAATTTGAACTCTTATGATAGCATAAGATTGTCAGAGAATGCATTCGCTGTAACCATAATCTAAATTGCTAGCGAATAACCGCAAGTTCACCGTATGAGCAACGTTTGATCATTTTCAGGGATGGAAATGGCAGGAGTAAACGGTAGAGTGCTAGCCAGCACGATCATCTGCTGTATGTTCGCAGTGGGTGAGATGCTACTCGGTTTGATCGCGATGTGGCTTAGATCATGGCGGATGATCCTTCGAATGGTTTACGGTCCGGCATTGCTCGCCATCTTATTGCCCGTCCTGATCCCGGAATCAGTCAGGTAATTTCCTTTGGCGAATGTTTCATTTGCATTGTCCCGACGCCTTGTTAACGATCTCGAAATGAACTCCCTTAAACGCGTTCCACGACATCCGGCTAATTAACCGATGAACTTTTCACGTCACTGCGCCCTTGATTGGACCTCGGTACTCTCTAATTAATTAACACGGATCACGATACCGAGGGATCGTCGAGGATGTGTAGGCTGCTTTTAATCTTTGGTTCAAGCTGTAACCGTATTCTATCAGATTACTTTTCTCATCGTTCCTTTTTTTCTATCTACGCCATAGGTTATCGATAAAGCGTGTTCTATACAAAGATACTCTCAATCGTTTCCCCGTTCGAAAATTACTGTAGAAAAAAAAAGAAAAAGAAAAACACACACAATGATGCCCATTTTCAAGGTGGTTATTGGCGAATGGAAAACACGAAAAGGTGGAAAGTATTTATCGGAGAATGGCGCGTATTAACGGACTACAAATCTCCGAGGAAGCCATTGGAGCGTTCAAAGAATTGAACATGGTGAAAACAGAAAAGGTAGGATTAATTTTCAAGGAAGTACAAAGAAAAATATTCGAGATCGAAACGTTATCTGGCATCGTATTTTTCAGACGGAACAATTGGTACAAGCCGAAAAGAAGTCACCAGCGATGCAAGTTTTAAATAGTTCGGTGATGCTCACTCGGTTGCTGGCGTGCTCGTTTTGCTGGTTGACGAACACTTTCGTCTATTATGGATTATCGTTAAACTCGGTGGCTTTCGCTGGTGACAAATACGTTAATTTCATACTAGTGGCCATCGTCGAAATCCCGGCTTACTTTCTGACCTGGTTCCTGACCGATTACATTGGTCGTAAAGCTACCCTTTCCTCGTCTTTCTTACTGAGCGGAGTGTTCTGTCTGGCTATACAATTCGTACCGACAGGTAACCTGGATTTTCTTTGAAATTCCCTCTGCAATTTACTGCATTTTGCCTTACATCCCTTTTATGTTACTTGTTTGAAAATGTTCGAGTAATGACAGATTAATTTACAAAGGGAACGTCAAGTATCGATAGACAACGAATCCATTGCAGGTTCGCTGAGCTTTCTACCATTGATCTTGTACATGGGCGGGAAATGGTGTATTACGATGTCCTTCTCGACGATTTACATTTACACGACGGAGCTGTTCCCTACGAACTTGAGACACTCCCTTCTTGGAATTTGCAGCATGACTGGCCGCATGGGGTCAATATTGTCACCGCAAACTCCTCTTTTGGTGAGTCTACCACCGCAAGAATGTACATCGTAGAACGATACCGATACGAGCAGCTTGTTGCATGCTTGCGCTTTATTTTCGAACAATACGAGCGAAACAAAGATTCTGATTTATCGATATGTTAAGCTTGCGGATTAAGCAAGGCTTAAAGACCGGACAAAATAATTACAAAGGGCTTTGTGGCTTTTGCAGACGCGAAATTTTACATTGTAGCTATTTCTACACAGTTGTGCATTTGTCCTTCGTTCCGTGGATTAGTACAATTACATTAATATTATCACTATAAGATACGCTAATAAATTTTTTTACCCGACAGTAATAGATTTAATAACGAAACAGATAACATTTTTGCTCGAAGTAAATTGCGATGATAAAGTACAACTTAAGACTTGTCACATGTCAATTTAATAATATCATTATATTTATTTAATAATATCATTATATTTAATAATATCATTGTCAATTTAATAATTTAATAATATCATTAGTTGGTATAGCGTGCAAGAGGACCAATTGCCTTTCGTGTAAAAGTATTCGTGCTCAAATAACAATCTACAAATCTTCGCGAAATGAATTTTTCACGGTAGAAATACATGCAATATATAGATATAATGTACTTCGTCTTCTCGCATTTTTACGTATCTTTTTATGATACAGGCACAAATAATGCCGGAGCTGCCGTTGATTCTGTTTGGATGCATGGCGTTATCCGCGGGCCTGCTGTCTCTATTCTTCCCGGAAACATTGGGAACCAAACTTCCGGACACGGTGTGGGAGGCGGAGAATATCGGTAAAGTGCAGCAGAAACAGGAACTGCAGGATTCGCCGTCTTAAGGGCGGTCGGAAGCAACGTGGCGCGTTATAAATCCCGAAAAGAACAAAACGCAAGAGACAAATGGAAGAGAGTAGGGACAAAGGAAACCAAAAAAGGAAAAAGTGTGAAAATCAACGAGACAGGGTTGAAACGAATAAAAAACGAAACCGAATTGAAAAAAAGAAGGAGAAGGTGGTGGTGAGAAACGTGCAGCAGCAATGACTTTCAGAAGTTTTTCTTCTCCTGGTGCGAAGAAAATCGGTCGTGACTATTCGATTCATGGCTTGAAAGCTCGCGAGTGAAACGCGCGACGAAACTCCTAAAACGAAGGGAGCTTAAACGCACGCTGTTACACAGTACCCTCGTTTTCAATGCATTGAAATCAACAGAGTTCGCTTGTGATCAATTTGCCATAAAATTGACTGGTCGCGAAACGAGTTGACGAGTCGTTGATTATAGATGAAATAGTCAAGGGGGAAAGATAGTCTCCAGGGAGGATTGGCAACAATTTATCAGACCTAGTCGATAATTCGCCAGCTCGTTTGTTCCTTTTTCGCTTGCGCAACCGATAGATAAGGCGCGCGAGATCGTACCACTCCCGTTCGTGCAATGTCCGTTTAATTTTTAACGTGCTTAATTATGCCTCGTTGCTGCCAGTTAAGGCTATCGTTTGACATGTTGGTGTATCTGTCGTCTAGACGTCTACATATGTACGATGAGTTTTATTAAATACACACGAATTATGCGTGCATTGTCCCATGATGCTTCTTCCATTTAGGAGAGAAACCATAAATATACTCAGGTATTTTCACAGTATTGCTGCATCATGTTCATAAACACGTATTAATAATTACGTCAGGCTCTTGTCTGTATTTCTGAGTCAAGCATTTTAGAAATGTATATCGGCCATCGTCGTTGTATTTTAAGACGTGTAGAGCATCGTGCCATGATAGTGCATCGTTCAGAAGGACGAGATAATAGCGGTAATTTAATTTCATGTATAAATATATATATACATACATATGTATATGTGTGTGTATGTATATATTTACGCGAGGATATTATTATTCTAAACGAGTATTCCGCCGGTGGATACTTACGTAGCCGTGTACAAACCGTAGTAGTACAATTGTTTCATGGAAATTATATAGGAGCACACGGTGGATAGGCCACGATGCTGTTTTAGAGAATTACGAAGAGCAATTGTATTACGAACGATGCTCGTGACGATGGGAATATTTTGTCACGTTATTTGCAATAGTTCTTATGATGCTGAATCTTTCGTGAGAGTATTATTAATTTCGTTGCCACGTAGTATTAACTGAAATATTAATGTAAATATCCTCGACCATGGTAGTTCCTCTCCAACGTGTTTTCATCAACGATAACTCATAACCTGTATATAGAATTGTTGATGTCGTTAGAAGATATTTCCATCGTGTCGCGAGTAGCGGAATTTAACGACGCTTCACAGGCAATCGTATTTGTTAAGACGGAGTTAAGAATATTCGTACATAGCAACGCATCATACGTGTACTAGACATTAATGTAACAAGTAAACGTAATTCTGATGATATATAAGCATTTACGAAATCCTTTGGTTGTCGTTGATTTTACCTTTGACGTTTGCAAGAGTTCCCTTGGCATACTTTGAAACAATAGCTTAGGAAACTTCTGCTTAAATACTAAAACGTAGCACGCTGCAGTGTCTGACTGACGTTTCACTCAAATTCAAACGATTTTCAGCACCTGGTTCTTCCAATTATAAATCATGCTACATTTTGTTTGTATCTTTACAATTCTGTTTATTTGGTGATTTTAGTAAATCCTACGTATTTGAAATATACGTAGAAGCTACAAGAGAAGATGAAAACATTAATTATTACTAAAAATATGACGAGAAGCATCTCAAATCGTATGGTAGTTACAATTAAAAAAGACCCAATTTCTTTCTTGTCAAAAGCAAAATAGAACGACACGATCGATAAAGCCTAATAGAAGGAGCTTAATAACCACGAATACGTTAATCTTTGCATAATGTTTACGTTACTGAATATTCCATGTTGGCATGTGTCCCTCCACCCGAGTTTTTAAATGGAAGCACGCTGACATTATCTGTTCTCATTTGGAGAAAATGGGGGCCAAAGTTGGCTTTTGTGAGGCATAAAAGAGTTAGATGTGACCCGGCATACAGCGCACAATGTCAAAGGACTAATGCCGCGTAAAGCCATTACCATCGTCGTTGGGATATTTTAATATACACGGGGATTTAGATATTTCATTCTGACAAATTCTCGGTCTCCCAACGCTGCTCAAAGGAAATTGAAGCGAGCGCCGGACTAGCCAACGGGCTGCAATAGGGCCGCGTATGCTGCACGCGATGCGGCTGGTTATTTTATGTTTACAGATGACTCGACGTCTCGCAATAAATATTGTTGTCCGGCCTACAAATCTTCGCGGCTTCGCATTCGTCCTTGTTTCTTTTTTCGTATTCATGAAACTACGCCGGACGTCCTCTCCTTTTACGTTTCGTTCTTCGTAGCACTGGGCCTTCCCATTATGAAAATCTCAATAACGTTACCGATACACGTGTATCTTCGATTCGTGTCGATTTTAACGAGAAAGATAATATAAAACGTTCGACGAACACATGTAACCCTGTTATTGCCAGTTATACGTAAAGGAAGAAAAGAAATAATCAATCGTGTGACTAATCACATCCTATCAGACTGATTCTGCACAATACACGCCGTGACATTTCCACGAACATAAATAAATTCTAATACGAATGCGAATGGAGCGTAAAAACAATCCGCGATATGCACTCTGATGTGTTATCGGAGGCGTCGCTCGCCTTTGAAAACAACGTCGAGCGAGAACAAAATCAGCGAACAGCATTGTGACGTTTCCATAATAATGCATAATGGAAATCGATGGTATCGTTACGTTCGAACGAGAACGCGAAAAAAGTTTGCCGATTCGCGCAACGAGGGAAACGCTTCGCTAGAAATACACCTGGCTTGGTAAAATTGTTCTGAAGCGGCGAATTTAATTAATATAATGCACGCAGATCCGTAGTCTCCTTTAACCTCGATCTCTCAGCCGATCGAACGAGATGAATGCTTTGCCGTTCAGCCTGTATAAATCCGGGGAATACGCGGATTCGCGCGTCTTCGAACGCGTATCATGCTCGATGCACCTATGTGCAACCTTTATCCTGGATTATCTACATGCTCGATGGGGTTGTCGAGGTGTGTTGGCGGACGGCATGCTTTCGATCTGGCACGGTACGCGTCCGTTTATCGACGACCGGGAAGGAAGAAGAAAAAAACGAGGACGATTCCAGACGCGAATAATCCTGCGGAAAAGGAAAAGGTGCATCGATAAGCTCGTCGATATACGGCGCGTTCTTTGTTCGAGGGTTTCCGAGTACGCTGCCGCGGTTGCTATCCTCGTTTGAGTTACTGCTCTCTGCCTGCCGAGATGCTGTTATCGATGCTGTTCCCGGAAGGAGATAATGGAGATACGCGGCTATTCATCCCAGAGAAATGAAAGTCGAGTTTCCTCTCTGCTCTTTCTCTCTTGACTTTGCCCTTCGTTTGGCGTTTCAATTCGCGTAACATACACAGCGCGTCATTTAAGTGAATTCGAAGCTTTCAAAGGATTTTTGAAAAATTCTCTTTCGACTTTGCATTTGGAAATTTGGCGTTTGCCTCTGAACTTTCGCGATGTAGCTCTCGATTAAGTGAATTTCGGAGCTTTCAGAGAATTCTACGTTACGATGTTTCACGTTAAAGGATCTTTGACAAATTTTCCTCTACATTTGGAAATTAGTTTATTCAAGAGCTTCTTTTAAAGTCCGTCTTTGCATTCACGGTAAAAAGTATACGATGAATCGTTATTGTGTATTGCTTAAAAAAATTAAACCCCGAAAAATATCAAGTTTACAACATCAGATTACAGAATTGCACAAAAATTTTTCTTCCATTTTACATCTAGAAATTTAACATCCGTCTCTCAATTCGCAATATCTGTAGCATATAGCGTGGATTGTTGTCTCTAAGTTTCTGAATGAATTCTGTAGCTTACAGAGTGTCCCAAGTTAAATCGTTTTACGTTATTTTCAAGATGTCTAATATTCGCGACGCTAACATACGAAGTTAAAACTACGGCGGTCAGTTTTCACGAAAGCATTCCCTGCGAGCGAAGTATCGATTAAACGGTTGATAGCAATTTCCTGCAGACGGCAGGTCGATTCGTTAACACGAAAATATGATACGGATTTTATTAGCGGGTGAAATGGAAGCGATTTTGTTTCTCGCGCGGTGGCACACTTTTTTGCCGGAGCTCGCGCGATTAACGCCGTGGTCTGCGTATCGTTTCGCGTTGTTACACGGCGCGGAACAGCTGGCCGAAGAGTTCAATTTTTGTCGCGCCGGAACAGGCGACGATTTAATGAAAACACTGGCGATCGTATTTCCATGGAAAAAAATCTTCCACCAAGAACAATTCCACTGTCACCTGCCGAACGTGTGTCACGTTTTCATTACGATCCAAACGAATTGGATAAGAAACAAGCTTGACAACAGGAAGACAGATTTTCGGATAAAACAGTATATCGGAACCTCTGTGAAACTAAACGTATAAGGATTTCAGAGCTGAAATAATTTACTTTACAGTAATCGTAAAGCACTTATTATTAATCCCAATAAATTAAAAAAGATTTAGTCCAAAGAATGCCTGTCTTTTATTCGTATATCATTTAGATAATTCATTTTAGGATAAAAGAAGCAATAATGTTATAGTAGATAATTTTCGAAGAAGGTGAAGAGACTATAATTGATAAGTTTGAAAGTTAGGAATAAATAATCCAAAATTACAATCTCCTAATTATTTTGTAATTTTCATTTCTTAAAACGTAATTTACGCTATATACGTTGCATATTTAATTTTTTCTTTGGAGCACGTAACATCAGTTGGTGACACGATGCAACCGGTATATCAGACGACAGTTACAGGCTGGTCACGTAAGGGATTAAATATCGTACACAGGTGAGAATCCTCGTGGCTTGTTGCGCTTCGAGATTCGTCTGTCTCGTTATACCAACGTTTACAACAGACGTATAAAGAACCCGGCGATATCCTCTTGTTTCTCAACAATTATGTGAAAACGTGCGAAATAAAGAGAAGTAAGAACAGGTGAGAAACATAATACCGTCTCACGAAAATATTTCTGATTTATCAGGGTCGTTGCTACGCACGCTTAACGTTCCTGTTTATCAAACTGACTGCTTATCAATCACGTTAGCCGCGAATGATCTGTTCGACGTCATTGTGGCTGCCAGAGAAGCAGGAACAGGAACTTGCTCTATCTACTGTGACCGCGTTAAGGGAATCGAGGATATCTACGCGGAGTAAATCAGCCAGTATCCAGAATTGACGCGAAGCAACGAGGGGGCAGCTGACGGTGACGCTGCGGAACGAAATGATTGGCGTATCGGTTCGCCCGTGGGACCGATTCCGCCAAGCCAAGCCAAATGGATCGTCGATTTTTCCCTGACTACCTCTGGGAACTCCACGATTGCACGGAAAGTCGTAGAAACAGATGGAAACGGAGGCAGAGATTCAGACGATGCCAACGAATCTTTTCGCTTGGTTGGAAATCAGCTTACGATACGTCGATCGTTAAGTGATATAAAACGGATTCCATATGAGCTATTAAGCGATTAATCGCTCGGATTCTGATTCATAAACGGATAATTCCACGGAGAAGAACGTATCGCTTTTACGTTTCCCTCGAAACTGTTTAAGATGTATTTATGATCTGGTTCTGTCAGTTACATAAGTCTCCTTCAGTTCAATCGAGTTAAACTCGATTCGTTTTAAATCAAAGGCTTCAATAACATTAACGTAGATTGATTTCAAGTTTATGTTCTTACACGACTTGAAATCATTTGAATTTGACTAACCAATTGTTAAATTTAAGATGGACAAAGTATACTTGGTAGATGGTTAGAGAAACTCGGATTATTGGCAATATGACAATATGGGTTATGGTTACTGGCAACTTGGTCAGGAAACTAATTAGCAAGCGCAAAATTGAATTTAATAATTGTTATTTCCTTCAAGATAACAATTGGAAGAATTTCAGTTTCAAACCTGGAGGCATATTTCAAATTAAATTAAACCACAGTTTCACTAGATTCTACAAGACGATATCAAGTTGCTTGAACGTAAACAATTTGAAATAAATTAATTTCACTGATAAGGAGAAGCGTATACATTTATCCCATTTTATACAAATGAAAAGAATAGTTGTTCGAATTAAGATAAATCGACTAATTTGAAGGTTCAGGCAAATATCCCTGAGTTCATTCGGAACGTAATGACAAAGAAGCAACTTCTTTGCTTTCCTATCAGTAGTTTCCTCATTCGTCTGGGGGAATAGCCATCTTGGCGTAGATACAGTCACCGGACTATTGACAAATAAATTAGCAAAAGCTAGGATTCTGGCTATTCTAGGCTTCCATTAGGACCAGCTCCAGCGAGACGGTGAAACGCACGGTATTAGTCCGGTTGTCTAGCCTTCTACGGCCAGCCATTCGTCTCGGCTGGAAGATGGCTGAAAGTAGCTAATTTCGAGGTCCGTAGGTTCTACGGAGCACTTTTGGCGTTCAGGTATTTGGCGGATGTCATCGGGCAACGTCGTTGCCAGCCTGAGTTTCATGAAAGAACGGGATTTGCAGTTTCCATTGCGGCTCCACTACCGCATTTCCAGCGGTCTTATGGCCGGCAATTTTGTCTCTTGACTCTGTAGACTAGTTTGTCTTGACTTTGTTCGTTTAAGTAGAAATTGTGCCGCTATAGTGTCGTGGATTTTTGCAATATTTCTCTCTACAA